TCGTAATCCTTCTCCTGGCTGGTCGAATGGATGGAAACGTTCGAAGGCGCCTGCTTTCGTGTCTTCTCTCGCTCGGAATCTAGTAACGAGGAGATGCTTGGGTGCCGGGCGTGAGATCACGCGGAACACATTACAAGCCAGTCAAGCAGGCAGCCGAAGCGATTGGCCGATTCTTATTCCAATCCTCATTTTCTAGGCCATCCTCCCTTGTGTCTCGCTCTCTTCAATCCTCTTTTACCATCGCATAATCCTATTCACAAAAACATTCTACCGGTAGTGGGAAGACTAGCGCCTCTTTGATATCTTGACTGGACGACACAACAATACTTGTATTCAATGACGGACGGACGAAGAACAACGAAAGCGAAACGCCTGGCATTACCATCGCGATTTTTGCGGTAAAATGCATGCCGCCAATGTTTACCATACCCTGCTGAGTTCAGTGAAGTGAGAGGTCAACGAAACAAGTTCAAGCGCTCGAAGATTATTATGAATTCAAAGCTAACCAACCAAAAACATGTGCTAACGGTAGAAATTGAGCAGTCAAAACTAAGCTCAAGTAAACTGCGCATTGTTTATTATGTCTCACTAGCCACACTTTCAAAGACTCAAGCAGAATAACCAAAGGACTAGTGCATCAGGGAGGGTCAACAAAAAGAAAAAAGGAGAACAAAACGTCTAAAAATGAGCAACGGATGCGCAAAATTTGACGTTTCTAACTGAATTTCGCGGGTTCCCTTTGTTTCTATTTCTATTTTAAGCATATGTGGCAAAAGTTGAAGCACGGAAAAACAAAAGTTGTTGGCATTATCAAAAAGTTGAGATAACTCGAAAGTCGAATAAAACGTGATTTCATAACTGATGATAAAATGCGGCAAGCGTGACGATGGGAAAAAGTCAACAAATAGTTTTTGCCGATTTCCGTTCGAATTGAGACAAACAAGGAAGAAAACTCGGCGAGGGGAGCATCAACTGTGCGGTCTATAGTGACGAACTTTTTGGCGAAACGCAGACCCTAGTAGAGGTCACCGGCGTTAGCAGTTATTGCTGACATTTATGTGTGTGTGTGTGTGGGTGTCGTTGAAAACGACCGAACGGCCAGATAAATATCTATGTATTATTCAGTTTCGGAGTACTGAAAACTGAGGAATGATTTTTGAAACGAGAAATCAAGACTATAAACTTGTCCGGTTTCGTATTAGATTGGCAGATGCCCGTGAAGGCTAATCTGGATGGCGTTGAAAAAGTTAGTCTGATAACGGACTAAACCTTCATTCACCCTCCGAGTTTTTGAACAGAAAAGACAGTGAGGAAAAGCGAATGCCTAGGTGACAAGTTGAAGAGCAATTTGAGACACGCTTGGTAATTTACTGTCAAGGCGATAGATGAATTATTTCTTGCTAGACAATTCTTAACGGTTTGTGGCATTAAATTTCAGTACAGCAGACACAGACACATTCTCTTTTCATAAAAGTGTATCAAGAACACAATGAATGTTCTTGAATGGAATGCCAGACGGACATAATCGGACTGAAAATTAATGTTCCTGAACATTGCTCTAAAAGAAAAAATAATCTTTGTGATAATCTAAACCAGGTAGTTCAAACGACAGGTTCCGGAAAAGTCGCCCTTTACAATTACGTCAAAGTGATAGCGTTTGATAACCGTTTGGCATACAAACTATACAAGAATGGGGAAGAAATCAATGGTCGCAACTTGATTTGTATAACAAACGATAGGTGGTTGGGGGGATTGGAAGGTGGAGGGAACACACGGCACAATGATGACTCACGATGAGGTCAGGCACCGGGTGACACATGTTCGTTTTGACTAGAAAACACTTGAAACGAGGCCTGACACGCATACACACACACTGGAAGGTAACAGTTGCCACAACAAAATACAGAGGCTCAATTTATGACACCATGTAGTGTAATATTAGATCCCTCGCGGAGCATTGGACAGTTGTTTCTTGTGAGTCACCAAAACGACAAAAAGACTTTCGACCACGGCAGGATTCGAACCTACAATCTTCTGCTCCGTAGGCAGACGCGTTATCCATTGCGCCACGCGGCCAGTGAAGGAACCAGCAGTGAATCAAGGAGAAGAGAAAGAGCGAGCGCCCGTCCGAGGAGGGCACGCGAGTGGGGTAGCCTGTTGAAATGCCGATGACACAGTTGTTCGGCAAAGAGTCTATCGCTCGTTTGCGGAGAAGATATTCCGCTTGAAGGCTGCTTGTTAGAAAAATAGTTTCAGAGAGTGTTTTCCTTCAGTTTTCCGTCAGAAAAAGGCTATTTTGAGAGGCACATAGTTATTTTGAGGTTAGTTACTTCCTGGAAAAGCCGGAATCAAGCAAGCAGAAAGTGGTGGGCGTATGTGGTCTGACATAGGAAACGTTTCTATCTCCATTCTCAAACGTTCAAGAGTAAAATATGAGCGAACATAGTATTCAAAACTGACAGTGGTATCCGTGAGCCGTTCAGTAAAATGCAGAAGTGAAGTCTGGAGCTTGAAGCCTGGGCGCCAAAACAACAATACTGGACACCCATGCGCACAGAGACGGACAGAAAACGGAAGGAAAAACGGGATATTTTCGAAAGCTTGAGTGGGAAGTGTATAATGGAGAGTCTGGGTGGCCTCTCCTCTCGTCTTTCCGCAGAACTAATTAATTTGTTAGTTGGGTTCCTCCCGAAGACAGATATGCACTGGGTGTGAGCACTTAAACGAAGAAAAGGAGACGCGGCGCATCTCTCATTGGATCCCTCTTTCTTCAAAAGTTTTCATGCATGGAAGCCGTTTTATGATGGTTGTTATAAAAGAAACATCGAGATGTCACTCACGTTGAAGGATAGGTCGAATATCAGGCATTAGCCACGATAATGAGAAGCGAAATTGAAGATGAAGGAGCGAGTGAGGATGCTCGGGGTCGTTATCACACTTGATGGCAAAACAACAACAGAATGAAAGGCTGACGAAGAGGAAGAGCGCAGGGTTTCTCAAGGAATGATCGCAAGGACAATCAGTCTTTTTTTCTGGTGACAGGTGCAGATCAAGTCGGGGAAGAGGAAGAAAACAAGAGAACAACAGCGAGAAATGTTCCATTAATCACTCCTGATCTCTTGATTCTTTCGAATCTCAGTTATGCATAGTCAGAGGTCTGAGATCGGGAGCAGTTATTTTGTCAAAGAAAACGGTACCTTCTCACATCGAACAGACGCTTCACTGGGAAAATCGTAGCCAAATATTTGGTTAATGCCGTTTTTCCAAAGATCAATTGAAAACCAAGTACAGAAAAGCAATATATCATGATTTAATTTATAGTATGTCTTAAAATTTGTCATAAATTTGAGATGCAAGTCAAGCGAATCATGTTTGCAGCAGAAATCCGACCATTACCATGCGGGAATGACGCCTGGCCAAACGTCAATCGCCAAAAACATAGGAGAGCTTGAGAGAATGTGTGACAAGCTGATATATGTACATAAGTCGCATTTTTCTTTTCTCTTCGCCATTTTCGATTACTCCTACTATTTATTCATTCAGGCACCGCCACCTCTCTGGATCTCCGCTACGACGGCAGCGGACGTCTCCAGCTGGGCACTTGACACTGCCCATTTTCTGTTCGTTCCCCTCCATTTCCTGCGCAAAAACAACTAAATTGACTTGGTGGCTGAACTGACCCTCTCTTTCTAACCGGGTAACAATAAACAAGAACAGACCAGTCTTGGAATTCTTACTGCCAAGGGAGAGGAACGAAACGATATCGATTAAGACGGAAAATAACTCATCTGAGCTCGAGTCCAGGCAGGAAATGATTAAACGAAGGGAGCTGAAGTTTCTCACTTCCCAGAACCTTTCAAATCTTTTACCACAAAAAGTTTCCAGACTCTTTTTCTTTTTCATCACATTCCCAAAACCTTTTCAAAGGAGTTTCGAAAAGTCAGAATTCCTTCTCACGCCCATGGTTTTTGGCAGCCAGGAATCAAACACATCGGATCAATAGTTACCGGGAGGCAGAAGCTGCTTGGTCGCAGGTGGTAAAAGTCGTTAAGTTTCATGAAGTGGGCAAGGTTCGCGGATTGGTTGATTGCTTCGGAACAGGGCAAAAAAGCAAGAAGATAGAGAAGGGGGTCATGACCAACTGATCGGAACAGAAGGAACAGTTGGTAGTGATCAGCAAGATGTAGGAATCAATTTGGGTGAAGCATGAAATCTTCTGGGATTTTGAAGCGATTAGACAAGATGTTCTCCCGCAACTAGTCAAGCGTAACGATTTTTTTCAACTTTATGGGGACATTTGTGGGTTCCAATGAGGCGTATAGTGGAAGAAAATAGCTGCCGAATAGCCTTTCTGAAAGTGCAAATTACTCATGTTCACTAATTAGAATGCAAAAACCAAAAAGCAAGTGTTGGAGAATACAAACAGCTCAAACTACAGGTAGACAAAACTGAATTCTGGGAACTGGATAGACGTGTACGGAAAGAGAACGTCGAGCTGAATGAGAATCAGAAAACCGTCTGTGTTTGCTGTGGTCGGGAAATCGAAAGAACAAGACTGTTTTGTTCCTGCTCAAACAGGACGATCCGTGAAAAGAGGAAAACGTCATTGTTGTTGTCATGGTTAGTGTTGTCTTGTTTTGCCGCGCGCGTTCGGTTTGCTCAAATTCGATTTCTCTTCCACTTTTTCGTTCCGCGCACACACAAGGGTCCGTTCGGCCATCTCGTGCTGCTCTAAGCGTGTAGAGAGGCAGCGACGAGAGGGGCCATAGAGACACTACTGACCGCCGCCCGCGTATAAATCCTCGTCCGTCCCGTTTCTCTGACTTCTCTCGCGCACCTCGCCGTTAGCCGCGTTCCCTGTGCCGTCCGCGAGCCATCTGCCGATGTGCAGTGGGCCGCCCTCTCTTCGTCCGCGCACGCTTCTCATATTTGCCACTTACTCGTGTAAGAACCGACTGAGACAGTAGCTAGTCTTTTGGTAAATTCTTTCCTACACCGAAATGATACCAAACATCAAGCTGGATACCGGACTGCTGTTTATGGTGCCACAGGCGCTCATCGGAGCACTTTTTCTGCTTTCCGTGTTTCCAAAAATTTCCGATGGACTTCGTCTCAAGTTTCAAATTTCTGCGCATGCTGTACTTGCACTTCTGTTCTCTCTCGCGTCTACCTATTATTTGAAGCCAACGGTAAATTTTGGAGATTCCAGAAAAACTTTGAAACTTAAACAATTTTCAGGTGAAAGGAGAGTTCACAACAGTTCATGGATTTGTGCAATCGTTCTGCTCGGCTCTCCACGTAAGTTTCATCGCACAAAATCTTTCAAAACTCTTTTTTCTCTCTCATAAAGGTTGGAGCCGGCTACTTCTTGTGGAAAACTCAAAAACTTGGCAAATCGGAGCGCTCCATGGTCTTCTCCCGTCTCATTTCCTCGTTTATCTGTCTCCTATTCCGTCTATTTGCCTACGTTCACATTTCTACAAAATCATCCAAAGGACTCGAACTCTCAAACAATGTAAGTTCCAACTTTTTAAGATCGAAACTAACAATAATTTCAGTATCTCTACTGTGTGGCTCTGACGGACGGATTGTGGTTCCTTTCCGAGGCAGTTCGCATGTACCAAACTACTAAAACTAACCAAGACGAAATCGAATCCATGGTGAAAAGGACCACCCTTTGGGTTGAGGTAATTATGGAATTTTATGTTTTTGACCGGTCGGTCGTTGAATTCAAATCGAAATTTGTTTTTGTTGGCTGACACATGGGAGAAGGTAATAAAAGTGCCAGTTTCCAGGGCAGAGGTACATTCTACATCGAAAATGCATTTTATTTGGATGCCGGATTGACTCTGACATACGCAATTATTCACATCTCCTTCCCCCAACACGTTCTCAGTCTAATTGTGGGTTTCTTTGAATAATTCAGTGATGTCTTGAAAAAATGATTCCAGCTCAAACCGGAGAATAAATTGGATTCTCACCACTACTTATGGTGCCGTCTGTTCGGAGCTCTCAACTTGATGCCGGCGATTACCTCGATGTGCGCTCGTTACTATTCGCCAGAGATGCAAACAAGTTACGTCGCCAGTCGCCTTCTGGTGAGTAGATTAAAAGCGGAAATTAGATGACAAAAGAGAAGTAAAGAATGAGAAGAAGTCAGTGGAATAAAATAGGATCAGAAAGCAATCCTGACGGAAGATAACGTCGCGGAGAAATGGAGACCACTTTCAATATTTTGGAGGACAAATTGTAGTGACTTCCTTGGCATATGGGGTTAGAACTGGCATAACATTATGTGTGTGTTGTCACTACTGACAAAGATAATCATTTTTCAGTCTCAATGCACAATCTTTCTGCTCAACATCTATGGACACTGGATTCTGACCGTATACTCCGCCAACCACATCACCGCCTTCATGCTCAGCGGATTCTTCACTTCCTTCCTCTTCTCGGCATTCCATCGCATTCACAAGATCTATTTCGGAGAGCCCGCTGATGAGGAAGTGTACGATGAGCAAGTGGATAGTGACAAGAAGACCGACTGATCGACTATTTTTCTATGACCTAACTTTTTTTGAAAATCGAAAATCCATTCTCATTCCTGGTTCTCAAGAGTCCTCTTTTATATTGTCAATCTTCCCAAATCGACAAACCCCGATTAAAGCCTCAACTCTCCATTTTATGCTTCTTCGCCCTCTTTTCTCTCAAATTGTGTCACTTTTCCTTTTCTCCAAAAAATGTATCGCTTGCTTGCTTTCTGTTCAAAATTTGAATATTTTGACTTGTTCTCCACTCAATTTGCTTTTTGAATAAACTTGCGTAACTTGGACCTCATTTTCTCGCGGAAAGAGTAGAAAGAGGTCGCTTCAAGTATGAGACACTTTCTCTCATTGTGTGTCATTGGAAAACTCGTTTTGCATCCGATGTCCCGGAAATTTCTGACCCTCGAAATTTAAATGGGACAATCTTTATTAGTTAGTTTGGAATTTCGTATTGATTTTGCCATTTTCCGCTTTTTCATTTCGAAATGGATCAAATTTCATAACGTTTTTCCTTCCATGAAAGATGTAAACGTTTTCGGGCATTTCATGAGAGTCGATTTCGACTACACAGAGCCTTTGCAAAGCAAAAAAACAAGTGCTCTGCTCTCCCTTTTTCGCCGCCGTATACCTCTAAACAACACCTACTAAATCCCATTATCCGATCGTTAATACACGACGCATTTCATTTCATAATTTCATAGTTCATCTCGACTTTCCGCCCACACTCGTAGCGCTTTTGTCGACACCCGGGCGATAATTGAAAGGCGTTTGTTTATTGACCTTTGAATCAATAAAACCTCAAAGACTTCTCCAACTGGGCAAACACCACTGACTCGGTTTTTTCGTTTTCTCGTGGTCTGGACGATCCTTTCTGTCTTACACTCAGCTTGAAAAACGCTTTGCCGTTTGGTTTCTGAACAACACAGATCTGTCGGAGGAGGAGGACGTCCCTAATCAAATCGAAATTTCCATTCCTTTCCTTTCCTTTCCTTTCTTATCACATCTTGTACTCTTTTTCCTTTACGACCTTACTACAGTCTAAAATTGTTGTTTGCATGATTTGGCCTTTGTCCCCTTTCTTTCTCCTTCTCCAGCCATTTCTTTCCCACAAATGTTCCGTGAGTCGAATGTCAGGACAGGAGGCGCGGAGCACCTCTTCCCCCCGCCCCACGTGCCGCACAGAATGAGAATGACTAATGGTTGTTCGGTGGAGCGCATTTCCAGAGGCCCGCGAAGAGCGGCGGCAGTCAGCAGCGGCCGGCTGGCTGGGCCTTTCACTGTTGCAACACAGCCTCGCCCTCGCGCGTGTTTTTTCCTTCCTTTCGCCTTCCGCCATCTCTCCCCCCAGACTAAGCAAGTTTAGTCGATTGCGTTTCGATAACACCATGTCATTTTAATCGAAGATCATTCTGGATTTCGTTAGTTTTTTGTTTGTTGTTCTTGTTCTTCGTCTCAATTTTCTTTTGTTCTGGGCGTTGTGTAATACTTTCACTCTTTCTTCAGATCGGTGCATGGAGTGATAAGTGACCGGTGATAAGGAAACTCGACAGCGCCTCTTCATTGTTCACCAAAATGCAGAATAACGTCGATACGAGCGCCAGTAGTGGCACCTACAGCCAGACTGTGAGTTGTATTATATTCCGACAGTTTCTTTTGTCTGGAAATGGGGAGAAAACACGTTTTGTTCAAGTGACTCATCAATTTACAGGTCGGTCTTCTCTATGTGTTCAACTTGATCGTCGGTACCGGTGCTCTGGCCCTTCCGAAGGCTTTTCAATCGGCCGGATGGCTTCTCAGTATCACTCTCCTCACATTTTCGGCGTTCATGAGGTACGTCAATAAAGATTCATGACAATAGAGTATATATATTTGGCTGAAAACACCCGTTATACATATATTTTCAGCTACGTGGCAGCAACGTTCGTTATTGAAGCACTTGCCGTCGCCAACGCCGTTCTGTCAAAGAGAAGACGCGTCGAATACGACGACGTTGTGGTGGCCGATGGACCTTCGAGCTTCGAGATCGCCAAAAAAGTTGAAGTGGTCAGTTATTCAGGTGCTTAAGTGATTTGAGCAAAGATCGCATTGTTCAGAGTGAAATGGCATCGATGTTTCTGTCAAAATTCTCGCTCGTGTTCTCCTACTTTGCGATCATTATCTACTTATTCGGTGATCTCGCGATTTATTCGACGACAGTGCCGAAATCCGCCATGAACATTGTTTGGTGAGACACCAATAGCCGTTTTTCGTAGAATTTCATGAAAAAATACTTGCAGTTCGACTATCAACGCGTCGACCGTCAAGTCTGCTGACCCATGTCACGAATCGTGGCCGGAAATCTTCTCCAGAATGACTGTCTATCGCATTTTCGTGATCATTTTTGTGGTGGTTGTCTGCCTTCCAATGGTTATTGCTGGAATCACAAAGACTCGACACATCCAGATCATGACGACTCTTTCGAGATGGGCTGGTGAGCAATTCATTGGTTTTTATTTGCGCACAAACAAAACCATTTTCCAGCGTTCATTCTGATGATATCCTTAGCGACAATGCAACTTTCAAGTCAAGGAGCGGCTGCTCATCCGCCAGCTTACAACTTCCACGGATTTGGATCGCTTTTCGGATGCGCGGTCTACGCTTTCATGTGCCATCACAGCATCCCGTCACTTATCACTCCGATGAGGTTGCCTCCAACTTTTCAACAGAAACAAATCAAATTTATTTTTTTCAGAACGAAGGATAATGTGTTTGGAAAGATTGCTGTTGTGTACGGAATTGTCGGAGTCTTCTACTTCACCCTCTCTCTCACGGGAGCTTTTGCTTTCGAGCACGTGCAAGACATCTACACGCTCAACTTCTTGCACGACGATAACACTTCATTCGTCTACTCTCTCATCGATTATTTTCTGGCATTCTTCCCGATCATCACGCTCACCTCGAGCTACCCTATCATTGCACTGACTTTGATCAATAACTTCAAAGTGGTCAAAGACATTCTGTGTCCAAAGACAGGGTAAGCAGTTGGAATCGCTCGCAACATTTAATGTTATCAGTGAAATTGTAGGCAGGAGAACGAGTCGCTGCTCGAGGAGGATAGGCAAGATGGTGATAACGATACAGACGATGAGCGAGAAGTGAGACCTGTCAGAAATGAGGTGGGTGAAGGGTGGAAATAAAAATTCAAATCTCGATAAAGACGGTTCAGAGATCAATCTTCGAAGTGCTGGTTCCGACCATCGTGCTTGCTCTCCCGACGTTCCTGAGCTTGCTGACCGACGACATGCTCCTTCTCGCCTCCATTACCGGAAGCTTTCCAGGTGTCGCCGTCCAGTTTGCCATCCCATGTCTCCTAGTGACCGCTGCTCGGAAGCATGCCCGCTCGGTGCTCAACTTCCCTGTTCCCCGAAAGAACAACAGCCCGTTCCAAAGCCCCATTTGGATTGTGCTCATCTCGTGCTGGGCCGGTTTCTCGATGATCATGGTGCTCCTCAATCTGGTTGGAGTCAAGTTCTAACTTTTCTCTTATTTATTGTATGTATTCCTTCTTCATCACAAATTTATCAGTTTTTGCACATACGGATAGTTGTTGCCTAGTTTTTTCTCCCATTCACACATTTTGCCACTGGTTTTCTTTCATTTCATTTCACCCAAATCACATGTTTCTTCTCAACAAATGCAATTCACTCAACTTGTGCAATTACTCCTCCACTCTGAAACAATTTGAGCGGATTTCTGATTTATGTTGACAAAACAAGCATTTCGCACCTTAGCTTTTGACTGTTAAAACCTAGTCACATCCCCTCTTCAAGACAATATCTAAAGCTGCCCCCCTCTTGAAAACAAGTAGAAGTTCTCAAGTGCTTTTCCACCCATCAAATGTGATGAAGAACAATGTCTGTCGGCCGCCGCCGTCGCTTCTTCCTTTCGTTTCCCAGATATCAGCTGGTCTTCTCCCCTTTTCTACGCAGAAATCGGATAGAAAACGCTTGGCGGCGTGGAATCTGCCCACGCTCAGACCGGATTGAACATCTCGAATCAAGGTCAGACTATGCATGCATCGGACACTAGCAGTCCTCTTCCTGCTTTCCGCCTCGTTCCCATCCAGCATGTTCACCGAGCTGTGCACTGTATTAGCTACTGTTGAATTAATATGCCTGATGTATCGACAACTGGATCAGCTAAATGACGCGGAAGAGAACGACGAGGAGAGTATTGTTCTACACAAAAAGTATTACGACGCCGAGAGGATCTCCTCTGCCCCATTTTGGAATAATCTATGAATTTGCGAGCGGATGAAGTTTGTTGTGACATAACACGCATTCGTATATGAATATTCATTGTACTTGAGTAGCCTTTTCTCTAGCTTCATTTAACTTTTGCACAATTTTCCGACCGATGACAACCTTCATGCTTTTATCTCTCGTCTCATAACGCACTCCTTCCGCATCATCGATTCTGAATTGTTCGTTTATGTTCACAGAACGAAAAATAAAGTTGTTCACCTCAAATGTGTTCCAATATGGGTTCCGGCAATGACAGCCAACAAGAAGCGATGGTAGATTTTGAAAGTGGGCAGACATTTGTTATCGGTATCATTCTTGGCGGCCGAATATCTGACCTGCAATGGAAAGAGAAGTACGGATGACAGATCCAGACCCCTCACTTCAATTTCTTGGCTTTGGACAAACTTCAAGATCTTCCGAACCGAATTCTCATACTGTCTAATATCAGTGTAATGGTAACTGCAAAAAGAGTGACCTGCAGAATGAATAGACTATGCAATTATGTGTATTACGTGAACATTAAATCGTCGAAACGGTAGAAGAGGTCACCCACAAAAAGACGATTTGCAAACGGATACCAGAGAACAATGCTGTCTGGTGTGTGACCTGGAGTCCACATGACCTGAAACACTTCTTCAGCTTCACGGTTCGCTACACAAGTACCTGAACAATGTTTCTGAGATGAGACTCGTCACCCAGTATTATTTTGTCTCCATCCTTCAGCCAACGGGTCACTTTGTACGTCTTTATGTCCCAGTGCCAGCTACTATCCATCAGTTTGGTATAGTATTTGTTCTTTCGGCCCGCACACAAATCTTCCACCAAATGTGCCAATCCATTACTGCCCGTCGTCGAAAACCGCCAATTTCCGCCCGTCTGAACAAATCGGTCAAGACAAAAACGGAGCGAATCCGAAACGGAAACCTGTTCGGGATGGTTATGAGTGTTGACGACGATGAGTTTCACATTTTGCATAAACGACAAAGAACGGAGGTAAAAGTAAATATTGCCACATCCGCAACCAGTATCAATTAAAAGTGCTGGAAAAAAAAGAAATGTGGCAAACAGAGGAAAAATGTACCGACTTACCGGTTTCTTCTGTGCCCATAATCAGGTACATCAGTGGGTAACATTCTCGAGTATCTCCTTCTCGGATCCAGTAAATATTATCGGTCAGCTTCTCGTGGGTGAAGCTCATCGTGCTTTGATGCGAGTGGAAGCCCGAGAACAACTGAAGATGTTGTTAGTAATGTCCGTCGTTTGCAATGCATTGAAAATTGAGTAGTCCGGCAAGAAGCGGATATTCTCCGGATGTCAAACATCACGTGAATCAGCACATGGTTTGCAAACTCTGAAAGTTTGGAAAATCCACAGACTTCCCATTGTTAATAGGTCTCATGGTCTCACGACAAACGATGAACGGAACGATCTTGAAGTTTCGAGTCGTCCCCGACGACAACGCCCTTCAATTTTTCGAAACTATTCTCCACAAAACTGCAACCAATTGTTCGTCAATCTCGAAAGCCCATCAACGTTTACCATCCTCAAAATTATCCAATTTAAAACCAATCAACACGGTTCAAGTTTTCCACGCCCGTTTCGAATTTCACGGAAAACATCAGTGCCGCTTACACTCGCATCGACCTACAGTGCGTCCGGGCAACTCAAATACGGTTACGCGTAATTGAATGTTTGTGCTCGCTTTTTGTATGGAAGTCGACGAGTCGCATCCAGTTTCAATGAATTTGTCTGTACGACATACCTCAACTTCCGTCTGTTGACATATTCTTTTTCTTTTTTCTGCAGGTTTACTTCCTCCCGTATGTACAAGGTGTTTCCGGGGACAAAAACTGAAACCGTTTCGCTTTTTTTCTTTCCACAGATTTCAAAAAAAAAACTATGAGTCAGAGCCAGTTCGCCTTAGTTCTCAACCCTCATGGGTTTTTGAGAAAGTCTCAAAAAAGAGTGTGCGGGAGGAAAGACATGAATCATACACAGTACCTTATATAAATAGATCAAATGTCGGGTTGGGCACCCACTTCAGAATCTACTTTCCTGATTTTGCGCGCTCTCCCGCCTTATACACTTTTCCGCCCCGATCATCAGTGCATTTCCCATTCTTGGGTCAAAAGGGAACGGTTCCCGTTGCATCCATCAAACGCTCAAAGCCTAATCGGTTCAGACAGCACAAATAGGTTGGAATTGAGTCCTGAAAACAACTCAAAATTGACGAAATTTGCGTCGACTTTTTTGCACCGCGTCTGTCGGACAATGTCCGGCTTTCGCGCACTCTCTCGCTCATTTTAGACCGGTTGACAGTAGATGATCCTCAGTAATTATGAAGTTTCGCCCGCCACAGCAGTGCCCGCCGATTCTATGCATTTGCTACTGCATCGCTCGGCTGCCATTTATTTTTGTTTACTGTACACATCCCATCGCACTCTTCTTGTTCGCGTCCCCAATTGTACTTTTGCGAGTCTGAAACAGTTCGATCGCAATGGCGCTGCTTGTTTGAGATTATCTCGCGCTTTGTTGACAGTTATCTCTCTTGTGAAATGCTTTCTTCTGCTGGAACGAACGAGCGGCTAAAGTGAAAAACTGTTTATCTAGCCACTTTTTTCCAGAAACTCGTTCAAACGGATACTTCTCTCAGAGAGAAGCGGTACCTAACCATTTGCTCGACAAAATGATGGAGATAACTAGAGAAAGTGAGTTCGTTCAGTACGCCTATTCTAATTATTCAAACGATGACCTGTCCGGTGAGTTTTCAAAAGAATTGCTTGCTTCATTTAACTTTTCGTGTTTGCCCTGTTTGCCGGTCCACCTTGAAGGATTAACATGCAATTTTTTAGCTGATCATTGATCATCCCCACCACAAATTACTGACTTTCAGCAAAACGCAATTCTGTTTCGACTTTTACTCTCGTAGATATATCCGGTTGCAGGACTGTTGACTTTAATATAAAAAATAGCAACACGAGACCAGGTCGGATATTCCGAAATGAACAAGCACATTGGTAAACAAGAGCATCTTCTCAATGCTTGTCGCGATTTTTTTTTGATATCCATCCGTCTTTCATTTGACAGACTTCAAATTAACCAGCACTTGCCGTGTTGCATTCCTTATTACTTACTCGTAAAATTCCTAGATTTAGTCAGTGAGCTATGATGTTCACTACCACTCGCCCGGGTATGTTTTCGAATTTTACTTAACATTACAAATATTATAAACTTGAAGCGTCAGTGGTGAGAACCATGAACCAAGTTTTATGGGCGATCTCTGTTCAGAACGAGTCGTGTTCCGATTTGGAAAGTGAGAAAAATAGAGTAGTAGCAGATATTATCGCGTTCAAAAGTTTGGTAAATAACTGGTTGGGGGCGCTCATTAAACGGAGGCTAAACGAAACAAAAACACTCGAAAACAACACCTCGTCGACCAATTTGCACCATTTATGAGTACTCATCCTTCTCGAAACGCAACTGGCAATGTATGTTCAAGGTTAATGTCAATTTCTTTTTCTTTTTTCCAACGAAAGATGCCTTCGGGTTGGTAGGTTAGCGAGGAAAAGTGTTTGTGTACATGCCTTCCGAGGCGTTGTCTGGTTTTTCGGAGCGTGGGCACGGAAGCAATTTGCGATGAATCATCACAGAAATCTCAAATGTCATTTCGCACTTTAGCACAGGCAAAACGTATGAATTTATGCAAAAAAGCATGTCCGATAGGCGGACACGCCACGGAGGAATCGGTCGGAATCGTTACGACGTGAGGGTTGACTGAGTTGAGGATGAGACGATTTTTGGAGGACGCGCCCATCTCAAACGCCCATTCTTTGACGCATTCCCGCCGATTTCAAGAAGCCGTTCCGTCGAACGCCTCCTTTCTATTCACACCTTTTGCATCCCTTCTAAAGGAGACGGTTTTTGACTTGCAAGCCTCACAAGGACTCACTTCCAAATAAACCTACACGGGCAAACATATATGCAAACAAATTGAAATGATGCCTTATTTCATGCCCAATTCTAAGGGGGGACAATAACAATATTTGCGTTTTTCTTCTTCTTCTTCTTCCAGCCCTTTTTCCTTATATTACTCACCGGGAAAGCCTTTTGTCGGTTTCTGTAAAAGGTATTACTCGTTTTGTTCTGAAAATTCTCATAAGTATAAAAGCAGTTGAGTAGTTATACTTTCTGGAAAGAATGTCCGACGTCTATATTGTCTCTTTGCCCTCTTCTCGACGCTCCAGTACTTCTAGTGTTCTCAGTGATCACAGCTCCATAAAGACTGTGAATTATGAAGTGATTGAGAGAAAAAGTGAGCGTTTGCCCTCCCAAGCACCGAGTTCACAACTCAAACTAACCAACAACAGAATTTCATTTTCTGTGTTAATCCCTTCTGCCCACATGCTATGATCATTAGGCACAGCGAATCTGCGCGAGTAGCAGCAGAAAAGTTAAATAAAAAGCAAAGAGGAGCAGAAGAAGAAATTCGACGCCCACCTAGTTTGCGCATTGGGGGACGGCGCGCTCCGTCCGCTTTTGTCTCTACCGTCAGCCTCCGACTAATTCCTTGGTCACACATACGGCAACGAGTCATTCGCTTGCCACACACTCACAAAATCATTTCGAAATTTTCGAGCTGCTCTGAGCAGCCGCCCATTTTTCACTTCTCATCTCCTCATTTCAGCGATGTCTTTCACCTCTACTACCCCTTCGGCGAGAGCTCCTCTCGGAGGCCGTTCCACCGGAAACATTACTTGTAAGCTAACATTCACCTGGCCACCCTAATCTAATCGGAACTGTATTATTCAGCGCAAGACCGTATGCTCAAAATCGTGACCGAAATGCGTTCTGGACACGGATCTGGCATGTCGCCGTTCAGCCAGAACGCCGCCTCGACCATCCGTGACTCTCGCGAACGTGAGAAGAAAGAGATGAGCGACTTGAACGATCGACTCGCTAGTTACATCGAAAAGGTGTGACGAGAGGGAGGAAAAACCACACCCAATGACGCACTTTTTCAGGTCCGTTTCCTCGAGGCCCAGAATAGGAAGTTAGCCGCCGATTTGGACGCGCTTCGCTCTAAATGGGGAAAAGACACCCACAACATCCGCAACATGTACGAGGGGGAACTCGCGGTAAGATGATCTTTTCCGGGTGCTTGAAACAACGGAACGTTATCTAGGATGCCCAAAAACTGATTGATGAGACCAACAAGCAACGCAAAGACTTGGAGGACAAGATAAAGAAGATGCAAGACGAGCTGGCTGATATCCGTAGAAAGTAAGATAAACTAACAGAGTATGCATATCTTATCAATCGAATGTTTGTTTTTCCTTACATTCCACGAACAATTTGTGAGATACTGAAGTGTGATCAGAAATGCAAACAGTGACCCAAGTTCAACAACTCAGCCCAATCACACACTTTCAGATATGAGGACGCCATCAAGGGTCGCGAACAAGATCGCACCAAGATTGACTCGCTCCTCGTTCAGCTTTCCAACATTGAAGCTGAGATCAGCCTTCTGAAGCGTCGCATTGCTCAACTTGAGGACGAAGTGAAACGCATTAAGCAGGAGAACCAGCGTCTCCTTTCGGAGCTCCAGAGAGCTCGTACTGACCTGGACCAGGAGACTCTCAACCGCATTGACTATCAGAACCAAGTTCAAACTCTTCTGGAAGAAATTGATTTCCTCCGTCGTGTTCACGACAATGAAATCAGAGAGCTCCAAACCTTGGCTTCCCGTGATACCACTCCGGAGAACCGTGAGTTCTTCAAGAACGAGCTCGCCTCTGCTATCCGTGACATCCGTGAGGAGTACGACCAAATCAACAATGTCCACCGCAACGATATGGAATCGTGGTACCGCCTCAAGGTTCAAGAAATCCAAACGCAATCGGCGAGACAGACCATGGAGCAAGGATACGCCAAGGAAGAGGTCAAGCGTCTCCGCACCCAGCTCAGCGACTTGCGTGGAAAGCTCGCTGATCTTGAGAGCCGCAACTCGCTGCTCGAGAAGCAGATCCAGGAGCTCAACTATCAACTGGAAGACGATCAGAGATCGTACGAAGCTGCTCTCAACGACAGAGATGCCCAGATCCGCAAGATGCGCGAGGAATGCCAAGCTCTCATGGTGGAACTCCAGATGCTCCTCGACACCAAACAGACCCTGGATGCCGAAATTGCCATCTACAGAAAGATGCTGGAAGGAGAAGAGAACCGTGCTGGTCTCAAGCAGCTCGTCGAGCAAGTCGTCAAGACCCACGCCATTTCCCAGGAGACCGACACCGGTATTGCAAACTAATTGTAGTCTAAAAATGCAGGTTTTGTTTTCAGAAACGATGCGCGTGGTGAAGGGCGAGACTGCCTCCCGTCAATCCTTCCAACGTTCTGCCAAGGGAAATGTTTCTATCCACGAGGCGTCGCCCGATGGAAAGTTCATCGTCCTCCAGAACACCCATCGTGCCAAGGACGAGGTATTTGGGAGAATACTGGTGTATACATGGCAAACACTTTCAGGCAATCGGTGAGTGGAAACTGAAGAGACGTATCGACGGAAAGCGTGAGATCGTCTACACCCTGCCGAAAGACTTCATCCTCCGTGCCGGAAAGACGCTCAAGATCTTCGCTCGCAACCAAGGAGTTGCTTCGCCGCCAGATCAGTTGGTCTACGACGCCGAAGACTCGTTCGGCAGCGGAAACAACGTCCAAACAATCCTCTTCAACAAGGAGGGAGAGGTATCAACTTTTGTGCTAGACAAAGCACGAACATGTTTTCAGGAACGTGCTACTCACATTCAACGCCAGAGCACTGCCTAGACAGGCGACTTCTCTTCAAATAAATAGATATTGTGACGATTTCTTGCTTGAAATTTCCAAAATCTTCTTCACTTCTTGTAATTTTATGCTGAATTCTGCGCATTTATGTGATTTCTTTCCAATAAAACAGTTATCCACGCAACGCGCAAAATTTTTACAATTTTCTTGGAGAACTTCAGCCTTTCCATCAATATCCAATAAAAGAATAAAAAAGTGATGATTCTGATGAGTTTTCCAACTGCTGTGACGGCCCATTTCCCTTAAAGTAATTCCCAACCATGTACGGCCGTTTCTCAGCAGACAGCCGTTTCTCCATGGTCGGTACCTGAACGAGGACCGTCTTCCTCTCGGAAAAGTGCAGTATGCAGCTGTTATTTTGAAGGATTTTGAAACGACTTTGAGTAAGAAAACTGGCTTCTCATTCAAAAAGACAAAGTTAAAAGAGTCCGTGCGGGAGAACGTTCCATCTTTTGAATTCAACTCTTTATATTTACTTTATACTGTCTGAGCTGATGGTCTTAGAGATTTCAGGAGAGAATATTGTTGACTAAATTAGCAAAAACATACAAGTACTTCAAACACGGCAAGGCAGTTGTTTTATTTTTACTTCCGCGAGTATCCAATATCGTTTTTTGCAGCATTCTGCAATCGAAATCCTAGGAAAAGTCATCTCGTCTACATTCACATATCAAGGTTTTTTCCCTATTTGTCGCTTTTTTCTCTGTTCTGCCCTTCAGCTGCATTTTCATTTCCTTTTCCAGTTTTTCCACGCTGACAGAAGCCATTTGAAACATAAATAGAACTCTCAGGACCCAGCCATCTGACACTTTTCTAGAGATATTAATCTTCAAAGGCCTTCCGCCGTTCAGGGTCCGTTGAATAAAATGAAGTTGGCAGAGTGATGGAAATAGTGCTAATTCAGTTTCCTTGACGAAAATATCATCGGGTCACAGATGCGTAGAGCAATCAATTTCCCTTCTCAACATCGCCCGGCTCCCGAGTCACATGTTCCCTTAGATTCTTTGACTTGTCCGTCAATAGAGAGAACATACTCCGGCTCTCAGAAAAGAGATAGTTGCAATGAACTCTGGTGAGCTGTTTATCTAAATTTCTTGGGAGAAAGTTTTCGGTTTGTTCTTTTTTCCTTTTTCTAAGAAAGCTAATCTGTTTTCTTTCAGTTCCAAGATGCTATGTTTTTCAAACGTTAAATCTATCCACTAAGCATGAATCAATTGTCTCACAACACTATCCAAACTTTTACACAGGCCTCGATTGGTGTAGGTACGACATGGAAGCTCCTGACAAGTATCCCGATTCGAAACAAAAGAGAATGTATATTTTTTATTTCAGCCATACAATTACAGTTATTGTGGAAGACATCGACATAGAACATATTCATAACGATCTCACATTTTATGATGGTCCAACTTTGAATTCTACCATTATAAAACAGTGAGATATCAACACGTGGATACTGAATGAATTCTCATCTTCCAGCCTTACCGGAACGCATGAAAACATCACAATGACTTCGACCGGCAAGTACATGACAGTAGCCAATAATTCGGACACTTATGGATTTGGACGCGGATATCATTTGACTGAATTTGCTGGTATGAAAAACACCGGAAATGACAAAAAATGTTGTTTCAGTTCCCACTGAATCTGCCGATAGCATCAAATCTGACAGAATTCTTCTGAGATTCCTCTGCTGGCTTCCTCTTTTTATTCTGATCGGGATCATACTTCTCACCATTTATCATTTTTGTTCGAAAAGAAGACGAACGCCTAAACAGCCTCTTTCATTTTTGAATGAAATGGTCAGATTCAAGTCAGAGACTGACGATTCCGAGTTAGTCCAACTACCTAAAAAAAGAAAGCAGTTGAGATTTTTTCAGGCCAATTATTACCGTTTCACTCTAAGCGCTACGTCTCTTTATAAATTATTAGTTTGGTTTAATTGAGCTCAATCAATTTCACATTTTTTGTCGTTCTGTTTTTCTGTGATTCAATAATAAAAGATAGAGTGTTTGTTTAAAGTCGTGATCCCATCTATTCTTTTCTTCTGCCGAGCATCGCACATTCGCCTCCGAGAAGTTTCTCTGTTCGTTTGATTGATACCACACTACGACCATCAATTCTCACCACTTAACAACTGTTTGACAAAAGTCATAGGATAGAATCGGCCAGTCGTTCATTTATTTCCAAGCGGATCGGATCTATTCTTCCCCTTGATCGCTTGCTCACTCTCAAGACATGAACTCCGTCGGTAAACAAAGTTTTTTACTAAGCATATTAAATTTTCACATTTCAAAAATCAGTTTCAGGTGCATCATTTCTAATTCTAGTTGCCATAATAATACAATCTTCCTGCGAAGAATGTCACATAAGTTATGTAAACTCGTTCTCCGAAGAAGTGAGGAGCCTTGAATGCGGCAAAAAGGACTGCACTTTTGAAGTTTGAATTTAGAAAAAAAAGTACAGGCTGAAATATAGAATTTTCAGATCGTCGCAACTTCTGACCGTCCAGTCAGACTAGGTGCTTATGTTCCCGCTAGTTTTGATGGGTACTTGTCCGTTTGGGAAACAATTTCTCAGAACGGAAAGAAGGAGTTGGTATCTCGAGGGTAACATTTGGAAACAAACTGATAATCTAATGTTATTACATTAAAGAATTGTGAAAAATATGGAGCATTATGTGTTTTTCATATCTCAAATCAATGCCGGATTGATTTTCCAGTTCCACTCAGAATCAACAGAATGCATTCATGAGAATTTGCCGAATTATGCAGTTTCTCACGAAAGTTCATCAGGTAAAGTTGTCGTGAGAGTTCACTTTAATAACATAGTTTAGAACAATTTTCCTGTGAACCCATTGTGAATGTCATCGGCAACGAAGTGAAGACCATTCAGCATTCTAAGTCAGTTCCGGTTGCTGAAGGTATTTTCTAAAGGTGCACTGTCTTCTTACCAAAAAACCATTTTGAAGCATGTACCTACCGTCTGATACCAGAATTTCTATCAACCACAACGGAAAAATTGTATTTACTAATCACTGGAGACAGTACTTCAATGGATCATCTTCTGCTACCAGGAGAAAAACCTGTGCGACTTCCAACGTATGTTAGACGTGTTTTCGTTTGCTTAAAGCATTATTTCAGCACCGAATTGTTAGTGTTTGACAAATGGTCGGAAACGGACATAGTGATTGATACGGACAAGAATCAGGAACCGAAAGTCGATCAAAAAACAAAAAAAATCACCGCAATCTCATCGAATAGGCGTATTAGTTCTGAAATTACACCCAGAAAGAAATATTAACATTTCAGTGTGCTCTTCGGGATCTACGCAAATTCATGAGCAGACTAGCTTTCAGTCACCCGGTTATCCAGACTTTCTCTGCCCAGACATTATCAATTCGGTACAAATATCGTTCGGACCGAAAGAGATTGCAGAGAAGGATCTCGCTAGAACCTATGTTTCCCTGAATGCCAGTTCTTTGGCTGGCGTCAAATTGCGATTCAAATCCAGTTCTCACGATTTTGTGTACAGTTTTGTACTTTATCTATTTCAAAAGCAATTTTCTTTGTAGATTTGATGCGAACTCTTTCTCAAAAATCTCAACTCATTTCCTCTTGAAAAATGAGGACTTACAAATCGAATACTCAACACCAAAGCTTCTTTACAAAGGAAACGACGGACAATTTTCCTTAAACGTTTCTTCTATGATAATTGACAAAGGTGCATCTTAATTGAATTCAGAATGCTTGAAAATGAGTTCAGACTGCGATTGTTCGACGTTTTTTGATAAAATGTACTCGCGAGACTGGAGCGGATCGATTCGAATTCCGTCACATTGTGAAACTCTTTTCTGCAGTTGGACTTTCAATTCCGATCCGGATGCCCCACGCAAATTGATCAATATTGTGTTGGAGAACGGGAATGCAGATGATGAAGTGCATTTCTGGGACAGAACCACAACGCTCGTGTCAGTTTCTAGGATTGTTTGATATTAATTTGAAAGAAAATTTCAGATATAAGGGCGATGAGCTGAAGTATCCAAGAACGTTTTATTCGGCCGATAGCTCCCACAATGCCCATATTCTATTCTGGAGATTCACGAATGGATCAGATTCCCTGATCACTGTGAGTTGGCATGAAGTAAAAGGTTTGTCGTGCTCCTGAGCATAGCTTCGACTGAACATTCAGACGTGCAATGTGAAATACAACAGCATGTTCTTCTGAGTACATCTCCATTGTCATTCGCGTCTCCAAACTATCCTCTTCCGTATGATAACCACAATGTCTGTGAATACCAGCTGAAAGCTCTTGAAAAGTTAGTTATTGAGATAGTATTCACATTGTTTCCTCTGTTTCAGCCACACAATAACTGTCCATTTGGACGATATTTCAGTGGAAAAAATTCATGATCATCTGAGCTTCTACGACGGCCGATCAGAAGACTACCCATTACTCGGACAGTAAGAAAAATTCATTTTTCACAAGGCATAGTCTTTTCTTTAAAGTTTTACCGGAAAACTTGCGAACATCACTCTCTCTTCCTCTGGTGACACCCTCCTTGTCAAATTCAAAAGCGATGCTCAAAACACTTACCGAGGATATCATTTTGTAGCATTTTCTGGTCAGTCAATTTTCGATAATTCTTGTCTTAACGTCGTGACATTTCAGTTCCGGAAGATATTCCGACAATTATTCAAACATCTTGTCGGTACAGATCATCGATTTTCAGCTCCCCCATTTTAATAGTCCTTCTGGCTGTAGTCTTTGTTTCCGCAACGGTTTTAACCATTTATTGCATACAGAAATATGTACTTCTGTCGCCGACGAACATATTCTCCAATGCTCTCGTTCGATTTCGTTCAGCTGATAGCGAGTGAGTTTCTTCTTTATTTCCTGGATGACTTGCTGATCTTTTTTTTCAGTTCAATTGTGACGATCAGCACTGGAAACCCATAATTGGATGATGATATTCACCAAAAGTTATATTTTTTCTGAATTATTGAGTCAATTCTCTCAAGCAACTGATTCAGTAGAATTTCCGAGTTTTTCTTTTATTTTTATTGTCAGTCCCCTCAAAATAATGTTTCAGTAGGTTGAAAATCCTCTTCCTGTTCTTGTTGCTGGAATGTCCTTTCCATTTTCTCTGAAATTCAGCCGTTTATCGTTTTTCCACTTAATATTTGTCGGTTTGTGTAAAATGAAGAAATGAATCAACCATTTTGTTCGATTGCGTAGGATGTGCCGCAAGTGTTTTTCTTATAAACAACGGACTAACATGCTGAAGTTGACTTTTCATTTTCTCCAAATATCACAATTCCTTGAACCAAACTGAAAAAGTTTATATGTAGGTAGAATAGACTTGCCTTAAAATAACTGTGCATTTTTAGTCGTTGCATTTTCTCTTTGTATCATGTGGAGTTTCGGCGAGGAATGTATCGATAAATCCCAGCCCTGCATCCGACCTCCAATCCGGGAATTTACTTGTTATCTCATGTGTTTTTGTGGAGATAAACGTTGGGAGAAGAGTCCACAATTGCCGTTTTATGGAAAGGCGTTCCTAGTAAGTCAAAGATTTCAGATGTTTTACCACAAAATGAGTCATTCAGATACCGACTGAATGCACTTGCGCCATGGTGATTTACTCGCAGCACCACAAACGTTTGTTTCTCCGAACTATCCAGCTTCCTATATTGCCTGTGATGTTTATCTCCTAAAAGCTCCCTTCAAGTTTATCACAATATCTTTTGTTAGTGAATGTTGCAGCCACATTATAACAGTCCATTTTGATGACATCAATGTGGAGAAGTTTCATAATCATCTGAGTTTTTATGATGGTTTTAGTTCGGAAACTCCTCTCATCAAAAAGTGTGTTGGCACAGAATTTCGGTTGAACAAGTAATTTATTTCAGACTATCAGGAACGCAAAAGAACACTACTTTCTCATCTTCCAGTGATGTAATGTTTGTTCCCTTCTCATCTGACGTTCATGGCACTAAACGTGGATTCCATTTCAACGTCTTTGCGGGTTTTTGAATGGTTTATTAATTTTTTTAGCTAATACCAATTTCAGTTCCAAATGAATTGAGCACAAATGCAAAAGTGGATTCATCAGGATGTTGGCATCCTCATCTCTTGTTCCTTCTGTTTTTAATCGTCCACACAGTAGTCGTCGTGGTTGGAACATACATTTTCAACAATCGAAAGTTATCTGCTCGTTTGAGAAGAACTTTTAATCCAGCCGCTAATCCAGTTGTCCTTTTTCAATCTGCTGATAATGAGTGAGTTGCTTTTTGACTAGAAATTCGTTCTAACCGACCATTTTCGTTTTAGGTCGGTTGTGACATTTGTAAATTGAGCAGAAAAGACCACTCACTATTGATTTTCAAATTTCATGGCGGTCTTTGTCATTTCACTTTCTTCATTGCTGTGTACGTGTTTTCCTGAAACATTGTTAGCAATTGAACTTTTTGACCAAAATGTATTTTTCTTGTCGTAAATAAATTTTTTCAAAGTAAGAGGATAGAAAATGACTTGATCTCTCTTTTTACTCTTGGAATGAAGTTTTGCTCTCCGGTTTGCTTTTCGGCCCAAGGGCGATAATTTCCTCTTGCCGTACTTGTCCGTTGCAGAAAATGGAATGGTGAAGATAACAATAATAAATTCAGTTAAAGCACCCTAATTCCGTGGAAAGTGAGTTAAACGGATTAAAATCAGTTTTCATAGAGGGATTGTTTTAGGTACAATGGCTCAATGCTAATCTATCCAACAAGTTTATAACTGGAGTCTAAGGACCCAGCGACACATGTTTTTTCTGGAGGGAAACAAAAGGAAACGAATCAACAACCTTCAACGAGAAATTCGTTCTAACCTATCATTTCCATTTCAGATCGGTCGTAAGAATCGAAAATTGAATGCGCGGTTGTAATTTCGTTTATTGATGCCGGTTTTGTTTCACTCTGGCTATTTCACACAAATAAAATTGAGTTTCGCTTCAAATGCATTTGAATGAATGGATCTTTCGCAATCCTCCGACATGAGCCTGCTTCAACTAGGCATTTGAATTAGTTTATTTTTAGAAACCACCAGAATACGCATCTGGTGTTAGAACGTTGCGGAGACATTTGTGTGTGTGAGGAATGCTCCTCCTGGTTCTTATAATTTCATTTTTGTTGCCCATCTGATCACTATACAGAAGGAGATACTCTGTTTCGGGAACAATGAAAATAACTTGTGAGCTTTTGTTGACAAGATCGACTTGCGTCAGGCTCGAATCTTCGTTTCATAGAAAAAAGCGGCGAATCCGGATCAAACGAGTGGGTGAACATGTGTTGTGCACATTAAGATCCGTCTTCCAGCTCAAGTATAACAATCCCGTCGACTTGAACATGACTCTCAGACTCTCTCATAACTGATTCAATTGCCTTCAAATTCTTTGTGTTTTCACTTTCAGTGTACCTACGTGATTCGTTTTCACAGTTTTCTCAATCTCCCTTCCTCATCTTCCGCTTCAAAACACAGACCGATTTTCACCCATTTCTGACGTCAATAGTTCTGATTAGTATAGTCGGTGCTCCGCGGAATTTGTTTTACGTCGTAAAAACACTCTATTCACCGAGTAATTAGTCACATCCTCTTCAATCAGAAGACGTAGACTACGCTTTACTGATAATAGTGCTTTGAGAGTATAGTTATTACATCATCGAGGCCGAGATCATGGAAACACAGTCAAATGACGTTTTCGGGTCTGGACGCGGGTCCACAAAACCAAACAAATGTCACACGTTTAGAATGTTTGTGTTTTTTCCCAGCAGAGCATAACATCCACGCATGTTCACACGCGGCTGTTACGTAGGAAAGAACTGGAGATCAGGGAAAGTATGGGAGTTCAATGTTGCACATGACTGAACCCCCCAATCTTTGAGAACAACGTTGACACCGTTTCGAATAACGGCTTCCTTTCGGCATCTAACATCTGTGTCACGCAGATTTTCAATCGTCACAAGAGGCATGTTTGAAAAACATTCCAATCTGTACAATTTGATTTTTGCCCAAGCCATTTCAATTGGTTCCAATGTTTTTCACGCTCCTTCTGACACACCTTGAACACGTACACAACCTGCTAACTATTGCATTGAACCGCAGATTTGTTAGCAACACTTGTTCCATACCTATGATGAGAGTTGGGCAAAACTTGAATGAATAATCGGATGCAAATGTGAATCTAAAAAAAGAACATATCAGTGAGATCATTCGGTGACGTGATCCACTAGTGAGCTCTCTTCCTTCTAGAATGACATGTTCTTGTACTATTAAGGCCTTTTGTAAGCTCTGTACTTCGATCCCTCGAGGCATAGATAACCTTTATAGCCGTTGTACTGACTACTCCGTTGTCAGTATAATAATGATGTGATGTTATCACGAGCTCCGTTTTAGGAATCCGGTTCTAATTGGAATCGCGAGAAGCACGCGCCCACGTTGATACGAATAAGGCTCCTTTGGGACCGGTGGAAGGCCCACGTATACGCGCGTGATTCGATCAATTTCGTAATAATTACGGAGCGGATGCCAAGTAGCCTGACTTATTGATGACAATTCTCCGAAAAGGTCGCGTTTCTATCACAAGTATCATGCTTTATTTATATTTAAAATGATGACAGAACTGAGTAGTGGTGGAAAGGACAGTGTGAGAATGAGATACAAGGAGTTACATAGGCGCTGGGATATGAGAGTCGATGATTATGACAGAGCGGCGGAACCCGCGGGCACAGCTCGACGCGAACGTGAGCTGTACCACAGTGTGATCGGCACCGCGGACATTAGTCGTTTCGTCGAGCCTCCTGCTGCGCGCGCAGTTTCTCGCGGATCTTCTTCTGGTGGGTGTGGAGCGCGTCAAAGAACTCCTCGATCTCGGCGGGGATGCGTCCTTTGATCAGACGCTGCTCGTTGCGGAGCCAGTCGAGCACGAACTCGCGGTACTTCTGAAAAGATACAACTAGCACGCTGGCAGTAGGTATTCTGGAAATTATACCTCGAGTTCTGGGAGGTCGAGTTTGAAGATTTCGTGGGCGTTGGTGGGGAACGCCTCGATCAGGTCGATCTCTACTTTCGGATAGATTCCGCACCTGTAGAGGCACGAACCTTCGGTGCAGCAGTAGGCCTCCTAAACACAAACACAATGAAACACTCTACATTTGCTGTTCAGTTTACCGTGATTGCAGCTGCGGTTTCCGCCGTAAGGTGACGGCTTTTACGGAAGACCTCGGCGAGTGGGGACCCGACGATGGCGTCCTTGTCCCACGTCCAGTCGGAGCCCTCGAAGATCCCGTACTCTAGAGAAGGAGTGATTCCGAACCGACCCATTTATTATCGACTGACCTTCTTTGGGGCACATGTAGTTTTTGGCTTTGCAGCCCGTCTCCACAGCCATCAAAAGCTGTTCGTTTGTCCAGCAGGACACGGACACGACGAGGCACAGGGCAATGAACACGGATCGCATCATTCTCGGCTGCAGAAACTCAAGAGGAGTGAAAGAGGAAAGAGAATGGATAACAGAGGCGCTTTCGGAAATGATTAATCAAAGGGAGGAGGCTCCTTTTATACGCGGGTCTAATCAGCGTGGGTTCTGCGCGACTAGTTTCGTACACGATAGGCTCCGCCTTCCCGTATTACTAAATTTGGGGCGGAGACTTGGAGTAGTACGTTGATGACCAGAGAACCAATTGACCTGTGGGAAATTTCTTTATCAAAATAGCCGTCAGAAGCTCTCAGTACGTGCGCAATCGTATCATGTGCGCACATCACGCTCAATTAATGAATACTCGGCTTACAAAGAGCACTTTGTAGTCATCAAGTGCAAGCATTCGTATCTTTTTATATCTCTTAGGTCACTCGAATATGTGTCACTTCCACAAAGCGCCGGCTGCAGAACCCGGAATTGAAAGGCGCAATTTGATAGAGCATGTCATTCGAGGAACGGATTATTGCACGTGGAAAATACAATGAGTGTTAGCGAGGGCCAAACCTCAAGATTGCGGCAAAAATAGGGAAATGATACACACACACACACACACCAGGAAAAACAAAGCGTGGTTTTTTGTGAGCGCCGATGCAGGAGGTGGCAACGTCAGTACAAGGGTCGCGGGAAGATGGATGACCAAGTGCCCTTCTCAACTCCACTGGCATCCATTCAACCAGAAATCGCAGAATTGTTCGCCGCGGCCAATATCTGTGTCCGCTTTACATTCTCTGCGTTATTTCTGGCTTCTGGTCCATCTGCTGTCGATTCTCTACAGTTAAAAATAGAAAAGAAAAGGAGTGGGAGAGGAAGATAAAAGAAGGAAAAACAATTAAAAAATGTATTAAACTCATAATCCAAAAGTTTTTCATTGTCGTTAGAACACCAGATGTTCATGTTTCCCGGTCGGAAGATGCTGGAAAATGAAAAGACCAATCTCTACTCTCTCTTAAATTATTTCATCAGAATTCGTCATCTCTGAAAACCATGTTTTTATATTGTATGTGTGTTGCTCCTTAACAATAAGCTCTGATTTCTCTACTCATGATTTCATTGACATACTTTACCTTTATTGAATTCTCAAAAAGGAATGTTGGAAATATAAAAGAACATATGGACAAAGGATAGAAGAGCGAATAAAATTATTGAACTTCATCCTCAGGTTTCTCATTCGATTCATTGCTGATCTGACTTTCGTAATCTGATTCTGAAGGGACCAAACCCGAGGGTTTTGGCTGTACTTTCAGAAAAAGCTCGTCTCCGGTGTCATCAGGCTCTAATTCAAGCACTGTTTCCTCGAGGAAAACAGCTGCATCTGGCTCGAGAATAGCCGAGAATTCGCCATCTGATACCATGATTAGGTCCGCATCCAAATCCGACACTTCTTCATGATACCTCGCAGTCACGAAAACACATAACACAGAAAAATAAGCTGAAAAAAAGAAGCGTTAGAGATATTGCGTAAGTTTGAACTAACCGAGAGCGGTCTGCATACTGGTTCCGATAGTTGTGATGAAAACGTTTGTCACCGTGTTTGGCTGCAATATTGCAATAACATGAATCATCGGGTAAACGGAAAAACGGAAGAAAAAAACAAGAGAGGGTATTCATACAGGACAGGAAAACAGAACATGCGTTGCAAAGGTTTCATTCAGCGGAACCCTCATTCTCTCGTATTCTCCGAGTGTAGAGAATAACAAAATAAAGAGTGCATAAACCCAGAAAGTGAAGGGGTTTATGAATGAGGGGCCGCGTTTTGAAAAGAGCAAAATTTCTATCTGTTATTGTCCATCTCATGTTTTGATCGCAGCTCATTTCCTCTGACCGATCAACTGAAACACATGATTTTTGATCAAAAGGGTTCACAAGTATATTTATTTCAACACATCACAGAAAATAGTATTCAGATGATCTCAGTTCCCGAGGAAGTATCGGGTAGCATCTCAGTTCCGGAGTTGTATCTGATGCTGATTCGGTCGGAGCTGAAAAACATAATATTTAAACTTGTTTATTTTTGTAATAAATTATGTTGCATACCCGGTTGACTGGTTTGACTCATAGGAAACGGTCGGGTTTTGCAGAGTTGTGAACTTGGGAGTCTTCGGCTTCTTGCGGACGACAAAGTACACTGCTATAGCACTGAACAGGCAAATCACGAGAGCGAGTCCAAAGAGGATGAGCCAGTGAATTGCGGCCGGCGCGTCTTCGACGATTTTCGGATCTGAAAATGCAATTGTATTCTTCTAAATTTACTGAAATCAATAATTACACTTACGAGCAATGAGATTTGCGTGGAATCCCTTGTTACTGATGTTCTCGTCGGACATGAAAAGAAAGAATACAGTGTCACCAGTGGAATTCTTGCGAAAATTTTTCTCAATTCCCGAAATGCTGAAAATAACGTTTTTCTAACCCCGCTTACAACGTCTCATACCGCGCCATCATAGGATCTATAGTACCATTTCCATCATAGATTTTCAAGAAATCATGGTACCTCTCCAGGTCCGCATAATCCACTATCACTTCCAGGTAATGTCTGTAAAACACAACTCTGTTGGTTACTCGGGTTTTCGTTGCAGTACCCTTTGGGAGCATAGAAAGTGTGACGACAAACAAGGTTCGGGCAGTACATTTCCGGATAATTAGGACTTGTTATAACAACAGGTTTGTCCACTTCCACTTGGAACTTATCGGGCGCACACGTACACGCTAAAAAAAAGAAAATTGGGTTGATTGAGAGCAGGAAGGTCGAGCGTACCTTCGACCACTGTCCAGGTGACGTTCAAAACGGCATCCGCGGTCGCGGTGTGATTGAATCGAGAAAAGGTGAACTCAATTGGTGACGCCGAAGAGGTGAGACTCCGTTTGTGAGACAACAACTGACTTCCGTACCTATGCTCAGACCGGTAAACTCGGATCAGATGACAGTCACCTACTCTTCGGTAATTTTGTCAGTTATGATGTAGACCTTGTCCCCTATTGCCGGCTTGGACATGAAAAACTCAATGGAGATGAACTTTGGCGGATAAAAGTATCCAGTGGAAAACTTCCAGTGACAATGCAGAATCTTACATCTGGCGGGAATCGGCGCTAAAACCCAACCCGCTCCCTTATACTCTTTATCGTCAAACAAAGAACACACGCACTCTGAAATAGATCTTACTTATAAATATAATAGATTGTTTGGATTGAGTTACAAACCTGGTGGCACAAAAACTCGGGTAATATTCATTTCAAAGTAACGCCGCTGAACTTTGTCGCTTGCCGAAAAAACGACTCTCAAGTCTTGTTGGCTTATTATCATTGGGCGTAAGAACTTTGTGGGAACCATTTCCTTCTTAGAGGTTCTAACAGTAATCAAGATTATCAAGAGCTTTCCGAATATATATCAGCTTACCGAAAAATGAGTCTTGAAGAATCAAGAGAAGCTAATTTCAGGTTATCGTCCTCGCTAATGGTACAGTTTGCGGAAATCATCAGAAGGGGGACGAGTTTCTTTGCTCCAGTGTCAACTTTGTCTACTAGAACTGAAGTATGGCACGTTTTGCCAGGACAATACAGATTTGGGAATCCTGGTGAGCGAATCGTCGCCTGATTGACCTGTTCTGTGATGTTTTCCACAGTGGGCGGACACAAACAAGCTCAAATTTTTTTAAATTACACAAAAAGTAAATGCGGCAAAAACCTTGTTTCATGAGTTTTGCCGTGATCTTTGGAAACTTGAAAGCTCCCTTCTTACTGGGCAGTCTCCGGATGAGAAGCTCAACTCGAGACGCATCCACAAGTTTGACTCTGCTCAAATCAGAACTGAAATTTGATACCCGAAACATTCATTTCTGCTCTTTGAGCCCTACTAAATGTCTTTTGCAAAAAAACCACTTTCGTCGTAGCTACGTATTCCAACAAACGTGTTTGACGGTGTGTTGATGTCAATGAACATCTCCTCAACTTGATGCTCAGCAGCGACGCTTGTAGGCGACAGAAGGAAAACGCACCCTACAACGTGGTGGAACGACACAATGTAATCCCGAAAACGTCAAAGACAAAGCGAGAAAATGATAAATTCTAGTATGTCTAGCTCACCGGATGGAAACGAGAAGTCTATAGGATTGACAATGGTTGTCATAGTCTCACCAACAGTAATCTTCGGATCAGGGCAGACACGGGTATCGCCATCTAAAACACCATACCAATAATAACGTATCATCTCAATACACCCAGACCGTTCTCGAAACGCTCGAATGTAATCTTGAATCCAGTGTATGCTTGACTGTTCTTCTTCGGCTCAAATATCACTTTAAAGCCTACATTCTTTGCTGTCGTCAGTACTGAGTAATCTTCAAAAACGTTCGAATAATAGCGTTCATGATCCTCTAATCTAAAATTGCAAGTGATTAGCGCGTGTACATTTGCAAGTTATAGATGTACTCTGAGTGAAACACGCTGAACTCTTTGCCGTTGACGTCAAAGATATTCCAGAACTTGAGCACAGTTCCAGTTGAAAAGCTCGCGGTTTGAACGTTGAGACGGACCGTCTTATTCGGATGAGGAAGAATCTGTTGATTTTCCGAAGGAAATCACTTGGACAGACGTTAAGCAGATTACCTTATAAATACATCTTCCGCTATTGCAATGAGATCCGGGGTAGTTAGGCGACTTGAGAACTCCTTCCAGATCATCTACTCCGTAAATCTCCATATCACAATGACAGTAGTCTTTGGTTGTGGTCGGCATGGTCGAAGTAGTCGTGGTTTGAGTCGTCGAGTTGTACCGCGCCAATGTGGTTTCCCACTCATCGTCGTCCAACTCGGGCTGAGCTAGAGAAAAGCGGACCAGCAAAAGGAGAACCCCTTGAAGTAGTGAGAAACTATCAAAAACAATCAGTTAGTCCTCACCTACGGATCCTCTCCACATCATTGTTCCGGATTACTCTCACTTCTGCTGCAAAAACTATACGGAAGGTGTCAAACTGAAAGCGGGAGGCTCGCCAGGAGAGAACTCCACGGAATAAACGTTACGATGAAAAAGTGAAAAATGAGTGAGGCATGACGGTAGGATAATATAAACATTTTTTGTTTACTGGAACTTTATCATGCTGAACGGGTATCCGCTTTCATTTTTGATAAACTGAAAATGGCCGAATTCAATTTGCGAATATGCGAGAGAGAAGAGCAAAGCTAGACATCTTTATTAGGTACAGAGGGTAGAAAGAAGCGTGAAACTGATGTAAGAGTATTGCATTCTAATTACTGGGCATTGAAAACTACATTCAGCGGTTGGAGGATTGAAGGATTCTTTTTTATTTCAGATCTTGGCGGTGACCTTGTCAAGGTTGGCAACAACGACTCCGAAGATGTCGTCGACCGATCCCTCGGCGTTGATCTGGAAATCATCACGGCTAAACTTTCAGTCAACTGTCTCAGTCAATCCTATGTTTCACCAAAGTCAAGGCTCCCCCACCCATAAAAGGACAAAAAGAGGTAGGGTAAATGAGACTGAACGGGCGAGGGCGCGACAAAACATAAAATAAAGGAGCAGCAGACGCTCACGCGGAGCACTGCTCTCTGAAAATTCAAATACTTTGCCCAGATGCGGCTAGTCTCGCGCACTTTTCTAGCCGTCTGATGTTAGCACTCCGTCCCTAAGCGCCTATGAATGTTCTTTTTTTCAACGCACACTCGCACACATATCGACTGCCCCTACATTTCTGCTGGAGCAGCGACAATTATAGGGCAAAAAAAATGGTAAATGCTCTACGAATGAGTAATGAGCTAAGCGCACGCCCGGTTTGTATGACGTGTCACTTACTCTAACGAGCTTTCCCTTCTGTTCATAGTAGTCGACGACGGGTTGAGTGGAAGTGACAAATGTATGAAGGCGCTTCTTGATGGTATCGATGTTATCATCGGCTCGTCCACTGAAAAAGAAAACATAAAATAGCGTGATTTTCTTTGGTGTTTTGAGTTTCGTACCTGGTCTGAGCACGGTGGAGAAGTCTCTTGACAAGGGTATCTTCGGCGACATCGAAGAAAAGGACCAATTTGGCCTCTTGAATCTGGAACCGGATTTTCTGATGACTTCAAAAGCTAACTACCCTACCTCCGACTCGAACTGTTGTCCCTGCACAACTTCTCTTGGGTATCCATCAATCAGGAATCCCTTGCTTCCCTTCTCGATAGCCTTGAGCATGGCCTCCTTGACCAGGTCGAGCACAACTTCCTGTAAATGAGCATAACTTTCAAGTTTGTCAGAAGATCACTAACCAGTGGAACAAGAGCTCCCGACTCCATGATAGCAGTGAGCTGTGCTCCGCGTGGAGATCCGGACTTGACTTCATCACGGAGAAGGTCTCCGGATGACAAGTGAGTCAGCCCGTACTTGGCAACAATTTTGTCGCATTGAGTTCCTTTTCCGGATCCTGGTCCTCCGACAATGAAGAAGATTGGCACATTGGCAGCCTTCAGTGGGGCAAGGTTGATGTTTTTGCGCTCAACAGTTGGGGCCTGAAAATCAAGAGTCTTAGACTTTTGCTTAGGAACTTTAATGATTTTCTCACCATTTTGAGAAAGATTTCCAGTCGAATTCCGAAATTGAACTAATAAAACCTGCAAGAAGGGAGATTTATCAAACACAAAATGAGGCGAGAGGCGAGAAAAGAAACTACGCAACGAGCAGTGGAACACTTTGTCGGTGCTGCGTTTTTGCGAAGATTAGTGGGATGGCAAGTGGTTTGCTTACGTGAGATATAAACTCGAAAGCTCAAACTTTGCCTGCGTCTCTCAAGCACTTGTCTGTTCTCGGCGCCGCTCATTGCTTTCTTCTTCACGTAATACAGTGGATAGACCGGAGGTTGAGGTTGAAAACAAAAAACATTGAGGAGATAACGGAAAAGAAGATATTGGCAGTTTCCTGCTTCATCGGCGATTGCGAAACAAAAGGGATCTGGGTTCCAAATGAATTTCTCCAGCTTCACAAACAATTTCCTTGACAATTGATGAGCGTTTCCTAATACATTTTGCATGAACCCTCATTGTGAGAAACAAAGAGGCAAGGGAGGGTGACAACCAATTGGAAACGCATGGGTCAAAAGGACGAGTGCTAAAAGAAGATTGCTTCCGCATGTTTCTGCCACTATACACCCAGTTTTTGCCTGACCAAATGTAAAACACAAATGTGAAAAAAGTTAAGGTTTGGAAAAACTGCGTCGAATTGAATCGAACACGGTGATTTTACTCTCTGCTGGACCGGAATAATCGCATTATTATTTTTGGTTGAAATATTGCGAAAGTCAAGCGATCTACTTGTGGTTTCAAACGAAAACTGGAATGAAAAACTGTTCAATGTTCGTTTCGCTTTGTCACGGAAGCAATGAGGCAACTATTGCGTGTGCTATGCTATGCTCTTGAGTATTTTTGAATGGGAAGCAGAAGAAAAAGCAGAAGCAGATGCGAGAAATAGGGTGGATGATGATGCAATTATTCCGGGCGGGCAGATGAAAATGCAGTCAACACAGGTTTAGTAGCCACGGCAGCGGATTTATACATGAGTTTTGTCAGGATTACCCTCTGTAGTTTGTTGTGCGGGCCCAAACAAAACGTGAAAACGAGAAGGCTCATTCTTTGGAGTCTATTGATCTACCCCGCAAGAAATGGCTCACAATTTGTTTCGTTTCTTATGGAGAAGAGCCTTGGGAGTTGCTCGGTTTTGGATTTCCGATTTCCGATTTCCGGCCCGCGATTATGATGCGATTATGCTATTCTGACGGCAAAAACATTATTTATTTTTTGGGATTTGAAAGACGAAAAGAGTGTTACGTGTATGGATGGATATGTATGAGAAATATGAGAAAGAAAAAGAAACATGACTCAGACAACGTTACGTACAACACAGTTTTTGCTTGAATGGCTGAAACTTTTTTAAAACGACAAAAAAACATTCTGAACAGTACAGTTTAGCCTGACACAAGAAAAACAAACCAGCACGTCCTGTTTTTTTTTGCCTTTTTATCATGTTCATTTTGAAAACGCGACTCAATTGTGAACCAGAACAGCTTTTCTGATTCAGAATATTTGTGGTGCTCCACTGGGTGAAATATTGGACACGGAACATAGAAAATAACTCATAGCTTTATGGGTGAAAGCAATATCAATAAATCATTGAGAAGAACGTATATTTTATTCAGTCGTTCTTGTTCATGTAAAATGTGAGTTTTCCCATGAAACCCACACCGACAAACATGCTGCAGCTGGTTTCTAACGAACATCTGCAGAGAATCCCGCATTTCAATTCCGAATTTCATTGGTACTCTAGTATCTGCTTTGCGGCGGACAGAGCACGCACACAACACTCATTTCCCACTTTCCGATGCCTCCTTCTGCATTCCTTCCCGTTGTGCAAATAGTTCATGTGACCCGTTTCGACGTCGTTTCCCTATCACGTAATCGCTAATTGATAAGATATTACTTCCAGTATACATATGAACCCACCCTTTAGACGACAGCCTATCAATTCGCTCGTCCTGCTTCCTCCGCATTCTTCGGTGAGTTAGATTCCTCACAAATGATTGGTGTTGCAGATTCCAAGTTATAAATCTTCCTGGGTCTCATGACTGCAGTGCAATGCTGAGAGAGAACCCGAAATCTGTCTTGCCATCAGGCAACAACAGTTTTCGGAAGGAGCGGGGCCGGGGCGACGCTTTGAACCTTTCCGAAAAACGATTAATCTTGTCATCGGCGGATTGACTCTATGGGCGCAGTCATTGCAGGAGGATTCACACTCCTTCCACCTTCTCCGAGAGTCGTTATATTTTATTTCATTTGCTATTATTCATCCACTACTCGCTTTTATTCACTATTTCGGAAGTGATTGCAGGAAGAAGAGTACACGTCGATCTCACACCGCAATTGGCTGTAAGCTCGTATCGTGTTCTCTTCTTCTCCAGAAGCACTCTCCAACCGGTAAGTTCTACTTTTTAGTTCAGAATTGTCGCCGACGTAAATTTATTTAGCAAACAAACAGATGAAATGAATATAAACAGATTGAATTTGATAAAAGATACACAAGAGAGAAAACGAGAGAAACCTGTATGACAGAGAACATTTGAGGAGTGAGAGAAGGAGAAAATTAGAAGGAACGGCGAACTGATTACAATGCTTTCTTTTCTTCGGCAGCTAGGGGAGCGGACGGACCGTCGACCTCTTCTATCAGACTTTGACACGTTTTGCGGTTGTAACGGTCCACTGGAATGGTGTCGGTGTTGAACGCGACGTATCTCTCGGGATGGTCCTCATGCAGCGAAGTGACAGTGGACGAGTCAGGCTGTTGCTACAAAGAAAGACAATTTTGCAGGGGAAAAAATGAATTTTCATGGTGATATTAGTTTGAAAAAATGAAGCCAACTGTCGCTACTCCCCCCGCTGCCGAATTTGTGTTCATTTCTTCCACGTCGCGTCCTCGTACTCGACGTTATCTAACATTGTATAATTGGGATAGTATTCGTCACCAACCTCCGCCACAAAACGGTCGATGAGTCCGTCAATGACTTGAGAAGTACGGAAGGCGCCAAACTGAGCATCGATGAAAGTCAGTAGAAGGACGCCGTCAAAGTTCAGGTACTTTCTGATGAAACGGTGAGAGCGAGTCGGGTTCATCGCTGGCTGGAAGGGACAAGATTAGAAACTGAACTGGGGTTTGATGCTTTACCTTGTTGTTCAGGTTGGTTGGGATCAGGCTGTGTCTTCTGAACAGAATCTGGAAGGCGAAATGAAGCATGCCGGCGGTAGTGACAATAAACACAAAGATCAGCCAGAAGTAGAAAGCAATGTAGAGCTTCTCAATTATCATGTTCAGTAACATAATGCACGAGACAGTGTGCTGATGTTGCTGTCCAAGGTTGCGGACCTTGAAATCGCAGAGGACGATTCTCGGAAAGATGCTGTCTTCGTGCTCGGCGGTCCCCTTGAACTCGACGTTCCACAGATGAACGAACCCCCAGAAATAGTCATCGACCGCCAAGAAGTGCTTGAGAAGCACCATTTGGAGAATGCAGTTGACAATGAATCCGAGCTTGAGCAGGAAGAAGTTGATGGTTGCTTGACATCCAGCCATCTGAACACAGAATATTACTTCTTTGCCGGATGATATCAGTAACTCACTTTGCGAGGAGCAGTGCGGATTTCCATCAGTTTGACCCAAATTTCATTGGCAAACGACTCGCAGGCCTCTCCCGGCTGCTGCTTTTTCATTGCTCCCTCGAAAAAACGGAGTGCTCCTTTGAGATTGATCGTGGTTCGCTTGTGAAGCAGATTCCAGATATTGTACGGCAAAACAAACATGGCGGCCTGCAGGAGGAGCACCAGAGGAACCCATCGGTAGTAGTTGATGTGGCGGCCGCCTCTAGCCTGGTCGGTCACTTCAGTTCCGTTCGGCACAAAGTACGTGTTCTCAATGAAGCAGAAATCATGAACGTAGCCATCCCAACTGCCGGAGAACTCGCGAGGTGTCCAGCACTTGAGCGGCTGTCCAAAGTACTGTTTGCAGGAGATGGCGAGCGTCATAGCGACGAGCACGAACGGCGTGAACCAGGCATTGAGACGGTCGATTTGATCGAAAGCGAGCTGGCCCTGCTGCTTGCGCAGCATGCCAACCAGTTGGTCGTAGAAGGGTCCGAAGAAACCCAGCATTTCTGAAAAAGAACATTGAGAAGTGCAAACGGAATTGGAAGGAAAGAGATGAGAATCAATAATTCACGTGTTCGGAATCGGAACGCTAGTCACACATCTGCTGTTTGCCCACGAATATATCATCACTTCTCTTCGCAAATGTTATCTTTTAAGCAACGCGTAACAGTTGGAAAAGAAGTGATGGACGTAATGCAAGGTGATAGAATGAGTGAGCAGAAAACGAAAAAAACGATGCACTGTAATCCAATCGAACGGCAGACTGGCTCACTGGGAGACGGACGGGGTCAGGTCACCACAGCGCACAAATTGAGTGGTGCGCGCTGTGAGGACCGAACGGGCGAACGGGGCCGGGCGGTGTACACGCACCAATACGCAGAGTACGTGCAGTCTAGAAGAGGTCAGATCGGCAATGCGGACGACGGCGCGCAGACGGTATTATCTGCGGACCAATGAGAATGGGCACACAGAGAAATGTGCGACGGGGGGAGAGACGCAGACAGACCATTCGCACCAGTGAATGGCACTCGAATCCGAGATAACACCTAATGAAGATGACTGGGAGAGTCCCATGTCACTCAGGAGAATCCTTCGGACACACTGTAGGGAGAACAAAAATGAGGCAAACGGGAGAATGAAATAGATAGGAAAACTTTGGTGCTTCAGATATCCGAAATATTGCAAAATCTTCAGATTCGAGAGCTTTACCGGTAAAAAGGAAAAACACGTCACTTTCTATGAAACTAGCTCTTGACTTGCATGACCAACCAAACTTGTTTGCTCTTGAAAAAACTCAGATTTGCATCAAATTTGTCAGTTTTTTTTTCGTTTTTAAATCGGTTATTGGGTAGAAACCGATTGAAGGAGCATTTGTCAGTAACTTTGCGGGGAGAATTGATACTTCTTCTTCACGCATTGATAATTATCCTTCGATCTGTTTGTATTAGAGCAATTGCGGTAGAAATGATTAAATATTGACGCTCTTTCGCTGCGCTCTCTTTCATCTTTTTCAATTCGACGAATCTGGACGCTTGCGTACTCGAAATTTATTATAGCAGAACTGTTGAAAAGACAAGAAAATGTGATCAAGGTTGAAAATGAACAAATTGGGCGGTATGGAAGAGAGATGTGATTGTTCTCATATAGGAGATCCAAAGAAAATCAGAACAAATAATTAAAGCGGGCAGTTCCGTTGTTTAGCTCATGTCCAGTTCACCAAGGAAGATACGTTTGTCGCTTCCGCACGAGAGCACTGAAAAAAGATTAATTCTGACGTTGTCCTTGATGCAATTCAATCAAAATAGCAATAACTTACTGATAGACTCCTTCGGATGGAAATCGGTGCAGTTGACGCTTCCCATGTGTCCTGGCAGTTTGAAGGCGATCTTTTTAGTGGAAGTCTCCCAGACGTAGGCAAAACGATCCGAGGATCCGGCAGTGACGAATCTCTCACACGGGGACCAAGCACACTTCAGCAAATTCTTCTCGAAGTTGTGGTTGTGTCCACCGAAGGCTCCGACGAAACGCTGTCCGGGCACGAACGGACGGATGTCCCACTGGCGGAGGGAGCAGTCCATCGAGTTGGAGATGATGAACTTGCCGCTCGGCGACAACGCAATTCCGGTAATGGTGTCGCGATGTCCGGCCAGAGTGTAAGTGATCTCGTCACGACGCATGTCCCACACCTTCAACACGTTGTCGATGCCTCCGCAGATCACGAGGTCGGTGCTGTCGTTGAAAGTGATGGCAGTCTGTTGGTATCGGTTCGGATACGTCTTCACGGGCTCCTTGGTTCTGAGATCGTGCACACGGGCCGTTCCGTCGTCACTTGCCGATGCGACCAGTGAGACTCCACGACGAGAAGGATGGACAGCGTTGACAATGTCGGTGTGGCTTCTGAAGCGTCTCGCGCATGCTCCCGTCTCCATGTCCCAGACGCGAACGCTTTTGTCCACGCCGCACGACATCAGGTAGCCGGAGTCGGTGCTGAACTTGAGGTCCATGACGGCGCCGCTGTGGCCTCGGATTGTCGAGAAGTTTTCGCATTCTCCGTACACATTCCAGAGGAAAATCTGGAAAAGAATCGTAAAAACTGCTGGTGCTGCTAAGAAGAGGAGGAATGAGACAGAATCAATCTAACCAATTGCTCTGTAGTTAGAAACGTACCTTTTGATCGTATCCACTGGTGGCCAGACAAGTTCCATCTGGACTGAACACTCCTGTGTAGAGCTCTCCTTCATGTCCTTGTAAAACCATCGTTGGCGCCTGAAAAACACAATTATCGGCTATTCACTCTTTGACAAACGATGTCACGTACCATGAGGTTTGATAGCCTTTGAATCGATTGCGCCGGAAACCCGCTGGCGACAAGTTGCTGACCAGAAGCTGAAATACAGTATGTTTAAAATTGCTTGCCTAAAAATCAATATTCAGTGACTTACAAGAAACGAGAGCCATCGTTGTCTGACTTTTTAGTTGATGAATGTCGATTAGAAGACAAGTAAACGGAATACTCACGACGAATGAGTGTGAGGACTGTTCTCGGATCGAAAGACGCTATTCGAAAACGTCGCGTCGAGAGAGCGCGTGCGTCGCGGAGACAGAGAGTAGAGCAGTGCGGTGGAGCGCACTTTCATTGCAGTTGTGCCAATGGACAGGCGTGCGGCGGGGGTCCACACGGCAGTGAAAGAAGGGAAAAAGAGAGAGAGCACGCACACGCAGGAGAGTCCGGAGATGGGCCAACGAGGAAAACACCGCTCTTTTAGGCTGTTATCATTTTGAAGATAGCATGCAAATTCGAGAGATTTGGCGGTGTGCCGGCCGGAAAATACGAGAAGCAGAGAAGAAGAGGTGCGCGCTGGCAGTGCACTCTCCATTGTTAAACGGAACTTTCGCATGATGCCACGATCACATGTTAATCATTTTTGTTACTTCTACGACCCTATCTCTTCCATTTCATTCGATTCTCATCTCGTTTTGTTGTTTCTCTCCCCGCACAGAGTTCTCCTCCCTTCGGCAACTAACAGAAATGTGTGTGGATTTGGCAGATGCGACTGGTCTTTCTGATTGTTTTTCGTGGCGGAGTGCCCGTGCACCGTTTAAATCGGTTTATCCAGTTCAACAGTACTTTTGCAGATGAACCCTGAGCGGCCTCAGTCGCAGCCTAATGGGTTGGCCCAAGCGACCGCGCCAGAGACAGCTCCCGGAGCCGATATCTTCGCACTTCTCAACAACACCAACAACCTGTGGGCAACGAACCCGTTGTTAATGAACACCCTGCCGACAACAACAATTCCAGCTCCAGGTGATGTTCTCAATATGCTCTTATCTTGTTCATTCTGCCTGTTTAGTGCATCCTCCTTTTCTGACACCGAATTGGGCGCACTATTTCTTTACGCAACAACTGCTCCTGCATGAGAAGCAAAGCATGATTCGAGCAAAGCTTTCGCAGAAAATTCAGGCAGAGCACGCAGGGTCGCAGTTTCTCCAACAGTTGTTTGCATCGCCACAGACACTGCCGTTCGGAAATTTCCCACAATTGGGAAGTCTTCCTATCCAACCGAATATGGGCTTTTATCCAAGTATGTAGTTTGTGATTGCGCCCAATTCGTTCAATCTCCGACATTTTTAGCAGCTCTTGGCACGCCCAATATCCTTCTTGGAAACTCACTCTATCAGAGCCAATCGAGTGGGTACAATTCTGACGTGAGCTCTTCATCGTCTACGACTCCGAGCTCTTCTTACTCGGTGCCGGTCGTTCCCCCGGACAGAATGAACGCTCCCGCGTTCAACGTCACCAGATCCACCGAGGATTTGATCAAAGAGAAAACGACAAAGTACAACCGAAAGCTGCTGTGCGAAGCGATGGATTTCAGCGAACTGAGTGCTGGAATTGCAGACAACGTTCTTGCAATGGCGCACTCAGGTCAGAAGAGATGCGCAACTGTAATCGGCAAATTCATTCACAACCAGCAGATTCTGCAGAGTGCTCTAGTCGACATGGCCGGTAATCGATGATTTAAAAGGCAATGTCTGAGAACCTCGAAATTCGCTAATTACACCAGGTCACTAAAAATTCAGAATGCTTCAATTTGTCCCATATTATACCCAATGGGTACTTACATAACAGTCATACATCAAACAAGTTTTGGTCCGGCTCCGTGGTCCCTAGTCCGATCACGGTCACAAACAAGGTCAAACCTGTAACTAATTTCAAAAAAATGCTAGCGTCTCAAACTCAACGCCATTGGATTCTTCGCATCTTTTTGAGTATATTTCATGTTGGCACCAAAAATTTGGCACCCCTCCTTTATGGAGAACAAAATTGGTTTGTGACATTTTTCAGAAAATGTTTCAGTTTTCTGCTCGTCCTGAAAAATTTTAACACTACATAGCCATGATTTTATTGCTGATTCTGAATTTAGACATTATTGTGCTTCTGCAAAAAAAAAGTTCACCCCGATCCCGATTGACATCAAGGGGTTTTTTGGCCGAAATTCACAAAATTTAGAGTACTTTTGCATGGAAAAATGTTCGCGAACTTGAGAAAAGTGCGTTTTCTCAATTTTCAAAGGAGCCTGATCGCGATATTTGTTGTTTTCGTATACTTTTAGGCATTCTCGATTTTTTGGAAGCATTTTTAAAATTAATAAAAATTAGACCAAGTCGTCGACCCGGGGGTCATGACAAAATTTTCGAGAAAAAATTAATTTTCGAAATGCTTCAAAAAAATCAAGAATTCCTAAAAGTATACGAAAACAACAAATATCGCGATCAGGCCCCTTTGAAAATTGAGAAAACGCACTTTTCTCAAGTTCGCGAACATTTTTCCATGCAAAAGTACTCTAAATTTTGTGAATTTCGGCCAAAAAACCCCTTGATGTCAATCGGGATCGGGGTGAACTTTTTTTTTGCAGAAGCACAATAATGTCTAAATTCAGAATCAGCAATAAAATCATGGCTATGTAGTGTTAAAATTTTTCAGGACGAGCAGAAAACTGAAACATTTTCTGAAAAATGTCACAAACCAATTTTGTTCTCCATAAAGGAGGGGTGCCAAATTTTTGGTGTCAACATGAAATATACTCAAAAAGATGCGAAGAATCCAATGGCGTTGAGTTTGAGACGCTAGCATTTTTTTGAAATTAGTTACAGGTTTGACCTTGTTTGTGACCGTGATCGGACTAGGGACCACGGAGCCGGACCAAAACTTGTTTGATGTATGACTGTTATGTAAGTACCCATTGGGTATAATATGGGACAAATTGAAGCATTCTGAATTTTTAGTGACCTGCAGTATTTGAACTTCTCAGACATTGCCTCTTAAAACAACCCAAACGTTTGATTTTCAGGCTTGAAAACTGCGGATGTTCGCAATTTTCTCAACGATTGCAAAGAAAACGCAGAGAAGCACGTCGAAATCGGTTTGGAATCACTTTTGAAAATTGTCACTTGGTATTTCGCCTGCCGAGAGAACCCACAAAAGTATCCGAATTACCTCGAGAAAGCTTTCCCAGGGACTGCGAAACGAGAGTATCAGTTCAAGGAGCATCTGGTTGGCAACCCGACTTAAAAGTTCTTTATTTTACTTTTTTCAGAGAAAGAAGGGGAAGAGGCCAGTTTTCCCTGAATGGAAATTCGTCGGTCCGCATGCTCCAAAGAATGTCTTGGAGCACTCTTCGACTCCTTTCCTCGACCACGCTGACTACTCGAGAATGCAGAACTTGACATTGGCACCGAACGGACCAGAGCTGCTGGCGAACCAATTGAGAAACATGGGACTAACTCATTAAGACACTATACCCGATAATAGAACCCGGTCGTATTTTGTTTTCCTGCCATATTGGTTCCAAAGCCTCTCGATCTCTTCGTGTTTAGTCCCCGTTTAGGAAACAGTGATTGAATATGTATTTTCGGGCTAGCTTCCATTTCCATGTTCCTTCTTTCTCCGTTTTTTGTATTGCATGTATGGTCAATGTTTCCTCTTTATCGACTTTTTTCGATATTCGAAATTCAATAAATATACTTATGGAAAAAAATAATAGTGCTTTGAGTTTCAGGTCGAATAATCATCAATTACAGGTTCTGATGGTTCATTCATGAGAAATAGGCTATTACACACTCGAGACAAGCAGTAAAAGGATACAGACAATGTGGTAGTAAGTAGAGGCAATAAATTAAATTCACGTGAATACCTTTTACACCATTCAGTTGGCACCAAGCTAACTCAGTAACAGTAGAAAAGCCGGAATCAATAAGTAGAGGGACAAAATGTTACAAAGGATCATAGTCGGCGCTTTGAACATTGTCATCAGTGGGACCGAGGAAGTCTTCAAGCAGAGATTGCGATGTTTTCTCTACTGCTTTTTTCTTCGTCACTTTTTTCGGTTTCTTGGTCAGTTTCTCCTCCTGTTCCACCTCTTCTTCGCTCTTTCCTTTTTTCGCAGCCTTTTTCGTTTTCTTCTTCTTTATGGACTTTTCCTGAAACAAGATCTGGATGATTTCGTCACTGCTGATTGAAACTTACTGATTGAGCTGTTTCAGTCTCCTCTAGAAATTCTTGCATATTCAAATCGATCTTCTTCCGTGGCTCGTTGATTATCGGTGAAAATATGTCGACCGTTGGTTTTGGCGCCGATTCGGGTAGATCCACGCCGAATTCTTCATCACTGCTGTTCTGCTTGTCAGGAACCTGAAAGAATTAACATTGGACAAGTGAATGGATGTGAAAGTCTCACTGTTGACACAGATATCGGCGAATGATCGTCGGATCCAAGCCATGCATCCAAGTCGATCGGATTAATGGAAACGTTTACTGCAGCAGTCAGGTTGACCGGTGTTTCGACCAACGCTGGGCTCTCATCATTCTGGAATCAAAACAATACTGTTAAAGATTCGATTCTCCTATACAAACCTCAGGAATTGGCGGTGGAAACTCTCTGACCGGGGAATCGATATCATCATCGTTCACCTTGACGTTATAAGCTGAAAAAAGAATGAAAGACTTGATCACGAGACATGTGTCAATCAACGTTATCATCAGGGAACGCGGAATGACTTCGCAAGGGGGAATGGTGGACTGTCGAGAAGTCGACCTTCATCTGGGTCTAGTTTATCACTCCACCCATCATTTTTTCATGAAGTACCCTCTAAAATCTTCCACACTCACCTATGGGTGTCTCCAGTTCCCTCTCTGCAGCATCCGGAACTGTCAGCTTCCTGACCGTCGTCTGAACCTTCCGTTGCTCCCCCATCTTTGCCATTTTTGCCATCAAATCATCATCGACCGAAAAGTCTTCCTCGAACCTCCAGACCATGTGATTTTCGGTTTCACTGTAACTTGAACAACTAAATTTCATCAACTTCTTTTCCAAAAGCTAACCTATCGCTCTCATTGTGTTTTGTTCTTTGGATTGCGTTTTGAGTTCTTTCTTGTTTTTCCCCAAGGAAGCTGTTGATGCCGTCCTCCTCCTCGTCTCCAACCATTTCAAATGAGTTTTTACGAGTCGTGTCTGATGCCGAAGTAGTGGCTGAACGTGTTCCGATAGGAAAGGGGAAAAGTTTGACAAACTTACTGTTAGTTTCCGATGGTTCCGAAGCAACTCGTGGTATGGTCGGTCTGAAAAATCAGAATTTGATTCTCCCGAACTGAATAAGCCACTCACGGCGTCAGTATTTGCCCTGGAATTGGCTGACCACCTCCCATAACTCTTCCAGATGTCTGTACGGGCCCTCTCGCAGTCACACTATTCTTATCGGCGTATTCCCTCCTCTTCTGATTGACCATTTCGATGAATCTGAGCGTTTTTTGCTACTAGACAACTACAAGTGCTTACTCACGTATCGTAGTCTGCTTCCGGTGTCTCTTGATAGCAGTCTAGCTCGTGATAGCTGGACACAATTTCCGTTTTGTTTGTCTCCAACTGACGGAGTAGACTATCGCGCTGAAAGAAACAAAACCAGATTGAGAACCGGAAATGAGTCCTTTTCTATCTACCTGAAGGCAAAGGAACGGAATATTGAAGAAGTGGTGAACGAATTTGAGCCCAAAAGCGTATCGCATTGACGCCGGAGCAAAACGAGCTCGCGGAGATCCATCAGGAGAAGGGTGGCTGCTGAAATACTAATTTTTATAGTTTTTGACCTCAATTGAGGAAGGCTACCTGTTGAAAAGCTCAACAAAAGTGGAACACTGGAGGTCGGTAACTTGTCGGTGATGCCCCATGTCTCTTCGGTTAGCCAATACGAGTACCGGGATCTTGCTGGGCACTCGGACGATCTCACGTTGAACGTACTCCCAAGTCCATGGTTTTGTGATGTCAAAAACGAAAATCACTCCGCTTGTTCCCTTATAAACATCTACAAATCGTGCATCACAGGCAGTATCCTCGTAATTCTACAAAATTGTTTAGAATTTGTTTCATAATTCTGTTAACTACACATGAACTAACATCGATTGGCTCGGCCTTATCGGATCCACTGTTCGCCAGTTTGAGCTTGTCGTCTCTCACTCTTTTCTTGGTTGATTGGTCCACAATATCCCACACATCCACCTTGACAACGTCATCAGTCGCCCGATAGTTCCAATTGATGTTCGCCACCTTCAAGTATATCCATTTTTGAACCATATTTTCTTCTAGTTAATTGCTTTTCCTTTCCTTCCCCGCTCAGAAGACAGACTAACTCTATTCTTGAGCCCTTCTCGACTAAAAAGCGTAGACGGCAGAATATCCCATTACATTCCTTCTTTGCTCTATTCAATCCTCGCCGCCAAGAATGTGAGGGGGACGTTTCTGACTTGCACTTAACATGATTCTGTCTTCTGCGTTAGTCCCATTGTGCCGGTTCGCGCCAGACATCCCTTGGTCTTGGACGCGACGATCAAAGTCCGCGTCTGATTAGTGTGCGCATTAATTTGCAACGCCAATCGGAATGAGGCGTGTGCTATACTACACTGAAGCTCACCTGGATCTCTTCTGTTGTCACGTACTCTTCCTGGAACGGGAGCCCCTGGAGACGCTTCCATAGACACGTCTTCCCGACGTTTCGGTCTCCGCGAATCACAATTTTTACTAAAAATGGGATTTAGGAAAGATATGTTGTGGGTAAAAACTAACGGTTATACTGTACTCCGCGTGCGAATTTCCTTTGCAACTCGGCGTCAACTCGCTGCACTCCCGAAGGCATCGACGTCGTTTTGTGTTCCTCCCTGTCGCCTCCTAACTTTTTGCGAATTGCCGAAAACATCTGAATCAATATAATGTAGTAAATGGTACGGTGCACAACAACTAAAGGAGGCTGGTGCTGGTTGTATTCAGATACGACAGTCTTGATGCAAACAAGAGTAGAACAAGTGCGTACTTCTTATCGAGTTTCGGTTTAAGATAAGATACTTTTATTTTCATTTAAAGAAAATCATTTTTGAATTATGCGAACACCATCAGCAAACAGGGGGTCATTGAAATGAAAAGGGATGACGATTATAACCGGAGGAGGCAAGATAGCAGAAAACCACTATCCGAACTGAATTTTGGTTTTAACCGTCGAGAAGTTCGAATCCGAAGCAAATTCCAGAGGAGTGAAACATGTGATGAGAAATATTTAAAGCCCAGTACTAGAGTTAAAGCGGTTCGGTCAGAGGAGATGTCATGGTGCTCAGTCGTCGTTCTCCTCAACCGGATGCACCGGCTTCAACGCGATCATTTTCACCGCGAGCAGTCCTTTGGGGAATCCCGTTTGAATTGCCTTGTGTGCCACACGCAGCCCCGCGTCCTCGGTTATCTTCAGGATCAGACTCTCAGGGCGCGTCCAACAGCCATCCGCTTCGTGATAGAGCGTCTTTCCGCCTGCCGAGACGCTCTCCTTGATCACGATTGTGCCTCCGGGCGCGAGACCAAGCTGAAAAACGAGCTCTGTTCATACCTTATTCAAGGATTTCTCCCCCAGCCCACTCACAATACATCGCTGCAGGAAGCTTGTCAAGTCCTGATCCGTGAGTTGTCCGGATACCCATTGAATCCAGATGACGTCATACTTCCTCTGGAGGGGCTCGAACGTCTGCAGTCCTTCCACGTACTTCTCCCCGATTCCGTCATCTGTGCCGATGTAGACAGCACTGCTTGCCACGAGTTCTTCGACCAGATCCACCATGTCGACGGATTTGTAGAAGGGCATGAGCACGTGCTTCGTCACTCGTCCGATGCCTGCTCCACAGTCTAACGCGTTATCGAAGTTTACCAGAATGTTCTGTACAACTCGTATTTTAAGCCGTGGGCTCTCAGACTCTATTTCCTACATTTTTCTTGAGCGCATTCAAAAAATTTACGGATCCAGACACGTCCGGAGCCTGAAGACCCGCAGTGCCTCCGAGCATTCCTACTTCATCCTGGCTGCATCTCGACCAGAATGTCTCTGCCTTCAAACACTTGATTATAGTCTGTGAAACCTGCAATTCATGCACCAACCTTTTCATAGACCTTGTGTGGGTTGTCCGTACTCGATTCAGTTGCACCTGGTGCTTCACAGCAGTCGACAGAATCTGCCCGTCGTCTCATTTTTTCTGAAAACCGCAAGTTTGGCACGTCTTCTGATCGATAGGCAAGTGAAGAAGTGTGCGGGGGTGTTCGTGGAGCGAGGCGAGCTAGTCGCGGGCGAACGGATAGAAGTGGTGGCCGGCGAATGAATGAGGCCCCTCGCGGGGCTCGCCTCGCTTATATGCCTCGTTGCGCTCACACTCACCGTTTTTCTTTCTCCTACAGCACACGCACACGCACACTCAATGTACAAAATGTGTGTGTCTCTCTGCTGGTTGTTCTATCATAAAGCGAGAGAACACAGGGCATATTGTGATAGATTTTGATAAAATGCTTTTATCGAAATTGAATGGCCGCCATTCTCCCATTCCAACGGAACAGAGCGTTAATCGATTTTTTGCCTCTGCCAACATATCGTTATGCGACGTCAGAAAGCTCACAAACCAAAGGACGGAGAAAATGTATCGCCGAGAATGGGTGGATGAGTGTTTTCTGCAAAAAAAGAAGGAGAAATGAGGAGAAAAGGGAAGAGAAAGTTAATGTCGAAAGGCGCAAGAATTGAATTAGATGAAAAACGGTGCGGAGAGCCTCCAGCGAGTGTGGTTGGAAAAAATAATGACTGACGGATGGCTATCTAATCGAATACCCATTTTCTCCTGACATATGTGCGTGGCAACATTAATAGAGGACGGGGACTAGCGCAAACATCGGCCACGACGTCTCCCCCTCATGCGTTATTGATTGTCTGCCTACGTGACCTAATTGAAAATTCTAAGGAACTTTGGAAGTAAGCATCATTTTTATAATTTCAGAATGACGGATGATGAAATTGAGCAGGCAAAAGTGTTGTTTCCGAACGTTGGCGCTAGAATGGGCGACGAACGACCATGTCTTGTTCGCTTTTACAATTTGTGTGACAGTCCTATCGACTTATTTTGGCTAAGTCCTCAAGTAATTACAAAATTTTCTGAAACGTGGAAACTAATCGTAATCTTTTTCAGAAAGAACCTACTAAATATGGCACTCTAGCTCGGAGGAAATACTTAGACATCAGCACATTTCAACTACATCCGTGGGTCGCTTTACGAGCGTTTGATGGTTTCAAACTGCTGATAAACAAACAAACGGTGTTCTGGCCGCATGCGCCCGTTCCAAATGTGATTTATCGCCAGACTTGTTTTATTACGGTTCCAAGTAAGTATATTTTGTGGTGAAATTGAGAATGATGACAAGTGTGTTGTGATTAATCGGAATGATTGTTCCAGAATAACTTACAGTCTTTCAACATATTGAAATCCGCTCATTTTAGTGAAAAGTTTGCGAGAGCTTGCTGCTCGTGCTTTTGTCTACCAACCGTCATCCGTTCTCAATCGTTTATGCCCCCAACTGCCGCGGGAAGTTCAGTACGACATGAGCGTTTTGCGATCCGTTAAAGATGAGTATTCGCAAGTGGTGTGCCGATCTATTGGCCCAGTTCGACCTTCAAGCGAATTTGTGGTTCTTGCACCCCCAAGAGGGCAATAAGTACTTTTCATGTAAAAAGATTTTATGATCACTTTAGAAATTCCGCGAATTATACGGCTTCATGTTTCCTCCTTGCTTCATTCAACACCCGAACGCTTTTTAAACCCACACAACAAAATATGATGTTATTCAGCTAGTCAGCCAATCTTTCGTTCAGTCGCACTCACCTCTGTTCTTCTCAATTTCATATGATTTTCACAGTATTTTATTTCAAATAAACAACACAATTGTATAAAACCCCAGAATAAACTAAACGAGCACAGACAATGAGTATCAGCTTTCTAACCGGTGCAAAATATTATTAAAAGTTGTACGGGGGACCGACAGGGAGAAAGAAATGGGATATTGGAAAGTTGGTAAGTAATTAATTTCCGAACATGGTCGACAAAATGATGTAGACAATGATGAAGAAGGAAATGGCGACGTAATTGTAGTATTCCTTGCGGCGCATTTCGTCGATCGTCCGTTTGAGCCCGTCATTTGCTCGTTCAAGTTCGCTGCATTTCAGACGGAGTTGCTCATTCTGAAATTGACTGATAATGCAGGGAATAGCACTTTGATTGGTTCCTAGACAAGTAATATTTTCTGGTAACTGGATTTTCGTGGCTGCACTTACCGATGCATTGAGTGTATTATCGTACGCTTTGCGAGACTTTTCTTCCTCTTTCGACAGCTCATTAAGACTGTCTAGAATAGTCTTCAACGTGAAATTCTGCACAATTTTGTTCATGTGCACTCGTTTGCGGCACATTGGGCAGTGGAACGCCTGAAACTGAAACCTTGTTTGGAGAAAATAACATTTCATGCGCATACTGTTTTCTGCGAATAAATATTCCACAGAAACTTTGTTCCGAAATGTTCTCGAGATACTAGTCTTCGAACCAACTGTTCCTGTTTCAAATTACAATTGTGAGACCGAATTCTCAACAGGCGAGGAAAAAGGAAAACCGAATGAGAAGTGACTTTTGAGAACCTAGATGTGTGGACTATCACGAACACTGAACTGAACTATTCCCCGACGGAACATGCGCTCTTTGCACTCGTGTTACTCATTTTCATTGAACTTATTCCAAATTACATACAAATAATCGGGCTGAAGTGAGTGTTCGGTGCAACTTACATTTCGGTTCGGTTCCCGTGGTTCGCTCATTACTTCCGAGTGCGCCACTTCCTCGATGCATCGGGGGCAGAATGAGTGACCGCAAGTGAGCGTTCGGGGCACTTCTTGGAAGATGTTCAGGCACACTGCACATCGGAGTGTTTCCACGTCGACCACGCACACCTCGGCATCGTCGACAGTTTTGAGGACTCTCTGGAAGAAAATGGTCTACGTTGTCTTTGTTATTTTTCTGATTTGATTTGTCGTGGTTTCGAGACGTCCGGGGGTCATTTTCCTTGTTTGATTGGTGTTGACTTTACTTTGAGGACATCGTCAATGCACTGACTATTTTCTCTACTGACCCTCTGTTATGCTGGGGTCTTTCCCAAGACTATTTTGAATATAAATAACCAAAAGGAGCTTTGCCATTCAGGTCAGGAAATGTAAATTTACTTTTCTCCCTTCTTATTTGTTGGTGCTCTTATACATTTCAAACACAATGAAAGCAAACTACTCTGGTAAAACACTTGTGTTTTTGTTCAAAACAATCAAACCGATACGTGGTACACTTGATTAACTGACCTCCTTGTCTGCCTTCTTATCGTCTTTGGGAATCAGTCTTCTGAACAGGCCGTACATGTTCCTCTTCATATTCTGTTTCATGAAGAGGGTGTCCGAGAAGCGACTCTGTAAGTGAATAAGTTATGTGGCCGTCGGTGGGTGTGGGAAACGCAAATCAATAGGCGAACAACGTGCTCGCGAATCGATGTGGAAGAGGAAACTACTGGCACCCTGGGTCTCGTCCGCGCGTTGTTCTCTAGACTACTCCGAGTCGGTTGGGCACTGGGAATACACAGAAAAGGAAAAAGTGAAAACAAGAGGGCAAAGAGGAAAATAACTGGAACCATTCGATTAGAAAGTGAGTGGGGACCAGTATTACTAACTACTATACATAGTAACATGTACTTAAAAGAGGGAAAGTGGAAATGAAAATGGAAGAGGGGCGAGGAAAAGAGGAGGCCAAAACACGTCTTGTTAGATGGAAAGGAAAGGAGGACACCGCCGTGCGTTACCTACAGCAGTTGCGTTTTCATATCTCTTTCGTACTTTGTTCTTTAATGTTTGTTATGCCGAGCGCATTTATATCAGGGAGAGCATTGGAAGAGGAGGCAGCAAAAAAGTTCAAAAAACATGAAGACCATTCGAAAACCATCTTCCTTTCCGTTTAATTTCAAAACTGGTTTCACTGTCCTTCACGTGAAACCCGAAACCCAAAAACCATAAAATGAAACGGACTGGCCATTTGTTTTCAAGAATATTATACATTTATTTATTCCGTAGAAATAGCGGGATGACATCATAAAAACTTCAAAGTGAGAAAAAGAAAAACACTTGTGATCTTCTGTTATTTATTGTCAAACGCATATTTCATAAATTTTCACGGAAGTGTCCTTTCCAGTGGAATTCGTTGGCGATTCCGACAGAATGTAGCAGTCGTTGATTGGTTTTTGAGCGTTTGTTTCAATGAATCCGACGGCCGTGCACGATTTCTAAAAATACATGAGATTTCAGAAGGATACTGAGAAAACTCACATTTGTCGACAGAATGTTGTATTTGCAAATGTTCCAGCAGTTTTTCGCCGTCGTCGCGTGCGTCGATCTGAGTGTAACCGTACTCATATCCGCCACAGAGACAGAGAGATTTGCGACCATGCGGTCCGGATCAGCTGAAAAGCAAAAATCGGCAAAGAAGAGTCTTTAGGGTACTGACCGTATTTCAAATGTCCACAAGTGTTATCGTCAAGTCGCATTTTGTGAAACTTTAAGGCTGAGGGGGTGATGGCTGTGGCAATTGACGGCTTTGCATCAGTTTCGTCTTTTACAACATACGACTTGAGTCCGAACATTGCTTCAACTGGCACACCACGCTTCTGAAATAAGCGGTCAATTTCGAAAAGTTCTTTAAATGAGTGTAACAAACTTTTCGAGATTGAGGTACGCAGCAATGACATTCCAGAACAAAATTCACGTTTCTCTGTTGGGTACATCTACATTCATCCTGCTTGAAACCGGTACAACTCATCGTTTCAATTCCTGAACATGAAAATACGATTTTTCCGTCCTCTCTTTTCTGCGAAGCATCTAACCCATATCACCGAGCATCAACGTGCAGTTTTCTTCTTTAGCACACTTATTTTCCGCTCGAGCTGCACCTTAAAATAATTTTATTTTGAGCTACTTCGCAAAAAACGATTAGTTTCGTGTTTGCCTCTTTTCAAAACAACACGAGTCTAAATCTATTTCCATCCAAGAGTGGGTGGATGAATTGGAAACGAACTTTGCGCATAGAAAAGATTTCTCAGCCAAACACAGCTTTTTTTTTCGAAAACATACCGATGACAGAGAAAAATACGGCAATTGTTATGACGAACATAGATGGAGATTGAAAAGGTATTCGGCAAAAAGTTTCTAGTGACAGTGAACGAATGAACGAATTGTGATCATATTCCCTTCTCTGTTCGCCGGTAATCCCAAATAAAATACATTATATTGTTACGCTGAGCGACCTTCGCCCCACTCATCCATGTTTATTTCCGTTTACGTGCGGCTGTAGTAGAATCCCCGCAGAAAATAATTATCCGGTTAAGAATGTACGTTTTCCGTTTTGTTTTGGTCTGTCGGAAATGTCAGAAACACGTGGAGAGAGTGTGCACAAATTGAAAGAAGTTTATGCGAGTGGATTACTAGATTTCGACGCGAACGTAGATTTCCAGTGACGTTTGTGATGCAGACAAAACTTTTGTGTCGGAGATCACGTTGAACACTTCCTGGAAGATTAACTCGATAACATTTTCCGGTCTTCAGATTTCAGATTGATTCCAGACAAACAAAACTAGTACAATTTCAATGAAAAATAGTCGGTTCGTAAAAGAAAATCTGCAAGTACATTTATGTGCCTCGATGTTATTCCTGATGGAATCCGTAACACAATAACGCTTTTCAGATCTACCACAACAAATTTCAACTGAAATTATTATTAATCTCAATCTGACCCCTCAAGAAGGGTTTCAAAAGTATAGAAACCTTATACATTACTCCTGAATTTCAAGACTTGACCAAAATAAACCATGAGCCTTGGTCCCGCCCAGTTATAATCCACGGTCACTAAAGGGGAGGAGCCTGACGGCGTGGAGTGGAGGCGTCCGGATACTTCTGGGAGCCTTATATATTCTGCATCCAACTCGAAAAAGGCATTTCACTGCTTCTGTACGGCTGTCATTCAAAATGCGCTTTCTTCTCGGTAAGTTCCTTGAAGGCCATTTTTGGAATTGCAATTTTTTGGTTTCAGGATTGCTCTTGCTTATCGTCTCCTTTGTCGCCAGCTCTCCAATCCACGGAATCTGGAACAACCTCCCAGCTCCTCCGGTAAGACAGTCAGTACTCTATTGAAAACGTGAGGGGGGGGGGGGGGTCAGAGTTTAGTAAAACTTACTTTCTCACGCCCCCATGAATAAGCTATTCAGTTTCTTTTTCGGGCGAAACTTTATCATAAGCTGTGTCTCAAGTGTCCCAAAAATTCCCACAATCTCCTCCTCCTATTCATGGATTTCTTTTTCTCAGTTCTAAATTTACACCAAACCAAAAAGCAAAACACGTTCAGACAAAACGCGTCTACGGATTCTACAACTACCTTCCGAAGGAAGAGGACGACCGTGACAAGCGCAACACACTCTTCTACTGGGCACCGAACGACGACTACATCGAGTGATCATTCCATAATGTTCCCTGATGTTCCTTCCGAATAAATTATTGTAACTGTGAAATAAGATTCCACCGATTTTTCGTTATAATGAAGTGCGCCCAAAGAAAATAACTTTCTTATCGGGGCCGCAGAACTTTTGCGTTTGATAACACACCTCTAGTTTTTGCTTTGTGCTAGCAAGAAGGTTCTGCTTTTTTATTGATTCATGAAATTGACCAGAATTTCATCAACAAACTAAACATCGTGACATTTTATTTCAGCCTATGACCACGTCAGACCCGGTTCAGATTCTATCGAATGGAGTGGTGAAGCCAATCGCACAGTTTTCGGTTCCAACCAAACCTGAGGACATTGAAGACTTGGGGCATTGCAAGATATGTCTTCAAAGGGCCGATGGTATTCATTTTTCAGTGACTTCTTGCAGGTATTAGTGAGATTATGTATATTCACAGCAAGTTCCTTTATTTCAGAGCTTGTGCAGCATTTTTCCGTAGAACTGTCATACTCAAGATGAAGTATAGTTGCAAGGAAGAAGGAAAATGCTCAGTTGAGAAGTGTAAGTGTTTAGCTTTTCGAGAATGTTCTTCCGGGCCGCCCTCACACTTTATTAGAGCCGGAAATGAAAATCATTTCGTCATGAGTGGGAGGAAGTGCTGGATTGAATCAGACACAGCTTCTGCTTGTTGCTGATCTTGTGGTTTTTGTGAATAACGTCCGTTCGGGAACTACGGATTTAGATAATGTCTGCTCAACATTTCTATTTTTGGCGGGGGTATTTCTTACGTGCGGGTCATCATTGAATTCTTGATTATGAAACAAAACATGACGAATATTGACATTCATTTCTATTCAGCCCTCCGAAATTTGTGCCGCAGCTGTAGGTACACGCGATGCCTCAATGAGGGGATGAAAACAGAATGTGAGTTTCGCAACTTGGAAATTAAAAGATTAAAACACAATACTACAGTAGTCCAGCTCCAAAGAGATTCCATTGGCCGAAAAAGAAGCCAGCAGGTACAAATAAACTGTTTTGACGAAAGTGAGAATGACAGAAAGCCTTCAGAGTTCCTCTGCGGATGCCCTTTTTCTGCCAAACGTCGCTTCGTCGCTGAGTGCTGTTTTCAAGAAAGACGATGGACGAGAAGAGTCACTCACAGCGTCTTGCACTATTTTGGCTCAGATGACAAGTGGTACACAAAGACACATCCGACAAAAGATGTCAAAAACGTCAGTTTTCAGGATATGCTCTGTTTTTGAAGTTTCGAAAATCGGCGAACACTCTGGTGCAGAGCTCGGTGATCACTCCACCTTTTAAAATGCCAAAAGAAGTGAGGAATGTAACGATTCTATTTAGATTGTAAACGTTTTTCTAGGAACTTCATACATCCCGTTTTGATTCGGCTAAACAAGTGTGTAAAGTCGAGGCACATTTGGTGACAGATATTGTGAACACTTATTTCTATCCGTTCAGTAGTCTGAAGTTTGAAGACAAAGCAAGTTTTGAGGGATTTTTTAAAAGAATGACTATGAAGTTGGCAGGTTGCTCTGTTCAAAAACTTCTTCTGCTACTTCTCGCACACCGATCGCGCTTACCAATCCTACAAACGCTTTGAAGGTGATAACGGTAAATGTTATTTTCACGCCTTCATTTTGTAATTGATGTTTTGAACAGCGAACGACAAGATCCTCATGCCCGATGGAGGATTCATAAAGCGGACCGAACTCGGAAGATTCTATGAGAATGCGGAAGGCGTTCATACAACTCCAGAAGATGCTGCAAAGTGAGAATTACGGATTTGTTTTGATCATGATAGATTAATCTGTGTGTTTTGTTTGAGAATCTTCCAACCGGCATTCAATTACATTTTGGATGTCATTGTTGACTATATGAGACGCATTCGTATAATTGAGACCGAATATCTGGCGCTCCTTGGTTTCTGTTTGTGGGACGACGGTGAGTAAGCATGACGGGGCGACGGAAGCTTTCCGGAAACAATCAGCATAACCTATTTCGATGTGTTCTCTTTCAGCGGTTCCCGGATTATCCAAAGAGGCCAAAGGTTTGGCGGTGAAAACGCAGTCGCAGTTGCTCGCGGAGTTGCAAACATTCTACTTTGCACAAGTGGAGGATTAAGAGATTAAAACATTTGTATCATTCACCGTTTTCAGAGCAAAGAGCCCCCAGAAGTTACGCAACGAATCGGACAGCTTTTGTTGCTTGTTCCAAAGCTAACAGTTAGCTTTAAAAGAGTGTAAAAGAATCCTATTAATTTTCAGAAGTGTGTCATCATGCTGCGTGAAAACTCTGTGCTGGCCGAACTTTTCAATTACTACGAGGCGGACGTCTGTTGCAAAAACTTCAAAGAAGACGCTTCTGTCGATTTGGACTGCACTTCCGAGTGCATTGTACATTCTAAAAACGAATAACACGTGACGAGGTGTCAATCAGACTAAACTACTAATAATAATACATCAACATGCTACTAAGATTATTTACGCAATAAATTGTTTATTTACGAAAAGAAGCGACAAAAGGTCACCGTTTGAGATGATCGCAGAAACTTTCATCGTAGCTTCTTCCTTTCTTGATGTCACAGACAAAAGTGTATCGGCATTTGTAATCAGTGTAGCATTCATTGTTGTAATGATTCCGGTAGAACCGCCTGAAAAATCAAAGTGTTATCGGTGGACGCTTGAACTCATCATCAAACCTGACGTAATCTCTGAACATTGTCGTGTTACTCCAAAGTTTGTCGCTCAAATCGGACCAGGACTGTGGAGAGAAATCGGCCATCTCGTAATGTTCTTTGGTGTCGTATGACAGCACCCACTCGGGCTCTTTATTTTTCATGTTGGCTTCCGTTACATTTGCAAAATACGTCTTCGCTTCTTTCACAGTCTGGAATTTCATGCATTCGAAAATCAAAAGGTTTTGATAAGTACGGCTTCCGTACATAAGTCGCGCCGTCATATCCTCCGTCCACTTCGTAAATCCTGAATGCCGGATTGAGAAAGTCGTAAGTGGTCAGAGAGGGACTGATCCAGTTGAAATGGAAAGGTCTTCTGTTCGGATCATCCATGTCGTAATACACCTTGAAAGCAAGCATTTCAAATTGATCAAGTTCTGGAATGTACCATAAATTGGTCATAATGAGTGTGTCCGTAGAACATTTGAGCAATGGTGTTCTCGAATCTTTTCACAATCTCAAAGAAGTTCCACGACCATCCTTTCAAGCAATAATTGTCACCGGGAGGAATGTGGGAAATTATGTGGACCTGAAAGACGGATGAACGGATATAACTTTTGGTCGCTTTTCATCATTCTACTACTCGTGGGAATTCGGAAATAAGAAACCACTCACGAGCTCTCCTTTCTTCTCAGAATCCACCAATTCCTCAATCAACCATTCCAACGTTGCATCGGGGTCTACTTCGTTCACATAGAGATAGCTAAACTATACGATAGAACCGGAAGCAAAAAGGTGTCTTACAAATTGAATTCAGAGCAGTAAATTGTGTTTAATGATATCAGTTTCAATCCTGGTTTCGGGTACACGGTATAACTAGCGCGGCTGGAAAAAAGACAAAAACATTATCGGGTTACTCAAAAAAATGCTCACTATTGGACGGTATCAAGAGCTTCCTTTGGAATCCAATGGGACCACATATCAGACATTATCTTGTACAACCACTGTGGACCTCTCTTGTCGTATTCTGGCATTGTATGTGGAGCCATTCTGAACTTATCGGTCGGTCAAAACAGATTATAAGAAGTCTAGACACGTACGCATCTTGAGGAACTCCTTCATGGTTTCCGATAGACACATAGACAGGCACATTCGGGAAGTACTCCAGGAACACATTAGTCATATTGTCCATGTTTTCTCTCGTCAGGTCTTCGGTGTAATCCCATGAGTCATGTGCTTCAAAGTCTCCAGTGATGATGATATAATCGAGCTGGAATTGAAAATAATTGGTTTTATTCGTATCGAAAGAACGCATACGTCTTTGAATGTTTTGCTGATGTGCTTGATGGCCGACTCGAAAGTTTGATAAGGAAGGTCGCACAAGTAAGGCATGCCCCATGGTCCAGCAGGTACGTAAATTTGCTCTGAAAAACAATCCTTGTTTTCCAAATTCCTACCTCTAGAGCTCACTATCTTTGAAGCTTGTCGGGTTTCCCTGGCTGTCCTGACTATAATCTCTGCAGCACATCGCGTACGTTCCGAGGGCACTGTCCAACTGACAATAGGCTTCGGTTCCGACCACATACTGATGGTCAATGTGGATATCCGACAAGTGAAGCACTTTGAAAGTCGGCTTGTTGTCTGGAATTTTGGGCCACGGGCGGATTGGTGGTTTTCCACCGGGGATCGTGATATTCCACATGTGCGTGAGGGGCTTGTCCGAGTGACCACAGTTCGCGATGAATGCTCCGCAGATTTCGTCCGGTGTAAAGACAGATCTTTCAAGAACAAACACGACTTCGTCTTTGAACGCGTAGATGATGTTTTTGCAGACGTGTGGCTGCTCCACTTCGAGCAAATCACACATATTCCTGCAATCTTCAGAGTTCCGGATCATTTCTTGATAGGAGTCGCGACACGCGGTTTTTGACAAGAACTAGACTGTTTCAAAGACATTGATAAGACAGATTTGATTAAAGATCATGTCAACCGGGCTAGAAAAGGTTACAAACTACTATAAACGCACACAAGAAAGTCAGCAATCTCATCGTCCGTAGAGTTTTGAGCAATCAGGGTCTGAACACCATCCACAGCAAATGTACACGCAAAACAAGACATTTTCCTGTTCTCCGGGGCATTCATAACTTTCTTAGCATATCTGAGCATCTGAAACAGGAAGGAAAATTTGGAAGGCTTTCAGAGAACATGTTTATTTACCTTGTACTTGGGTGGTGCTGGGGCGAAATCATTTCCACGCACATTTGTCCATTTCTCATATTCCGATCGGATAACACCACCTTCTACGAGACAAACAAATGCTAGCACAACACCCAAAGTGATGAGAGACTGCCGCATCTGAAATAATACTAATAATGATGGAGAGCTCACTGAAAATTGACTGAAAATGAGATGGGTAATGAATGAGTGAGAGAGGAAAGACGGACACGAAGTTCTGCTCGTCCACTTATATCACCATGTGCATTTCATTTCTTATCTGTACTCGATCATTTTCCGTTTTCCTGTACATTCAATTTTTATCGATGAGGCAGTGAATTATTGACAGAGACTGAATATTAAAGCTACATGGACAACATGCAATAATGGGCGTATGGAAGAATGAAATGATTCATGACGGTTGCTCCGATCCGGGTCGAGTAGAATAAATCCACGATATCCTGATACATCTTAAATTGTTGGTGACTTGAAGAGGCCACTTTATCCCATTGCGCTATTCTCGATTCCAATATGTACTTTGTGTTCTGAAATGAAATCGTCACAGACATCAGAAAAGAAAACAAGTGATATAACAGAAATCAGAAAACACAAACCGGTAGTCGCTCACCTCAACAGACGTCGTGTTGCATGTAGATTGATCATCGGCCAAGAAATAAAAACCAATGCTGCGCATCTAAAAACGAAAATGTAATCACTGACAGAACAAACAAAAAAGTCTACAGTAGACTTCAAACCTTGGCAAGTTTCCCGCCCAGCTTTGTCTCTCCGTCAAACTGAATGAACTTTGGCGGAACCCCCGAGATACCTTGTAACCATTGCCAGTTCGTTATCAGACTGAAAACGTGGAAAACGTGATAGTTGTAACATTTTTGTTATTTACTCGAAAGATAATCTGCCGCACTTTGCAATTCCGGAAATCTCGCACAGGGAAGTCATGTAGGCGTTATCGGGGGCGTACCACCAGGAAATATCTTTTGCTAGTTTCGCGAAATACTCCTTGGCATTTGAAGTTGGCTTAGCATGATAATATCCTCCTAAAAACAGAATATCATCGGTGAAAATGTCGAATGAAATGGATACCTGCAATTAAAGGTCCTTTGTCTGATGCTCTATCAAACACAATGTCAAAGCCTTGATCTTCTTGAATGTCTATATTCAAAAGACTGTCATTCCAGAATGTGTCCTGTTGAATCATCCAAAACGATCGGTCGTAGTGCAAAATGGCTCTTGCTAGATTAGCTCGGAACAGATAAAACAGCTGATAGTAACCATCTCCATAATTGAATGGGTCCTGAAACAGAACAAAAATGATATGAAAGTGTGTGGAAAGAGTAGAAATACTTTCAATCCGGGGACCACGATATTGATTTGCGCAACGTTTGGCCACGTCTTTTCCAATGCAGAAGAAGCCTCTTGGTCCAGAGTTACAATATAAGAATTCTCGTGCACGCCTAAACAATTCAGAATCGAAAGCTTGAATATACGTGAAAAAATACCTTTCAGATGTTGTGTGTTGCACAACCAATTGAAAGTCATGTTCAGAGCGTGCTTATTCAATATAAGAATAAGGCCCGAACGGTTTGGTTTCATTTGAGAGACTGCTTCTTGGAGAGATGAATCTTTAATCTGAAACAGAATAACTTTCAGTTTTATTCCAAAAATCACGTCCTTACCAGTCTTTCGAAACCGACATCTTCCCAGTTTTGCCACACTATGTACATTGCCATACATGCTATCGCAATCTTCCGGAATACCAGAAATACAAACCCGAAAGCAAAAAGTTTCCAAAAAGATGACAGTTTTTTCATGACAGCAAGTTTTTGCAAAAATAAATTAGCAAAACGAGTTGTAAACGGAAGATAAAGGATGGCAAACCTTGAAGGTACGTGAGGCTGCAAACAAACGGATATTGGGCGGACTGTGAGTAATGCAGACAGTCTTTTTGATGACGTTTCGATGGGAGGGCGGCCGACCTGACGTATTGTTCCTTTTTCGTCAAATAAGTTCGCGCATTGGGTAATTGCTCATCGGTCATAGGATTCCGGGTCTTGCCAATTAATGCGACGTTCGAATCGGGTCAACAGGAAAACCGAGAAGTACCTGAGGATTGAAACTAAACATTTGCAACTGATAAGCAAGATATTGTCTCTTGTTTGTTCGCCTAAATGATCATTCGATTCAAGAATTTGGTCATTGGCCAGCAAGAAAAAGTCTGAATGCCATTCGAGAAGGTCGTCTGATGGACGGATGATTGCAAAAGCAAAAACGATTTAGTTCAAATGCCAAACTATACACTTTACAACGGGAACAGAATGATGAGAATCTGAGAATAAAGAATTGAGTCTGACGAAAACTGAAATGTCGTGGCCTTCTACCCCGGCGGATGGCATGTCATCCCTGTAATCCATAACTGCCAAAAATGAAAATGTTATATTAGAACCAGGTTTCAGCTCAAAACACTGAATTGATGCTACCCACAAATACGTGCCTTCATTCTTCCCCATCCTTCTCTTCTGCTACCTAATGATACACATATCGGGATATTTGCCCTGCGGCAAAACAGAAAAGTCAAAAGGATGAAGCTCAGTGACAATCTCTGTTTCACTAGCTTCCTACTTCGCACGTCATTTCTATTTGTGGCTGTCATCCGCGCACGTTTTTCAACTGAAAAAATGATGTTCTTCAATAAGATTTTTTGTTGCTTAAGGTCTCATAGTAAAAATCTTTAAAGAATTTACTCGAACCCGCCAAAAATACTTTTTCTAGCGTTTCGCGAACAAGAGTTCATTTTTCTTTGAGGCGACACACGAATTCTTCTCCGAAACCTCCCATTTCTTTTGTCAGGTCTCACTCGGGCTGCATGAATAATGTCTCCAGGCTAGGAGAACACAGAGCACTTCTTCTTTTTTTCTGTATTATTCCCACGCCACGTAAAAGATCCTACCACAGAAGACACAAACAAATAGTTTCAAATTCGGAGTCAAGTCTGTTTGGCACGAGTCCAGAAACTATAATTGTCGCTCTTCTGTGTTATGCATTTTCTGTTTTCTTCTTCTTCTTCTTCTTCCCCTTGCGCTCCTTTTCTCATTCCCTTTTCTGGATATCTATTTCGTTGCCAAATTGGATCAGAGGGTCCCTGACACAAACGTCCCGGTGTTGCTCTTTTTCCGAGTGCTCCTTCCTCTCCCCGGGATCCACACAAGTCACGTCGTGCGTGAGCACGGCTGTGGGCTTAATTGAAACATCAAACAGATTCACATTTGATTTGCGCCTATCTGAAAGATGCGCACTAATCCAATTTTATGTCTATATCGATGTCTCTCTTCACATGGAGCTTTTTTGCGCCGCGTTTTGTGACGATGCGTAAAGGAAAGGAAAGGATAGGCAGTGCTCACAAAACACACGCTACTATAAAAACAAGTGAAAGACTAAAGAGGAGGCATACAACAGTGTGAAGAAGTGGAGAAGAAGAAGAAGAAGAAGGATGGAAGGGGGAGAAGAACAATTATTTGTCCTGGCATGAGATTTTGCGTATTGCCTTGACTATTCGACAATATTCACTCGGATAATTAGCTCCTCGACCAGCACGGCCACACATTTCAGCAACAGCATCCTCAGAGGAGTCGCTCCATCAAGATCCCTCCTTCTTTCTTCCACTTCAACCGTCACCCATTCTTTCGAACTCCTCCGCATGATTTCATTCTTGGCCACTCACTCCAATCTACACTTTTCATTTCAAAAAAAAAGTAAGGGACCTCTATCTTTAAAGGATCTTTTCGCTCCGGACGGTTTCTAAGCGGTTGTGCTCATAACTCTTTCACGGTTGGCTCTCGTCACTATATAAGATTTATGACTTCTTCATCTTTCTTCCTCTTTCGGGGCATTGTCATAGTCACCAAGGTGACTTTTATTTATTGCCTCCACTCTTCCTCTTCATTCGCACAAAATTTTATTTTTATTTTATTTTTATTTTATATATTTATTTGTTTGCAGTGTTCAGCCAGCTCACAGCGCAGACCTCGCTTGCTTTTGACAACATTCGTCCCAAAAATGATGGACTTTGAGAACCTGACAAAAGAAGAAATGGATCACCTCCAGAGGTTTCGATCTCTCTACTTGTCGTTTGATATTTCTATATTTCAGAATATACGATGATACAATAAGTTTCGAAAGGAAAATCGGAATAATTATTCCTACAATCTTCGCGATCATTATACTTGTCGGAGTTGTTGGAAATGCTCTTGTAGTTATAGTAGCTTTTGGGCGCCAAATGAGGAATTCGACGAACACTCTGATCATCGGTTAGTTCTTCATATTTTTATCTTTCCATCCCTGTAATTCTAGGTCTTGCAATTTCCGATCTTATGTTCCTGCTCCTGTGTGTTCCGTTCACGGCCATCGACTACGCAGCGCCCACCTGGATTTTCCCCGAATGGACATGCTCAATGATAAATTTCTTTCAGGTCGGGCTCTTTGCAAAACAACAATGTGTTTTGTATGTCGTCTTATATTGGCTCCCGTTATATTTCATGTCTAAATAGCTCATTTTAGCACACTTCTGCCTACTGTAGCGTCTGGACGTTAGCTTTAATGGCACTGGATCGTTACCTGGCTGTGGTTTATCCGGTCGAGTCGATGACATTGAGAACGCCTAGGAATACAGTCATCGCGCTTGCTATCATTTACATCATAATCATTGCATCACAAGTAAGAAATTACTAGATAGGGTTCTGGTAACAGGGTAAAATTGAGATCCCTGTTGGGAGGATGCACGGGATTTATGTGTACGATTTCATAATGGAGAAGAGATCGACGTGTGCAATCCTGACTATTGCTACTGCTGAAGCCTCCCCAGTTATGGTGAGACCCATGTGCTCATCGAACATTGAAACGAACTCATTTTTATTCAGGCACGCACGTATTTCATGACGTTCAATGTGTTCGGTTACGTCCTACCTTTAGGAATCTCCGTAGTGCTTTACGGATTAATGCTGAGGAAGTTGTGGGACATGCCCCGACCTGGAAACACACAAGTGACCGGGGTTCGAGCAGTGAGTTTTGTTCTGCAACGGAGACAGAAATGGAAGATTTCAGCTTGCAAACAGGGACAGTGGTTCCAGCATTAGACGGAGACCCGAGGCAACCGCCGCTAAGAAAAAAGTGCGGGACCAGTACACAACAGGTCAATTCTTAGAGCTTTGTTCAGGTAACTCGTCTGGTGATGTGCGTCCTTATCACCTGGGCTCTCTGCTGGTTGCCACTGAACGTTTGCTTCTTTATGTCGGGACTTGCATACCCGGAACCTCTAGTCATTTCTCACGGAGTCATAATGGTTATTGTTCAAATTGCGAGCCAAGTGCTGGCGTACACAAACTCGTGCCTCAATCCCATTCTGTACGCGCTGATGTCTCAAAGTTTTCGAGAAGGTGGGTGTAAAAAGAAACGGAAACTGTAACAATGAATAGTATGATTAGGATTCATCCGAATATTGAAAATGTCCGTCAACAAGATCACCTTCGGAAGATTTTGCACGAACTACCGTCGGACTGCTCTCAGAACGGAACTAACCCATTACAACCAGCCCCCATCATCACAACCGACCAACACAATTGTGCAAGTGTCAAACGGGGAACGGTCGATTCTTCTCAAAGACAGTTCCAATTCCACATCTTCTGTTCAACCACTCCGCACTTCCATTCAAGCTAAGAAGACAAAACCGGTACATTTTGTGTGAATTTGACATGAAAATTCATAAAACCTTGCAGATTAAGCGAAGCAAATCAACTCGGAGCAACAATCTCTAAACGCAGGCAACTCGTATGATGTCGGCAACGGGAATAGGTTAACGATATGAGCGAGTGAGCAATTATTACCCTTAATTTTGCCATTTCTCCGTTTCATTTATTATTTTTCAGGTCTGTGATGCTCTTCATTGTCTGTGTTTCAACAAAGCTGCTTCTACATATTTGCTGATATTTATTGAAAGTGTAATATGTGTATTATTTAAGAACAATTATAAAATGAGAAAGCTTTGTTGTCTGCAAATTTTTACTGATTGACTATTACTCAAGGCTACTGTGGTTGGTTTTTGTGCTCTTGGTTTTGCAAAGCAAGGGGTCAGAGAGCATGCCAAACCACTCACATTTATATCTATGGCGTAGAAAATTTAGTGCATTGCAAAAAAGAAATGAAAACGAAGCTACGGCCAGGGGAAGTGGTGTGTATGTTGTTTTTGTTGTTGCCAGAAGATGTGAAATGACTAGTTGCAGAAAAATCTGCAAAAATAGAATAAGTGGACTCCCCCTCAATCTTCCGCTCACGTGATTGATTTGAAGTTGGCTCATGTCGGATGAGCGAAAGATAGAAATATCCTCGGAATTTATTTGCCAGTTTTTCCCTCCAAATAATAAGTCAAACACTCTCCTTTTCCCTGAAAACTGAAAATCATCAAAGCATAAATCTTCGCTACGAACCTTCACTTCAATCTTTCCTCTTTCAACCATTTGGAATTGAGGGAAGAAGCAATGAAGGAGATTGTATGCGCCTTCCGAAATCTGAACCAGAACACAAAGTGAGAAATAGAGGATGGGGTTTGGAAGGAACCTGAATCTTATTAGCCACTCCAGTGCTTTCCATTCGCGATGCCGTGTTCACCGTGTCACCGAACAGACAATATCTGGGAGCTGCCAGTCCGACAACTCCCGCCGCTACTGGACCACTATGGAATCCAATGCGGACCATCATGAGTTCTTCCGGGCGATGAGCAAGTTTGAAGTTGCAGATGAACTGGAAATGGAAACAAAAATAATTAAAAGAACCTATACTGAAAGTCTTACTGCTCGCATTTTCAAAGCAACGTCAGCAATGTTCTGAGCATGGCTGTTTCCGTTCTCAGTCGGCACTCCAGACACAATCATGTACGCATCTCCAATAGTTTCCACCTTGTACGCGTCGTGTTTTGCAATAATCGCATCAAATCCACTGAACATGTCGTTTAGGAATGTAACAACCTGAAGAATTTGGATTAAAATGGTTTTGCACGAAATTTAGTTACTTGGAGCGGTGTAGAAGTAGAAGAAATGCGAGTGAAACCGCGAATGTCCGAGAATAAAACAGTGGCGCAGCTGTAGAGTTGCGGCAGAACTGGCTTTCCCACTTTGAGATCCTCGGCGATTGACCTGAAAGTATGTTCAAGTGTTTCACGAAGACAAAACAGTTTTCTGGAAACGAAACGACGGAGTGCAGCAGTGCTCAACGGTTGCAGTATCGCCGCTTACAGATGCGACAGATTTGCACAGACATCTGTGAATTGTTTGTGAAAATCTATGCTTCTGTAAGCGGAGATACGCATTCAGTGCCCATCATGCGGAGTATCAGTCAATAGAAGTAGGAGTGCAAGTGAGAAAAAATGGAAAAATGAACATACTTTGGGAGCATACTGTTCAGCAGTCGATCCGCTTGTTTCTGAGCCTCTTCCAGTAGTGCAGTACGGTCTCGAACCATATTTTCCAGATTGGCTGTGTATTCTTCCATCATTTTCATCATTTGATCGACCAATGAGCCTTTTCCGCTGAACGTGGTGTTTGAAAAAGTTGTTTTGATACAGTTTCTTACGTTGATTTCAAATTCGCATTGACCATGGTGCGTACTTTTTTGATTGGCGGTCTCATCTCCGGAATTTCGAGCCAGCATGCTTCGATACATGATAAAAGCTGAAAACTTTCGAGATTTCAGTGCTGAGTGACTTTGTTTCACCTGCAGATTATAACCTTCTCCAGTATTTGAAGACGGGAATGTCGGGCGGATTAGTTGGTCGTCGTCATTAGCCATTGCCAGCATTTCCATCAGCTCTGAAATGGATTATCTTAATACTAAACATGATTTCATCGAATCATACTGTTAATACTCTTGTTCCGCTCATGGAATGGCTCCACACGGAAAAGAATTTGATACAACACCATTCCGAGAGCATAGATATCCGCGGATTGGTTTCCTTGCGGAATAACTTTTGTAGTCACAATTTCACGGATTATTTCAGGGGCTTGTTGTACGTACTCTGAAGAAATTTGGTGTCTGGACATGTGTTTTTAGCATCAACAAACTCTTTCTGGCAAAATCTTTAGTTGGATCGGACACTTCATCGGCAGAATCACTATCAGCATTGATAAACGGACGAAGTTCATTGTGATCGAGCTTTTCGAAAATGATCTGTTCAGTGGCAAAGTTAGTCAGTTTGACGGTCCAGTTCGAGTCGACAAGACAGTTTTGAAGACAAAGCATTCCATGGTGGAAAAGCGGAGAAGCGTGCAAAAAATTGAGGCCCTGAATGTATGGATGTTAGGGGCAAAACAAAGGCACAACGACACCTTAACAACATCCTTCGCAAACGAGACTTGGAAATTTCTTCCGAGTTTCAACTCGTCGTTGAATAGAATGTCTTCCAAGCTGCCACGAGAGCAGAGGACCCACATAACAATAAATTCGTTCTGCTGGTTGAACGAAATTCCGTAGAACTTGTTCAAATTATCGTTCTCCAGAATTTTCAGTTCTTTCAACTGTCTAAGCTCGGATTTTGGGAACGTAATGTTACGAACTTGTTGGTAACGCTGAAAATAAAACATATGACGACGAGCAGTGAATGAACAAAAAGTACCTTAATAGCAAGTTTGACGCCATTTGAAACTGCTTGTTTAGCTGCTATCAAACCGTTCTGCTTTGAGTTCATGCTTCCCGAGAAAGAACCGGAACTCTGAGACTTGCTAGCCAAAGAATGCTCTGATCTCGACTTTCCTTCCAGAAGTTTTATGGATTCTCTAGGTATCCTCCACGTCATATCATATAACAAACGCTCTTTTCTGAAATCATAAATTATAATTCAGAACACTCGATGATTCTAACTGTTTCAAGTAGATGAAATACGAAAGTGGTCCTACGGTGAGGATGAACGCTATGAGACTGAACCCAATGAAATACGGTCTGTAATCACAATCCGCTCCAGTGAAACCACACTTTGGTACTGTTCCTGGTAGTCTCCCACTGTCCGAGTTCCAATAGTATTGTACTGTTTCATGGGCGACCTGTAAGGCTTCAGTGTGAAGAAATAGACTGAAATGGCCATTTACATGTTCGGAGCACATGTCCTCGTTCTTCTCACACTGCCCACGATCATTATTTTTGGCTTCTAATTCCACAACAATCTGAATGATTCAGATTCAGATTCAGATTGGACAATTGAGCACTTACCTTCAAAGTTCCATTTGTTGCATAGTACGTGGCATACGAAGGTACACGGATAGCTTTGTTGTTCATAAGAACCTGCCCGGTAGCTCCTGAAATGCATTAAGATTGAAATATTCGATGATGGGATTAAGTAACCGATAAACTGCCGATTTGTCATTCGGGACCATATAAGCGATCCATTCATGTGCACGTTATAGCCTCCGCCATCTTCAAAGGCATCACGTAGGGCCAATCCATATAAGAACAGAGCATCATAAAGAGACATGTACGACAGAGTGGCATACTAAACGAAAAATCAATAGAGGCAAACAACAACTGACTCACATGATTGGCTAAGACTCCAGTGACAGAGCTGAATTTCTGTTGGAACTCGTCAAAGAACTTCTTGTCGTAGCCGTGAGCAGTGATGATAATCGTGTTTTCGAAAGCCAACTTCACTTCTTGCTTATCGACGTTTGCCGCTTCCCAGGGATAGTGGTCGTTTTGCTGAAGCTAATCTGTGGTATTTGTTGCGGCATATACATAGCTTACATGGGCCAGCCAAGGGATTATGAACACAAACTCCTCGTTTTTTATCTCTGCTCTATGCACAGCCAACATGAAATTTGTGACCGAGTGGATGTCCATACCAAGCTCCACAACAACAACTGAAGGTATAAGGGAGAGTTTCAATGAGCGTCTGGGTGGAACATAAACGTACTTCTCGCATAGCTCCGTAGTGTCGTGAGCTTTCCGGAAGCGATGATCTCCTCCGGAGAACTAAATGGCTCGATATCGACAATAACATTAAGATTGATGTCTCTCTTCTTGATCTGATGTTGCAATGAATAAACAGAAAGTCGATCAAATCCAGTGCTCGGCCGGACAATACCAATCTGCAATCGTCATCTGTGATGTGTCTGCCATGACTACATCCGATATCCAGTAAGAAGGATTTATCGGAAAACAAGTCGACTAATAACAGATTAGCTCTTAATCCTTCAATCCATTTTAGAGCACAGCCGATTGCTCTGCGACCTGCTGCCGACGTCGACTTGTTATACACTTGCTTATGTGATCACAACATCCGGTGAATGAGTCACGATTACAAAGTATTTGAACAAAAACGGATAGGTGTACAAGTTAATCGAGTTAATTTTTGATCAAAAAACAGAAAATAGAAACCTAACTTTGATTCGATTGCAAATGATTTAAAAGATAGCCAAACAATATACAGTAACAACAGAAAGTGCTCACCTGGTCCCAGTTGTTCAAATTCAGATAGGTAACAGTTGCCTTCGCCATTTCACTGGCTGACGTCAGCGCCACAGATCCCAAAGTCGGAAATTGTGTGCGATCAGAAAGAACATCATCTCCAGACATATGCGCAATAATAGGAACATTCCAACGGGGAGCCAACCGGCCAATCACTAACATTTCTGTAATCTTACTTAATATCGACAACTACTACAATTCAGAGCGTACCATTATTACACCCTGGTCCGAAATAAACAGAAGCATTTTTGATATAATGGAGGAAAGCGGCATGTTCCACACCTGAGAATTTGTTGCAACTTTCCATTGTAAAAATGCTACAAATGATGTGATTTCAGCTAAAATATCCGTCAGATGATCTCACTTTAGACTATAGTTTTGAGGTAGAATATTTCTATTTTTCAAATCATCCGCGCACATCTTCAACACATCGGGTTCGTGTGCAATTATCGGGTTCACCGGATGGAGATGTCCAATTCGGACGATTCCTTCCGCTGAAAACAGGTAAACAACAATAACGCAAACATAGTTTAATTACAACTCAGGGTGGTCTTGACATGCTGGGCCATTTCCTCATGACTGATCTTGCTGATTGACCTCCTCGATTCGGCGAGGAGGAGACAGAGCAGAAAGAAGTATAAAAACATTGGTCATCCTACGCAGGGACCATACTCCCTTTCTTGATGTGGATCGCTTGTGATAGTTTCAGGAGACAAGAATAGCTGGACAGATTGATAGCACTCCACACCGGTTCGATAGATGCAGTTGGATACGATGCAAAAATTATGAATGAATGAGTTGGTGAATCTCCGGCGGATGTTTGAAGTCTTATGTAGGCACTCATTCCCAATCACACCGGAAGAGCCCATCGGAAGTGAGTAGATGGCGTTTAATGGAGGCATCAACACGGGCGTCTTACGTTTTCGGATGTACACCAATGAATATATGTTTGAGTTTAGCTGCAGTCTTCGTGGAAATCATATCAACATCACAGAAAACTGCCGACGCCTGAAAGAACTGTCAAGCCGCGATCGGAGCATGTTAGAAGACGGAAACTGATTGCAGAAACCTGAACAATCTCTCATCATTGACACAGGGCAACAGAAGAGTATGGAAAAACCTGGAAAACAAAAAAAAAACAGTTCAAACTTGTGGTTCTCAGCTATCGATCCTTCTATCAATTCTTCTCCATGCTTTTCCAAAAGGAAAAAACGTGTTGTGTTGTTTCTCCAGGCATTCTTTTTTAAATCCACCCACGCAAGCACAAAGTCCAGGATTTGTTATCAAATACAAAATTCCTCATCTTGAAAATCTGTCCTCATCATCATCATCTTTACGCTGGTTAAACTGATTGGTTTGTTGCAAACATTTTTTATCTTTCATTCCTACGTAAAAATTTCCTTTTTCCAAGTAAATTTTCCTTATCCGTAACCAAAATTCGCAACAGTGTGACTAAAAATGATCGTAAACTGTGTTGCTCGGTCCGCATTACCGCTGGTGTTTGCGTACTGCCGTCGAATGGTCTTCCCCAGTGCACACAGGACCTCCTCCGAGATCAGAGTTCTCTGTGCGATTTTATCTTTTTTACGCCGTTTTCTTCTAGAAACGACGGCCAACATGGCAATTCCTACTCGCGTGCTAGCTGATATCGATGATGCTTATCTCGTTGATGGTATTGCGACCGACCTTGGCACATACACACGCGAAAACGCTCACACACACACACAAATGCGCACACGTAGAGACACTGTCAGACTACACAAGTAGGGCACGCCTCCGCCTCCTTCGTCTCGCATCCGCAATCGTTTCATTTCTGCTGCCCTCTTCTCGTTCGCAATCTCATCTCCTCCCAACCACGTTTCTTTGCAGACATGGCGTTCAACAACCTTATCCGCGACTTGGCAATCGGCGACAACGTCTACAAGTATTTCGATCTGAACGGACTCAACGATGCTCGCTACAGTAAGCCTCCTCTGGTGTTGGCCGGAAGAATACATGCCCTGTTTCAGACGAGCTCCCGATTTCGATCAAGTACCTGCTCGAGGCCGCCGTCCGTCATTGCGACGAGTTCCACGTGCTGAAGAAGGACGTTGAGACCATTCTCGACTGGAAGAACAGCCAGCGGAATCAAGCCGAGATCCCGTTCAAGCCGGCTCGCGTCATCCTCCAGGATTTCACGTAGGACCTCTACCATTTTTTCAGAAACTTAAAAGTTGGCTTTCAGTGGAGTCCCGGCCGTCGTCGACTTGGCTGCCATGCGAGACGCCGTCCAGAACATGGGTGCCGACCCAGCCAAAATCAACCCAGTGTGTCCAGTCGACCTTGTCATCGATCATTCCGTGCAGGTTGACCACTACGGAAAGTACGTTGTTCGTGTAGCCTTCGTGTAGCCTTCAACATTGCCTTCCAGCCTTGACGCGCTTGCCAAGAATCAGTCGATTGAGTTCGAGAGAAACCGTGAGCGCTTCAACTTCTTGAAGGTGAGAACAGAGTTCATTGCGAATGTCGCGTTATAGTCTCCTCATGGTTTGCCAAGAAATCACGCTATGCGAGTACTTCGCCTTTATCACAATTTTGTTCAATGAACACACAAACACTCCCAACCACGCGACATTTAATCGGGTATTGAACAATTGTCATTCATTTCAGTGGGGATCCAAGGCCTTCGACAACCTTCTTATTGTGCCGCCAGGATCCGGAATTGTCCATCAGGTCAACCTCGAGTACTTGGCCCGCACCGTTTTTGTCGGAAAAGATGGAATTCTCTATCCAGATTCGGTTGTCGGAACTGACTCGCACACCACCATGATTGATGGAAGCGGAGTGCTCGGATGGGGAGTCGGAGGAATCGAAGCCGAAGCTGTGATGCTCGGACAGCCAATCTCTATGGTTATCCCAGAAGTCATCGGATACGAACTGGTCGGAACCCTCAGCGACACGGTCACCAGCACTGACTTGGTCCTCACCATTACTAAAAACCTCCGTGACTTGGGAGTCGTTGGAAAGTTTGTCGAGTTCTTCGGAACCGGATGCGCTTCCCTTTCCATTGCCGACCGTGCCACTATTGCCAACATGTGCCCAGAGTACGGAGCCACCATTGGATTCTTCCCAGTCGACAAGCGCACCCTCGAGTAAACCTAATCTCATCCCTTTCCTCTTGAATTCCATTTTTCAGCTACCTCACTCAAACCGGACGTGAAACTGACTACACTCAGCGTGTTGAGCAGTACCTCAAGGCGGTTGGCATGTTCGTTGACTTTTCCAATGACTCATACCGTCCAACCTACACTACCACCCTTAAGTTAGATCTTGGAAGCGTCGTCCCAAGTGTCTCTGGACCGAAGCGTCCACATGACCGAGTCGAGCTTGCCTCTCTTGCCCAGGATTTTACCAAGGGATTGACCGACAAGATCTCGTTCAAGGCCTTCGGATTGAAGCCGGAAGATGCCACCAAGACGGTTTCTGTGACGAATAATGGAAGAACTGCTGAACTTGGACATGGGTATCTTGTTTCCCAGAAGAGCATTGTGCAGTTATGGTTTTCAGATCCGTCGTCATTGCTGCCATCACTTCGTGCACCAACACCAGTAACCCAAGTGTCATGCTCGCTGCTGGTCTCGTTGCCAAGAAGGCTGTCGAGCTCGGACTGAACGTGCAGCCATACGTCAAGACCTCCCTGTCCCCCGGATCTGGAGTCGTCACCAAGTACCTTGAGGCCTCTGGACTGCTTCCGTACCTTGAGAAGATTGGATTCAACATTGCTGGATATGGATGCATGACTTGCATTGGAAACTCCGGACCACTCGATGAGCCAGTCACCAAAGCTATTGAGGAGGTAAACAAACTCCAATTGCGGGTTTCTGATAACAACCGTTTTTCAGAACAATCTGGTCGTTGCTGGAGTTCTTTCCGGAAACAGAAACTTTGAGGGGCGCATCCACCCACACGTTCGTGCCAATTACCTGGCCTCCCCACCATTGGCTGTTCTTTACTCCATTATCGGAAACGTCAATGTTGACATCAATGGAGTCCTTGGTGAGTGAATCAATACTCACTAACGGTCAGTAAACTTTGAGTTCAGCTGTCACTCCCGACGGCAAGGAAGTGCGTCTCGCTGATATCTGGCCGACCCGCTCCGAGGTCGCCAAGTTCGAGGAGGAGTTTGTGAAACCACAGTTCTTCCGCGAAGTCTACGCCAACATCGAGCTCGGATCCACGGAGTGGCAGGCGCTGGAGGTCCCGGCTGTGAAGCTCTACCCATGGGATGAGAAGTCGACTTACATTAAGAAGGTTCCGTTCTTCAATGGAATGACAAACGAGCTGCCGGCCGAATCTGACATTGTCAACGCTCATGTTCTGTTGAACCTTGGAGATTCCGTCACCACCGATCACATCTCACCAGCGGGATCCATCTCGAAGACATCCCCAGCTGCCAGATTCCTCGCCGCTCGTGGAGTCACTCAGAGAGACTTCAACACTTACGGAGCTCGCCGTGGAAACGACGAGGTATTATTGACCCACAAATTGACGTCAAATCAGTTTGTATTTTTAGATCATGGCTCGTGGAACTTTCGCCAACATCCGTTTGGTGAACAAGCTCGCTTCGAAGGTCGGACCGATCACCCTCCACGTTCCATCCGGAGAAGAGTTGGACATCTTCGACGCCGCCCAGAAGTACAAGGACGCCGGAATCCCAGCCATCATTCTTGCTGGAAAGGAATACGGATGCGGATCTTCCCGTGATTGGGCCGCTAAGGGACCATTCCTCCAGGGAGTCAGGGCCGTTATTGCCGAGAGCTTTGAGAGAATCCACCGTTCCAACTTGATCGGAATGGGAATCATTCCATTCCAGTACCAGGCCGGCCAGAACGCCGACACTCTCGGCCTCACCGGAACGGAACAGTTCAGCATTGGCGTTCCGTCAGATTTGAAGCCAGGACAGCTGGTCGACGTGCACGTTTCGAACGGAAGCACATTCCAGGTCATCTGCCGTTTTGATACCGAGGTCGAGCTCACCTATTACCGCAACGGAGGAATCCTCCAGTACATGATCAGAAAGCTGATCCAGTAAATTATCAGATTTTTCCTATTTTTGTTCTTAATTTTCCAAGTGAATGATAACTGTGTAAGTTGATTAGTGTGTATGCGTCAATTGTGTTTTTTCTGTGATCGAATTTTCAAATGTTCACTTTTTGAATAAACTGTATTGAAATGAATTGGCATCAAATGTTCCAGCGATCAGAAAACCTATCGTTTTATAAGACCATGACGCGTCTCCGTTGAGATTGATCCCCGTACTTTTCGATGGAAGATGATGGGTAACCCGAGACATGCCATTCACAGGTAACTAGACACCGACGAACCAAAAATTAAGTTAAAATGTTTTTGTGTGTGTGTGATACTCAAGCATTTCCATCTATCTAATCCTTAAAACATCAACTATTAGTTTGGGTCGCGTCAAAAACAATGAAAACGTCTTGAGCCGCTCTTCAAACACAAAGCGGAGTGAAGAGACGGAAGATAGTTTAATCCTTTGTGAGTAAATGCTTCAAACTGACACCTTTTTGATTATTAGTCCTCCAATTTTATCTTGCCGTTCTAAAAATGGAACATACATAATTCCGTGGAAACAGACAGATTAGAAAATGTAACAAGGTTCAAGGTTAGGCGTGTTCGGTTTTTTCTTCCTTTCCTTCTTTTTCTCTTTCTTTTCACGCTCGACCTTCGAAAAAACGTTGTGCTGGTACTGCAGACACGCATTTCTATATTCATATTTCTCGTTCCGCAAATCAATTTGAGAAAATTCGATAATATCATACACATACCCGTTTTATATCCCATGTTGCGTTGGGAAACTTCGATTGTCTCCGTTTCTTCTCTTGTCTTCGTTATCGAGTACCAATCCATACTCCCACACTTTATTTTCTTCCCGAATTTAAAATTTTGGTCTCTTCAGTACCATTCGTTTTTCATTTCCCCTATCTCCCTCCCACTCATAACACGAATTTTCTTATTTCCTGCTAATTACATCTGTCACTTCACATCTTTAGCAATCTGGAGAGAATTAGTTCATTCTTCTTTTTCTCGATTTTTTCTCACAATTTTGTCCCACGTTTCCATTTTCACTTTTCACCGTACATTGTGTCGGATGTTGCCGCGCATTGAGGAAAGTAATTTGTGATGTCAAGACGTCAAAAAAACAGAAACACGTGAGAATTGAACGAATCGGAAGTAGAGTCTGGTCTAGATCTAGATCTGTCCTAAAAGAACCTTGGCAAGACGTATGCAATGCATGGTTTTCCCACGTGAACACGTGGCGAGTGTTAACAGCTGTTGACATCAGAACAGAAAGAATAAAACGCACTTTGAATTACGCATTTTGTTTCCTGGCCGCACTTTACGTTGTGTGTGAGTGTGTTTCACTGTGTTTCGTTCCATGCACTAGTCATTATTCAAAGATTGGAATATTCCGGTCGAAGGAGAAGAAAAAGGAGGGGAACAAATGAATGCACATTGAAGGAAAGCCGACGGCACACGTCCAGTGCACTCATTCGTACTTTTTGTGTAAAACCGAAAGTGTTAGACTTGTGCGTTCTTTTTGTTTACTCGCAAATTGTTTTCATTTTCCGCCATCTTATCACTGCAATCGTCCGGTTCTACTCGAAAACTCGACCGAGACACACTCTGTGACACTATTAGTTGGGTCTCGCCAATCATTTTTTGCTCTTCAGTCTACCACTCTCTTGACAAAAGTCTCATTCGTCCGGGCTTTGGTCCAAGTCAATCAAAGGGCTTTGGCCCAAGTTAATCCAAGTCAATTCTCAATCAAATTATCCAACCGAAGGAGATCGTGTTTTTTCTCATTTCCTTGTGCCGTTTGGTCTGTGACATGAAAAAATGAGAGCTGATAAGTTTCGTTTCGTTTCGCTGAAACAGGGAACTGCATCGAATGGTTGCTCTTATCGCCTGCGATTGTATACTTTTCACGATTTCTCTTCACTTTGGAATGTCGTCGGCGCTCCTAAAAAAAGATCTGAAAGGGAAATAATTGATTTTCTTAGAGAACTCAAAAGCTTTTTGCCCACATGACTCATCGATCGACGATCCCATTCTTTTCTCACTAAACGGCCAGCCCACCCACTCTCACTACAAGCCCCCCCTCGCTCCAATCACTTGATCGTTTTTATTCTGTCCGGTGCCGTTTTTCATTGTTTATATTTTCAGAATGTCCGACCCAGACCCTGCTCCCAACGACGAGCCACCTGTTGGCGAGCAGAAGGCAGCAGTCGAGGAGCCGCCGACAAGCCACTATCCGGTACTTTTGCCTGATGAAATTCACACGGAGATTCATCCGCTGACCTTGCCAATTCTCCCCATCAGAGTAAGATTCAATGAGGCGGCACGCCAGAAACGCCTTGAAATTGTTGCAGAGCGACACTGATCTCATCACAAACCCGGTATTCGGTGAAGAAATGACGTTGGAGAACCATCCGCTGATATATTCGGAGCCGGAGTTCTCAACTGCTCGTTTTCTCACACCTGTGCCAAGTGTTCACGCAGTTGCAACAGGAGCTGCGAGTGTTGCTCCGAGTGAGGCGTCAGTCACTGTCGAAGCTGGCAGAAAAGCGCCAGGGTTCGTAGAAATATGGTTATTATTCGTTAATTTTTTGTTGCAGGACTGCAAGATTGAAAAGTGAGATGGAGATTCGAAATCAGCACTACCAGAAACAAAAACAGTACGCATCGACCAAAGAACCAAAAGCAAAACGTCTTACTGGTATTGACTTTGAAGGTACATAGCTGTAAAATTTAGTGTCAAACTTTTGGTGTTTTCTCAGGAATCCTTCACCTAATCGGTGGATGTTCATACTGGCAAATCTTGGTTTACCTCATCATCTCAGTGCAACAAGTCCCTCACGCAATGTTCAATCTTTCAGTGGTTTACATGATGTATCAGCCTGATCATTGGTGCAAGGTACACTTTACATCAGTTCCGTTTCTTGATTTTCTATTCAGATTCCATTTTTCAATGAGGAGTCGTTCTCTATCGAATCGGGATACACAAACTACACGTGGGATCAGGTGATGAATTCGACCATCGCGTTTCCGAGAACGTTCAACAAACAACGGAACGAGCTGCATCATGACCAGTGTAACTATTTCGACCGCGACTACGTACATATCAAATTGTCGCCGTGGACTGCGGTCAAAGATATGAACGCTACGAGTAAAACAAAGCGTTGTAAAGAGTGGGAGTATGATAAATCGGTACGAGTCGACTCGGAAATGCGTCGTGTAGTGCATGTTTTTTTCAAATTTCAGGTGATGGATAGAACTGTGGTAACTGAATGGAATCGGGTGTGTGACAACAACTGGAGCCGAGCTCATGTGCACATGAGTTACTCTCTGGGTTATTTATTGGGTTGCTTCGTCGGCGGGTTTGTTAGTGATAGGTAAAGGAACCAACCGGACAGGAGATCTCTGAAATAGGTTGTTTCAGATATGGTCGCAAGACCGCAATCACCTTATTCGGCGTCCTCACAATGTGTTTCGGATTCTTGCTTACCTACTCAAAGGAGTTCGAAATCTTTCTTGTTGTTCGATTCCTGCTTGCCGCTACAAACGAAGCAGCGGATCTGGCCGCTTACGTTCTTTGCATGGAAATCACGGGTACCAAGTACCGTTCGATTGTCGGCTCGCTCATCCAAGCTCCATGGGCGTGTGGCTACGCATTTCTGGCACTTATCGCGTACCTCACCAAGTCTTGGACAATGATTCATGTAATTTTACCCATATCAGTTCGATCACTAATTATTTTTTCAGTTGACGTGCGTCATTCTCCACATAATCAGTCTTATGCTTTTGTATTTCTTACCGGAATCACCGAGGTGGTTAATATTGAACAATCGAACAAAACACGCGGAGAAGATAATCAGAAAAGCATGCCATTACAACAAGAGCCGTCTGCCGAGTGACTTGGGACTTGTTCGACATGCAGAAAAGAAAAAATGGATGCGGCATAACGAGAAGCCGTCGTATTTCCATTTGTTCCGTTCATCCGAATTACGATTCAGAAACGTGGTCTTGTTTATTGTCTGGGTAAGATTAAATTGCACTTTGCAGGTCGCCAGAATGATAACATTATTACAGATTGCGACTGCGTTGGTCTACTATGGAATGGTCATTGCACTTTCAGACCAATCTTCGCCCGGAAGGTCAGTCTTCTGTCTGATCCATTTGGAAGAAAACAATAATCTTCGCGTTTTTCAGACGAGTTTTCGATGGTAACTTCTTCCTCAACAATGCAATGGCGGGTGCGATTGAGCTCCCGACCCTTGTTTTCTGTGTGTTTTTGCTGAGAATGGGAAGAAAAAAGTATGTTCATGTACATATTAATTTAAAAACTCTAGTATTTAGATCTCAAATGCTAACGCTGTTTGGAGCTGGAATTCTGTTGCTGACTTCCGTGATCATGATTCACCGAAAACAATCAACGGTAGGCGCATTCAATGGCATTAAAAAGTACAATGCAAAAATTTTCAGTTTGCCCTCGTCTTCATGTTGTTGAGTAAAGCTTGCATCCAAGGATCCTTCAACATTCTCTACATTTTCACATCGGAACTCAACCCAACGGTTGTGAGAAACAGTGCAGTTGGAATATCATCCATGATTGCGAGAATGGGTGCAGGAGCATCTGGATACATTGCAATTCTTTCGGACGTCACCATGCCCCTCGTACCGATGACTATTTTTGCCTGTTTCTCACTGTTCGCCGGCTGTCTAGTGCTATTGCTTCCGGAAACTCAAGGATTACCACTTCCCGATACAATTCTGGTACGTCATTACATCCAATGATTGCATTGATGAGTAATTAGATGTGGTCATTGTCATTGACACCAGACGAGCAAACATGATTTCAGGACTCGGTGCAAATGGTCAAGAAGAACAGAAAACCGTGTGGAACGCTGCCTGGACAGTTTGTAGCTGCAAAAGACGGCGAAACGGAGCCGTACGGAGGAAAACTCAAACGCCCACCATCTGAAGAAGACGAAGAAGAAGAGGAAGACGAAGAGTCTCAGAATACAATTCCAAAGAAATCCGCGTAATTTATAACATGACGAGTCTTTTAACATTTCAGGCAATATTTTATGAGTTCATGATCATTCTGGTTTGAATAAAACGTTTTTTTTTGAGTTCATTATTTTGCTTAACTAGAAACTACGAATCACCGATTTGAGCACAATTGTGGTTAGTTCAAGGAGATCAGTGACGGTGTGATATTTGAGTATTTGATTAGAACCTCGATTGCCGTTAAATTTGTCACATCTTTCAGGTATTTGTTTTATTTCAAAAAATAAAATTTTGTCATCAGACCATCAGTTTTGATGCTTCTCTTATCGTCCAGTCCCGCAGGGTACTCCTAATGATAGTATAGAGTTTCTTGTCTAATTCTTCCCAAAAGACCAAACTTTTATCGTTAGTATCTTGTAGTTGCTTAAAGCAGTTTCCGAAACAGTGTCAAATGAAATTCACTCTTTGTCAGTGAACGCACACGTTCTTTGTGTCTTCCGATCAGATCATATTATTCGGTCATATTTGTGCTCGGTTCGAACAAGAGTTTCGTTTTTGGACCGCACATCATCACTTTTCCAGCACAATGTGCCCTTTGTATGTTGTAGTATACATCAATGAAACTGTTCAAAGAGCTTTTTTCACTGATAACGGTGTTTCCGCTAAAAAACGGAGAATCATCACTTGGGAGAAGGCGGTGTTTCACCGGCGGCGTTGATTTTTCTGCGAAAAACCGCTCACAACACAGAATATGCAAATTTCCTCCCCGTCACTACCGAAACTCCAAGCCGGTTGTGGAGTTTGTTATACTTTTTCGCTCTATATAACCTTCATTGCTCTATCAAAATTCTATCATAACGTATTTTTTTTAGTTTTCCAAAACGGGCCATTTTTCAGATAATCATGAAAAAAACGAAGGTAAATCCAGAGGATGAGGTAACTCTCGGAAAGATGACTCCAAAGCCAGAGGCACAAGCCTATCAGGGCAACTTTTTCGATGTGGTGAGTTGTGAAAGTATGTAAGGCCTTCGAAGCTTTTTGTTACAGTTTCGTGATTCTGATTACAAAGACTATATTCTGTTTGTTGGAGGTTTAGTTCTTAGTGCAGTTAATGGTGCGTTGATTCCATTCAACAGTTTAGTCTTCGAAGGTTTGTTTCATGTTCTTCATATTTTACAAATGTTCTTTTTCTCTCAGGTATTGCTAATGCTTTGATGGAAGGAGAAGCTCAGTGGCAGAACGGAACTCTCAATATGCCTTGGTTTAGCAGTGAGATCAAATACTATTGCCTCCGCTACTTTTATCTTGGCCTGGCGCTCTTCCTCTGCTCTTACTTTGCGGTATATCCTCTTTAAAAAAACATTGTTTTCTTAATTGTTCAATTTTAGAACGCTTGCCTGTACACTTTGTGCGAACGACGCTTGCATTGCATAAGAAAGCACTATCTCCGCGCGGTTCTTCGGCAGGATGCCGGGTGGTTTGACGAGCACACAATCGGAGGATTGACCCAGAAGATGAGTAGTGGAATCGAGAAGATCAAGGACGGAATCGGAGACAAAGTTGGAGTCCTGATCGGAGGATTTGCCACTTTTATCAGTGGTATCGCCGTCGGGTTCTCTATGTGTTGGCAGCTTACGCTTGTGATGATGATAACCGTGCCATTACAGTTAGGATCTATGTATTTATCAGCTAAGGTGAGCAGTGCTAAATATGCTTTGCACAAAACTATTCTTGAAGCATTTGAATCGCGCGACAAAAAACGAAATGTCTGCGTACTCAAATGCTGGTGGAATGGCGAACGAGGTAATTGCTGGTATTCGAACTGTTATGGCATTCAATGCGCAACCATTTGAAATTAGCAGGTACACAGTCGGTTCTGAACACTTTCTTGGAAAAGTGGTTCGTTTCAGATATGCTCATCAATTGGACGAAGCAAAAAGAATGGGAATCCGAAAAGCGATAATCCTCTCCATTTGCACTGCTTTCCCCATGATCCTCATGTTCGCAGCCATGGCTGTCGCATTTTGGTACGTTCCTGTTTTCCCTTCCAGAGTTTTCCCTTTCCAATTTCCATAATACGATTTGAGTCGGATTAAAAAGGTTACTTGACGTTTTCACTGCGTAGGCGGGCTGAAAATAACTGAAAATTGAATACTGATGTGAGAATGTTTTCAATGTATTGTGAACATGGGGATCTTACAGGTACGGTGCAGTTCTTTCTGCAGCCGGTGTTGTTTCTTCTGGAGCTGTTTTTGCTGTTTTCTGGGCAGTTCTCATTGCAACGAGACGTCTCGGAGAAGCCGCTCCACACATGGGAGCAATCACCGGAGCACGCCTTGCCATTCATGACATCTTCAAGGTTATTGACCATGAGCCGACCATCAACTGCACGTCAAAAGAAGGAAAACGCCCGGACAAAATTCAAGGAAAACTGACGTTTGATGGAATTGAGTTCACTTATCCAACACGACCAGATCTCAAAATTCTGAAAGGAGTTTCATTCGAAGTGAATCCTGGAGAGACAGTTGCTCTGGTTGGACATTCCGGATGTGGAAAGTCAACCAGTATTGGTCTTCTCATGAGATTTTACAATCAATGTGCTGGATCGGTAACAAGGAACAGCAGAAACATATAACTTTACATAGAAATTACAGATCAAACTTGACGGAATTCCAATTCAAGAGTACAATATTCAATGGCTTCGTAGTACAATTGGAATCGTTCAACAGGAGCCAATCATTTTTGTCGCCACAGTCGCTGAGAACATAAGAATGGGCGATGATTCCATCACCGACGAAGATATCGAAGAAGCATGTGAAATGGCAAACGCTCATGAGTTTATCACAAAACTCAGCGATGTAATTGATTTCTACAAAGGTGTTCGAATCTTAAACAAATGTTTTTCAGGAATACGACACAGTGATTGGTGCAGGAGCTGTTCAACTGTCCGGTGGCCAGAAACAACGTGTCGCCATCGCCAGAGCCATCGTCAGAAAACCACAGATTCTTCTTCTCGATGAGGCCACGAGTGCTCTGGACACGGAAAGTGAGCGCATGGTTCAGGCAGCGCTTGACAAGGCCTCCCAAGGAAGAACCACCCTCTGCATTGCCCATCGTCTCAGTACTATTCGAAATGCCAGCAAGATTTTGGTATTCGATCAGGGACTCATTGCCGAGAGAGGTTATTGTTAGAAACTTTGGAGTTGAAAACAAAAGGTATTATTCAGGAACACATGACGAGCTTATTCAAAAAGACGAAATCTACGCTAGTATGGTGAGAGCTCAAGAAATCGAGCGAGCCAAGGAAGACACGACATTAGATGGTGTGTGCTTCTGCAACTTTCCCGCAAATCGACTTCCTCTAGGCTAGTCCCTGAGATATTTAACACTCTTCCACTTAGCTAACGTCTCTCCTTGCTTCATCAGTTCTCTGTATATCCAGCATCTGGGTGCATTTTTTCAGATGAGAAAGCGGATGAAGATCATCGAGCCTTCCATCGTGACACTGTCACCTCCGATGAGGAGCGCGAGATACAGCAGAGTCTGGCACGAGACTCGACTCGTCTCCGTCAGAGTATGATCAGTACCACGACTCAGGTACCGGAGTGGGAAATCGAAAGTGCACGTGAAGAGATGATCGAAGAAGGGGCCATGGAAGCGTCTTTGGTGGACATTTTCAAATATGCATCACCGGTACTTTTTATGATATGAGAAACAATTTTGAAATGAGAAGAGTTGTAGGAAATGCGCAACGTGATCATTGCGCTCGTGTTCACTTTAATCCGTGGACTTACCTGGCCGGCCTTCTCTATCATTTATGGACAGCTTTTCAAGATTCTCTCAGCTGGCGGTGACGACGTTTCCGTCAAAGCACTGCTGAACTCTCTCTGGTTCTTGCTTCTTGCCTTCACTTCTGGTATCAGTACACTTGTTTCTGGTGGCCTTCTCGGCAAAGCCGGTGAAACTATGTCGGGCCGTCTTCGTATGGATGTTTTCAGAGTATGACTAGGGTAAATAACACAACAAAAACAAATTTGTTTTCAGAATATCATGCAGCAAGATGCAAGCTACTTCGATGACCCAAAACACAACGTTGGAAGTTTGACCTCGCGATTGGCCACAGATGCTCCGAACGTTCAAGCAGCCGTTGATCAACGTCTTGCGGAAGTATTGACTGGAGTCGTGTCACTATTCACTGGAGTTGGTGTTGCATTCTATTACGGATGGAACATGGCACCAATTGGACTTGCCACGGCTTTGCTGCTAGGTACAAATTTTCAAAAACAACAAGAAATAATTCAATATTCATAATTATCAGTTGTTGTTCAAAGTGGAGTTGCGCAATACCTCAAGTTCCGTGGACAGCGCGATATGGAATCTGCAATTGAAGCCAGTCGAGTAAGCGAAACAAATTATCACTAGTATGCAATATCATTCCTCTTTCCCTTGCAGCTTGTCACTGAATCCATTTCAAACTGGAAAACCGTCCAAGCTTTGACCAAACAAGATTACATGTACGAAGCATTCACGGCTGCTTCCAAGTCCCCGCACAGAAGAGCCATCGTCCGAGGCCTGTGGCAGTCTCTCTCGTTCGCTTTAGCTGGAAGCTTCGTGATGTGGAATTTTGCTATAGCATACATGTTTGGACTTTGGCTCGTTTCCAACCACTGGAGCACTCCATACACCATCTTCCAGTACGTTAACTTTGATAGCGTGTTTTTCAAAACGAATGTCATTTTTTCAGGGTCATTGAAGCTTTGAACATGGCATCTATGAGTGTTATGCTCGCGGCTTCATACTTCCCAGAATACGTCAGAGCCAGAATTTCAGCTGGTATAATGTTCACAATGATTCGGCAGAGATCTGTGATTGACAACCGTGGACTTACTGGAGACACCCCTTCAATCAGGGGAAACATCTTCATGAGAGGAGTGTATTTCGCCTATCCGAATCGTCGCCGTCAGTTGGTGTTAGATGGATTCAACATGTCCGCCAATTTCGGTCAAACAGTAGCTCTTGTTGGACCGTCAGGATGCGGAAAAAGTACAACTATTCAGTTGATTGAGAGATATTACGACGCTCTGTGTGGAACCGTCAGGATTGACGATCATGACATCAGGGACATTTCCGTCAAGCATCTCCGTGACAACATTGCTCTGGTCGGACAAGAACCCACTCTCTTCAACTTGACTATCCGCGAAAACATCACCTACGGACTCGAGAACATTTCTCAAGAAGCTGTCGAAAAAGCAGCCACTCTTGCCAACATTCACACATTCGTCATGGGACTTCCCGATGGTTACGACACGTCAGTCGGCGCGTCCGGAGGAAGGCTGTCTGGTGGACAGAAGCAGCGAATAGCTATTGCCAGAGCAATTGTTAGGTAAACATTCAAGTTTCTGTTTACTTTTGCAAAGTGATGATTTTCAGAGACCCAAAGATTTTGCTTCTTGACGAGGCCACGTCGGCGCTGGACACAGAAAGTGAGAAGATTGTGCAGGAAGCATTGGACAAGGCGAGGCTCGGAAGAACGTGTGTCGTGATTGCCCATCGTCTCTCCACCATCCAGAACGCCGATAAGATTATTGTATGTCGTAGCGGAAAAGCGATCGAGGAAGGAACCCATCAGACCCTGCTGGCTCGTCGCGGTCTTTACTACAGACTAGTGGAGAAGCAGTCGAATTGAGACAACTGATAGTGCGAATAAATTTCCAGTGTTACATGCATAATTGGATATCTTATAAAACTTTTCTTGTTATCCCAATTTACTGTGACTGTCTAGTCATTCATCACAGAGCCAAAGGGCCTTGTCCGCACCGTGCCTAGTAGATAGTCTTTCTTGGGTTGCACATTCTTGTGGGAAAGAACGCAAGAACGCGTCGCTGCGCAGTGGGCAGATGTGACATAGTCCCTCTCGAACAGAACTCATTCATTCCGTTTGTATTTGTGAGTAAGATCTCGATTCCTTTAATAGTCTCTGAAAGAAACGCAACAACGGATAGAAGGTCAGTCTTTTTTATAAATGTTTATGTATGTATTAGAGCAACAGCTATGTATATGTGCCATTGACCCGGGACCGGCTTTTTGTACCGAATACGTTAGGCGATGTCCATTTTAACACCTACTATGTGAAATGTCTTTGAAAATAAAAAACTGTGTTGGGTTTTTGAGTTGGTCTTTGAGACCAGGAACGAAAAGGATGAGGGGGAATATGCTCTATCACACTCTCAGGATAAATTAGAAAATCCGGTTATGAGCGGCTCAGTTCGTATTTGAAGAGCCATATGGCCCATGAATTTCATCATACTGAGAAACGTTTCGTAAATATCCGATACGAATTTCTGTCGCACGCTGCGTCTTGCTCTCTTTGCACAGCCTACATTTCTTGCTTTTCCTCTGACTCATTGTGTCCTTCATACTTCTTTTTTTCCCAATGCGCTGCTGCTAGACTTTTCCCACTCCCTTCCATTTTCTATTCGCCATGTCGGCCACGGACGCTCTTTTGGTAAGGTATTGATTATTAAAATCAATGAATGAGTGGGTTTTTGGGATATGAACATGTACATAGTTCTGAGAATGTACATAGATCAGGGTGCAATATCGAGAGAAAAAAACGCCGACTGCCGAAGAATTGGGAGTTGTTATTTCGAATACTTTTCGTGATGAAAGTGATGAAAAATTTAGAAGAAGACAAATCGTAGAACATTCACATAGCACACCGCCAATAATGTGGGAGTATGCAAGTAAAAGTATTTTGTAGCCGTTTCCGTGGACTGAGTGATAAATTCTGTGACCTCCATTATGATGATTTCAAAAAACAGACAATCGCGTTTTCCAGTTATGCGTTTTCCATAGTTTTCGGGCATGTAAATTAGGTACACAGACTACACCCTTTTAGCCGGTCTCTGTAGTTACTGTTATAGATGCAAAGGGGTTTATAACGCGCCTTCGCTTGTCAGTTATCATCAGTTCCAGTCTGTGTTTTCCGTCCATTAAATATTTGTTTTCCAGGAGCCCGTGGCCAATATGAAGGTCGCTACTGAAAATGTGGAGATTGGCGGCAAATTCACGCCAAAAACAAAGAAAAGATCCGGAAATAGCTTTTCGAACTTGGTGAGTTTGAGTGAGGTGTTAATTAAAGTGTGCATATTGCATTTTCAGTTCCGGGACTCTGGATTCGTGGACTACCTTCTCCTTCTTGGAGGTTTCATCTTCAGTGCAGCAAGTGGAGCCCTTCTCCCATTCAACAGTTTGATATTCGAAGGAATCACCAACGTTTTGATTCTGGGAGAAGCTCAATATCAAAATGGAACTTTTGATTACGACTCGTTCAGTGGTGGCATCAAACACTATTGTCTCAACTACTTTCTCCTCGGCGTTTACATGTTTGTATGCACTTACCTCTCGGTTCGAATCAAGAGAACTTAGCGAATGATTCATAAATCAAATTCAGAATGCTTGCCTCTACACAATGTGCGAACGCCGTCTTCATTGCATCAGAAAACACTACCTCCGCGCTGTTCTCCGACAAGACGCCAAATGGTTCGACGAAAACACAATCGGTGGATTGACTCAGAAAATGAGCAGTGGAATCGAGAAGATCAAGGACGGAATCGGAGACAAAGTGGGCGTTATTGTGTCCGGAACGGCCACGTTCATCAGTGGTGTTGCTCTCGGCTTCTACATGTGCTGGCAGCTCACTCTTGTCATGCTCATCACAGTTCCTCTCCAACTCGGATCCATGTATCTGTCGGCCAAGGTAGGCGAATGAGAATAGCACTGGGCAAACATTTAATTATTGTTCAGCATTTGAACCGCGCCACGAAAAACGAAATGTCTGCGTACTCGAGTGCGGGAGGAATGGCGAACGAAGTGATCGCTGGAATCAGAACGGTCATTGCCTTCAACGCTCAGCCATTTGAAATTGAACGGTAATTGTCTCCATTTACAATAATTTGCACCCCGTTTTGTTTTTGCAGATATGGGAAACAGTTGGCTGAAGCCCGGAAGATGGGTATCCGCAAGACCGTGGTCCTCGCAATCTGCAGTGCCATGCCGCTAATTCTCATGTTTGTACTCATGGCTGGCGCATTCTGGTAAGTCCCTATTTTTTCGTAAACACAATTACCATAATCCGACGTCAACCATCGTATTCTTTGAACTTTTAGGTACGGTGCGATTCTGACTGCTGCCGGAGTGGCTACTTCGGGTACAACATTTGGAGTGTTCTGGGCCGTGATTCTGGGAACCAGACGTCTTGGAGAAGCGGCCCCACACATGGGAGCAATCACTGGAGCTCGTCTTGCTATCAACGACATCTTCAAAGTAATCGACAACACGCCAGAGATCAATTGCACAAAGGAAACCGGCAGACGTCCCGACAAAATAGAAGGAAAACTCACCTTTGAGAACATTGAGTTCACATACCCCACAAGACCAGATGTCAAAATTCTGAAAGGTGTCTCATTTGATGTGAATCCTGGAGAAACAATCGCTTTGGTGGGACACTCTGGTTGTGGAAAATCCACTAGCATCGGTCTTCTTATGCGTTTTTACAATCAGTGCGCGGGAACGGTAAGTCTCAGAAGTCAGACCAAAAACTTACTTAACGGTAAATTTAAGATTAAACTCGACGGAATTCCAATTCAAGAGTACAATATTCAATGGCTCCGAAGGACCATCGGAATTGTTCAGCAGGAACCAATTATCTTCTTGGCTACAGTGGCTGAGAACATCAGAATGGGTGATGATTCCATCACGGACGCTGAGATCACTGAGGCATGCGAAATGGCAAATGCCCACGATTTCATCTGCAAATTGAGTGAGGGCTATGAGACTGTTATTGGTGCAGGAGCCATTCAACTGTCCGGTGGCCAGAAACAACGTGTCGCCATCGCCAGGGCCATCGTCAGAAAACCACAGATTCTTCTTCTCGATGAGGCCACGAGTGCTCTGGACACGGAAAGTGAGCGCATGGTTCAGGCAGCGCTTGACAAGGCCTCCCAAGGAAGAACCACCCTCTGCATTGCCCATCGTCTCAGTACTATTCGAAATGCCAGCAAGATTTTGGTATTCGATCAGGGACTTATTGCCGAAAAAGGAACTCATGACCAGCTCATCCGACAAAATGGAATTTACACGAACATGGTTCGAGCGCAAGAGATTGAGAAAGCCCAGGACGACACGACTATGGATGACGAAGTTTCTGAAACCGACAGCCTGTCTATCAGCCGACGACTATCAGCGTCAGAAGATGAACTTCGGAAAAGCAAGAATCTTGTCCGAGATTCGACCCGTCTCAGTCAAAGCATGCTCAGTGTCACTTCACAAGTGCCTGAGTGGGAAATTGAGAGTGCACGCGAGGAAATGTATGAGGAAGGAGGAATGGAAGCATCCATGATTGACATCTTCAAGTTTGCGAGACCCGAAAAGCGGAATATCGTCATTGCACTAATCTTCACACTCATAAGAGGAGCCACGTGGCCAGCATTCTCAGTGGTATACGGACAGCTATTCAAGGTGTTTGCTGAAGGAGGAGAGGATCTGCCCACGAACGCCTTCATCAGTTCGCTTTGGTTCATCCTACTTGCTGTCACATCTTCAGTCAGCACATTCATATCTGGAAGTCTGTTAGGAAAAACTGGAGAGACAATGTCGAGCCGTCTCAGAATGGACGTTTTCAAGAATATCATGCAACAAGACTCCACATATTTCGATGATCCGAAGCACAACGTTGGAAATCTGACGTCTCGCTTGGCCACCGATTCTCAAAACGTACAAGCTGTAAGTTACAAGTCTCTTAACAATTTATGATTCCATCTTTCAGGCCATCGACCATCGCCTTGCTGAAGTGCTCAACGGAGTCGTTTCGTTGTTTGCTGGAATTGCGGTCGCCTTCTGGTTTGGATGGAGTATGGCTCCAATCGGACTCTTGACGGCTTTGCTCCTCGTGATTGCTCAAAGTGCAGTGGCACAATACTTGAAATATCGTGGACCCAAGGACATGGAGTCGGCTATTGAAGCTAGCAGAGTATGTTGTTCTTTCTATCATGAAAAGTCAAACAACTTTTTTGTCTTCAGATTGTCACTGAATCCATTTCCAACTGGAAAACGGTTCAAGCATTGACAAAGCAAGAGTACATGTTCACGGCGTTTACAGCTGCTTCGAAAAGACCGCGCAGACGCGCTTTTGCAAAGGGACTCTGGCAGTCACTCTCTTTTGCATTGGCTGGAAGCTTCTTCCTCTGGAACTTTGCGATTGCATACATGTTTGGACTTTGGCTCATCTCGAACCAATGGACGACACCATTTTCAGTTTTCCAGTGAGTTGACCACTGTCCAATTGTATAAATAACGGGCATGTTTCAGGGTTATCGAAGCGCTGAACATGGCGTCAATGAGTGTAATGATGGCTGCATCATATTTCCCAGAATACGTCAGAGCCAGAATCTCGGCAGGAATCATGTTTACCATGATCCGCCAGAAAGCGCACATTGACAACCGTGGTCTTACCGGAGAGAAGCCGGTAAGCCAAAATCACCGAGTTGCCGAATCATCATTGCTTTTTTCAGGTTATCAAAGGAAACATCTTCATGAGAGGAGTGTATTTCGCCTATCCGAATCGTCGCCGTCAGTTGGTGTTGGATGGATTCAACATGTCCGCCAATTTCGGTCAAACAGTAGCTCTTGTTGGACCCTCCGGATGCGGAAAAAGTACAACTATTCAGTTGATTGAGAGATATTACGACGCTCTGTGTGGAACCGTCAGGATTGACGATCATGACATCAGGGACATTTCCGTCAAACATCTCCGTGACAACATTGCTCTGGTCGGACAAGAACCCACTCTCTTCAACTTGACTATCAGAGACAATATTACTTATGGAATGGAGAATGTGCCCCAGGAAGAAATTGAAAAGGCAGCCAAACTCGCCAACATTCATAGCTTCATTACCACTTTGCCGGAAGGATATAATACTTCCGTTGGTGCATCCGGAGGCCGATTATCTGGAGGTCAAAAGCAGCGAATTGCCATTGCTCGAGCAATTGTCAGGTAATTACGACGCAAGTTAATAGCACAACAAACTTTTAATTTTTTCAGAGACCCAAAGATTTTGCTTCTTGACGAGGCCACGTCGGCGCTGGACACAGAAAGTGAGAAGATTGTGCAGGAAGCATTGGACAAGGCGAGACTCGGAAGAACGTGTGTCGTGATTGCCCATCGTCTCTCCACCATCCAGAACGCCGATAAGATTATTGTATGCCGCAACGGAAAGGCGATCGAGGAAGGAACCCATCAGTCCCTGCTGGCTCGTCGCGGTCTTTACTACAGACTAGTCGAGAAACAATCCACGTAAACAGTCTGAATACACATTTCAAATTTACATCCCCCACATATCTCTATTTGGTTCGAATTCATTGCATAATCACAATTTCCACCCATCCCCCTGGTTTCACTTGTCTTTTCCGGCTTTTCACTTTTTTGTTCTGTTGTTTTATAATTTCATAAACGATATCCGTCTTTTTCCAGTTTCCCATACCACAAGCCAATCTTATCAATACAACAATTAAGATAACAAACTTTTTCCGGCACAAACCATCATTGAACCCTTTCTCACACACAAGAATCGCTCTATGTCCGATTTCTCGTCCCGTTTTCGTTGAATTCACTGTTTTGGCAGTGATTCCTAAAAATCTGGCGATTTTTTTGTTGCTCTAACAAAATTTCGATCACAAAAAACGCATTCACGAAAATTATTATTGTTCGCGTGTTGCATGCGTGAGCAATGTGCGTGTACATATATGTGCTTCTGCATTCGTATCTCACCTATTTTATTCCGAAAATTTAATAGTCAGAAAAACATCTCTGTTTTTTTCACCCGTTCGTTGGGTTTTGTTATACTTCTTTCTGTTTTCGAAAAAAACGTAATTTGCTAGATATAGTCGTGTGAAGCTGCTATCCGTCCGCCAAAATGTAATTCCAAAGGAAAGTAGTGGGTGACGCAAATTTATAGAGCAATTTAAAGTGAGATATTGAGAGAATTGATGTCCGATCGACCTATTCCGTGTGATGATAGCAATAAAACGTTCGGAGAAGAAAGTTGTCGAAAGGACATTGGAATCCATTCGAATCCCTCCCAGTCGGTCTTGATTCACAATAGCAGTCCGGCCCTTTCGTGAAGGGTCTGGGGGGTGTTCGTGTTTGTTTTGTTTCGTTCTTACGTTCATTGATAGCCAGCCAAGCAAACATTTGATCGTTTTTTGGCGGCTACATTCGAACCAGATAGTTACGCAGATTATTACAATGTTTTGAGTGAGTGACAGTAACAAGTTCTATTACCTCATATGTCAAAAACATGATGACAACCTTGTTGTATCATATGAATGTTTCATATTCAGTGTAATTTCTATTTGAAAATGCTTTTAGTTGGTTACTTGGAAAAATAGGATTAAAATCTAGAAAGGTGTGGATAAACGCATTAACTTGAGATTGCTTGTTGACTGCTCAAACGTGTAAAAGCTCAGGATCCATCGCTGATCATTTGTATCCATCCGGCCCCGGACGCAAACACAGTAGTGCTTCCACACTATTTGCATACGCTGGCAAGAGCGTTCTTCGGTCAAAAGAGCCGGCAAGTGATTCAAGGCTTGGGTGAGGGGAGAGCGTTGTCGCGCGCACAGTCGATCGATATCAAACACCGCCGGTCGCAACGCACACCCCCTTCCATATTTCCTCGACCCTTGCCTAGGCCCCTCTCTTCCACACCGTCCTTTCCCTTTACCACCATTTCTCTCCTGCGCAGCCGTTGTTCTGTACTTGTCTTCCCTCTCCACCAAAGTCACCAAATCCACTTTTTGCATATAACCTTCAAGTACGATTTGTGTCTGCTTTTATTGCCACTTGATGAATCTACGATATCAGCGCAACAAGGAACTGTAGAAATGTGGGAGAGTTGATTTGCGAAGGTGAACAAGCGGACAAGTTCTTTTTGGAAATTGCTCAGCGTAGAACTTTTGTTTATTTATTAAACCCCTCCCTTTCATTTCGCAACAAATTGTGCCTATTCCTAAAAACCTTCAATTTTTGCCCAGAGTCACCTGAAAAATTAAACTATTATTTTTGAAATTAATGGTAGCCTTGCTTAGAGGTAGAAAAAGCGTGTCATAGTCGTGTTGACCACCTGTCTTGTTGCCGCCAACCAACCACTACTTTTTCTCTCGACACCTCTCGACGTTATCAGTTTTCCTCATCAAACATGTCCGTCTTCCCTCTTGTCGTTTCGTTTTTCTCGTGTTCTTGGGTCCATTTGCCGCTCTCGGGGACCACTCGGACTCACTTCAAAGCTTCATCAATCTCTACGCCCATTTGACTCTCTTTGACGATCGTTTAGTCGTAAGATGGCACATACCACGTGCAAAAACTTGAGAATTGAGACAGAAAGCGGACAAAAACACATTTTTCACACGGAAGATGCTCTCGAGTTTCGTTTTTCACAGTTCTCAAATTTTTGCAGTCGCCCGCCGATGCCCCTTTTTTCTACAAGTCAGATTGTGGTTCGGGTCAAAGTACTTACGTACACAAGAGCTCCTACTCAATCTCATTTTTCATCCAGATGTTCTCAAGCAGAACTTGAGATAAAACTCCCGTTTCTCCTACTCCTTTTCTATTTCTGCAATATGCGTTCAGAGCAATGGCAACTTACGGTCATTAGGCTTCAATGAAAGTTGGCAGGAAGAGAAGAGAAGCACGCCCCGTCCGTCCACCCGCTTCGCACCCTTCTTTTTCTTTCCTCCTCTTTGTCATTCACTTTGTCTACTCGCGCACTGGCCGCCCGCCCATTCTCTGCGTCGTCGCCCCCAACTTCTGCGAGCCATGACTGACCATTTCATTCCCCCTTCTGCTCTTATGAATGCTCCAGTCCGAACATTCTTATTTTATAGCCGATGCGATTAATCAATCCCGGCTTTCGTCCGTTTGCTTCTTATTTGTTGTGTAATCGTCGCCGTCGCTATCCAAAAGCGTCATCCTGGCATATGTATGCCAAAATATATTTCTCTCGAGGGGGACCCTTTTTTTTGTTTTTCTCTTCCTTCTTTTAGCATATTGCCGAAATGCGTGCTTTTGACACATTTTTTTTCAGGCGGACTACTATGGAATAAGACCTTTTGGAAGAGAAATAAACTTGACGATTGTTGATCCAGTGTCACAAAATGACGTTTGCGTCGTTCCTCATAAACCTCTATTCGCGCGTGCCACGGCTCAACTTCAAGTTCCACTGGTCCAAGGATGTCTTCAATTTGGACTGGGGCAGCGAATACTTCCAGGTCAGTCAGATGTGATTTTCCATGTCAAATGTCGATGAAATGGAATCGTCATGAGAAAGTGGGCGCTCGGGCGGTCTCAACCCTCCTGCACACACTCACACACTAACAAATACACAACATTTCTTACTCAATTAGATGTGTATCCAGTGGTTCGGAGGCAGACAACACTCAACAGACTAGAGGGGGGGGGGCTCAGCGAGTAAACAAGAATGCCGTTTTGACATTAACCATCCATCTTCCTCGGCCGGTTGGGTGACCCTTGATAAATCCGTGCATCATATTTATTATGCACACCAGCCAGATTTTGTTTATAGATTAGAAAGGGACTGCCTGCGTCTGGTGGCCACAAATCGGGCCAGCAAGCAGACGGACAGATCTTTCCGGGGTCGGAAGACTTCAAACGACCATGTGTGCTCTGGTTTATCGCCCGCTTCTAAAGCACAAGTGAGATGAGCGCCCCTCGTTTTCCCACCACCACCACGAGCGCCAGCTTGCTTGAAAAGTTGATAATGGAAGTGCTCGAGGAGCCTTTGCGATGAGCACCTCTCCTCCCCATTGAGTGCCTTCCGCCCGTCCCATTTCAGTCTCTTTTATTAGCCTTGGCCTTGTGGAGAAAGACGGGAAATGAGATGAAAAGTTTTTGTGGAGCAATGACACAGGGTGGGGAAGAAGAAAAAATAACTCAAAAACAAGTTGAAAGGGGCGCCTGGGCTCACTGGTCGGGTTTCAATTCTTAAATCGAATTGGTGGGTCAATTTCGGAGATTGAAAGCTGTGTCCGGTTCAAGCACTCTTCCTGATGATCGAGAAACACAGCTAGGGCATGAGCAACGGAAATATATACACTTCTTGGAAGTAAATCCGGGGTGTCAGGAGACGCTCGATTGACGTGTATTCATTCTGGCAGATCAATGTCACGTTATTAATCCGTAAAAGGTCAATCTTGCCAGTCATCAAGCGACGGTTCATCCAATTACAATACACATTTTTTTCCAGGCGCTGGCACTAGTGGCATGTTTGGGAGCCGCCGTCAGTCTTCTCCTTCTTGTCACCATCATCATTGTCTGGATATGTCAAGCGTGCCGAAAGAACGAAACGACCGGAAAAACCAGACGTCGTGTACGGAGACTGTCCACCGTCCTCTTTATTATTTCCGTCCTCTGCTTGTGAGTTTCACTTTGACCAGGGGCGTGGGATAATCGCATTTGGAGAGGGGCATTTGATTTCATTCAATTTCATTCATCACAATGGCAAATGAGGAAAACTATTTGCTTTTATGCTCATTATACCCCTCTCTCAAGGTCTCCTCAGTCCCGTCTCGTTTCAAACATACAATAGATTCAATCACTATGTGAGCAGCTTGTGACGGGAAGGAAGGAAAAGAATAATAATGGCGCATTAGGGGGAACCAAGCGCTTGTTTGTTTTTCAAATGGCCATGACTACGGAAAAAATGATTCTTTTTTGCAGCTTCATGCTCGGCATTTGCCTCTTCGCGAATGAGCATGTCAACAGAGGAATGTCAATTTCGATTAACTCGATTATCAACACGAAAAAGTCTTATCAGATTTCGATGGGACAGATTTCCCAGTTCCAAGAGGCAGCACTCAACACAACTGTTGATCTGAAGAACCTGGAAGACATTGTTCACACTGAAAGCAAAAAAACCAAAAACGCAACGATCGTACAGCAGATTGACCAAATCCTAACGAATATCACTGATGGGATTGATATTATCGCAAAGAACGGAAAGTTGTTCCAATCGAAACACGATGATGATCTTGGAACTCTGGATAGAATTCGAAAGTTCTTGTCGTTGTATGAGAGCGAGAGGTAAGAAGACACCTTTCAATAATTTTTATGACATTTTTATGATGGATGATCCCATATGGTGCTGCACGGAAAGAGCAGACACCACGGCAACTGCCGAGCAGTGTTGTAATTTGAGGGATCTGTGTCTTTGAGCTATTGAAACGGAACCAAATCTCCAATTTTTTCAGATGGGCATTCCTGGTCATTCTACTCTCAATCACAATGTGCGTCTTGTTCACTGGAGTTGTGGCATTCTGCAAACAATCCAAGAAAGGAGCTGTCGTCTTCAGTGCCATTGGATTTTTCATTTTTGTGGTTGTCTGGATTCTGATATCTGTTTCGCTGCCGGTCACAATTGTAAGTTTACGCGCTAGAACATCTCATAAAATGATGGTCTTTTCAGGCGTTTGCCGATTTCTGCCGTGACGGAGATGAAGTGACGCGGAAAAACCTCGGCAACTTGTACGAGACTGTCCAGTTTTATAACACTTGCGTTCCGGTTCCCACCCATGACAACTTGCCGCTGTCAATCGCTCGCCACGTGGCTCTTCTCAATGACATTCCTGCAAGCAAATCGCAACTGGATCGGCTGATGGAAGTCGCTTTCAATAGCAGCGCAACGGTAATTTGGAAATGAAATGGCGGTGGCCAATTACAATTGTCCCGTTGGCTTTCAGATAACTAATTCATCATCTGCCGTCGGGGACGACATCACAAAACTTTTGAAACTTGCCGGAGCGGTTTCCTCCTCGTCTTCGTGCTATGTCTTCCATGATGATGTGGTCAACTTTTACTATGGAATTTGTAATCAGTCTGTGTAAGTTCATTGATTATTTCATTATCTATTTTTCCATTAATTTATCGTTTTCAGAGCTGGAATGAGCATCTACTTGCTCAGCATCTTGCTCCTCGGACTTTTGCTCTTCATCTTACTCCTCGTTGTCTCAAAGACCTGGAACCTGTTCTCCCGACTGTGAGTTTGAGAAACTTGCACAATATCACTAGAAACAGTGTCTGAAAAGTTTCTCACCTGTCCCGTCCCTCTCACTTCTCACTTCACTTCGTTTCCCAAACAGATCAAAACCGTCGTACCCGGTGCGTGTTCGACCGTTCCGGTACGAGTCAGCCACCAGCAACGACTGTGTGCTTCCCGTCGGAAGGGCACAGTCGCCAGCGGTGGTTTTCAAAACACATCACCAACCCGATCACCCCACAACTTCAGTTTTGTTAAATAAACGAGTCTCGTTTCGGTATGTAAGGTTGTCGTGACAAAATCCTTCCCCGAAATTGGATTCCACTCAGTTTTTGTACCTGTTTCTACGGAAAGTTTTCAGTTTTCTAAGTTTTGCACGTTTTGTTGAGACTGATGAAAAGAATGAGAATGCGCGAAATGCTCTGCAACGTGTGACACTTTCTTCAGGGGTAATATTTGGTTCTTTTCAGACCTCACGAGTACGTTGAAGTTGACGAAGACGATCCATTCTTCCCGCGCGGTGTGAATGACTCGACAATCCCAGTGGATATTTACGGGACTCACGTCTACAACCCAAGAACAAGGTGAGCAATGTGCATCAGAGCCTCGAAATTTCTTTATTCTATTCTATCGGTCTGAACTCACTTTCTCTTTTCTTTCCTCCGCACAACACCCATTATCTGCTTATTTTTCAACAGAGATCGAACCGAACCGTCAACGAACACAACGTCTGGAACCGCCGACGAACCAATTGCTCCGCTGTGGAGCCAGAATGTGTCCGCTCCTCTGGTGACCAACAGGTAACGTAACCCCCTAATCTCATCTCTTTGCACGCCTTCTTTCGCTTCTTCTGCATTAAACGTGCTCTTTTGAAAATAACTATTTTATATTAGTAAATGTCGTCTGCTTTCAGCATGAATCGCCAACCGTTCATGTCGGACCATCCCTACAGCCACTATGAGGGTCAATACAATTAATTTATCCGTCCGTCACTGTCATTTACTCTTTGCAATTGTAGCTTATTTTGAAACGCGGTTCCTTCTTCCCTCCCCATTCTTCATTTTCCTCTTCATTATCTTTAAAGTTGATTGTTTTGCTTCCGTCATCCATCCATCCATCCATCCATATTCCGTCTCTTTTAAAACCAAACTGCCTATCTCAGCTTGTTTCATTCCCACCCCATGATATATTTCAATTGTACTCAACTGACAAACTCAAGAAAAAAAAGTGGATGGAAGAATTGTCATATTTTCGGAATCAAAATATTTGTTTATTGATTGCGAATGTTACGAATATTACGAATTGTACGAATGTTGTGAATATTGAAAAAAAAGAGAAAGATAAATGCAATATTTGTTTAAATGTGCAACATATTTGGGTCTCGAGGGGTTAGCGGTGCCACATTATTCATTGAGAGGCCGGAAATTACGGAGGGCCTACGGGAATACGATTCCAACTGCAAATTTCCACCGACAAACACCGGAAGGGTTGAGGTTTCAGCATTGGAAGCAGAATCCGACTTTATGAAGTTGATGGTAGACCAGGAGAACAAAATCGCATTAGCGTAGGTGACCAACACGAGCAATCCTTTGAACATCTGAATCTTTTTTGCGTGCTTTGTTCGCTGAATTTTAGCTGCTAACCTCATCTTTCCAGAACGTGTAGTAAACCTGCCGATTGTCATCCATCACCGACGATTTGATTGCCAACATTATTATTAATTTCAGCAGATGATACGTTAGAGTGGCCAAAATCTGCAAATCATCGTTTGTCGCCTTATTAATAAAATATGTTTTACCTGGCTCGACAACCAGATGTTCAACCGGCGCATATTCAAAACGTCTTTCCGTGACATGTCTTGGCTGTACAAACGGGCGACCATATGTTTTCGATAAATCCACCAAATCAGAAAGCAGACGACGGTCATAACAACTTCCATATGCTCCTGAATGGTTCCGGTTTTGCGAGGTCAAATGGGCCATTTCGAAGAAAATGAGAACCTACCGGCGTGTTCGAAGCGATCAAGAGGACGATGAGAGCGATCGGAATGAGGTATATGTGTGCGAACTTCAGTGCACGGATACTGTAAATTTCCGATTCATTTGAGTATTTGGGGATCCCACTCACTTCTGATTGGAAAACTCTGCTACTTGGATGATCAGGAATGCACTAATGATCAGCCAATACATGGGTTTCTCGGCAATCACTATACGATCACAGAACTCGACGAAAATTTTTGGGAAGATTGCGAATGAATCGAACGTGAAGTATTCAACGTTTCTAACTGGAAACGCTATCTGAAGAAACAACAAATAAAATTGTTTGGTTCAATTTTTAAAAATCTACTTTTTGGGTGACCAACGCCGCGCCAAAAGTTAACGATTGGAAGATGAAAATAGCTCGGAAGCTGTAGTCAAATGTAAGATAAGTCCTTCCGTGAGTCAGAAACAGCACAAAGTAAAACGTGTAAAACGCGAATCCTGTAATTATTTTGTTATAACGTGAGTTTCACTAATAATACTCACCAAAAAAGTTTGCCATGTTTTGAAGATAGTGCAATGAGCGAAAGTTACTAATGTCCACCCTTGGCAACTGTTTCGAAAGTGCCGAGTTCGCATCCACAAGAGCTTCGTAAGTAGAAAACCTGACTTTTTCCATTTAGCCAAGAAGGGAAATGAGGACTTGGACTGAGAGCCTGAAAAGTCGTTTTTATTGAATTTGTGCTAAGCAACGCCTTATGTTGTCATCAGTTGAGTGGGATGGCAGGTGATTCGGATTCGGGTTGACTGTTGGTGCCATTTTGACTAGCTTTTCCCCCGAGCAGCTGAAATTGTCGGATATTTTGAGGCTCTTGACATTCTTGCGTGCCTTGCCAGTAAAAAAATTTGTTTCTGAAATTTTTGTTTTATTATAAGAAAACATGGAAACAGATGAAAGGCACAAAATATTCAAAAAAGGCACATTGTGATAAGTAGGGAATTGCATGCAAGAGAATGATTATTGGGAAAGTGTATGAAATCAACATAAGCAGAATCGGGAGCACTTATTTACTCCTCATCGGACTCTTCCTCGGAAACCTCGGCGAGTTCATCTTCCTCAACTTGCTCGGCGACTGGCTCAGGGGCGACTTCCTCCTTCTTCTCGTCCTTCTTCTTCAACCACTCTGGCTTGTCAGACTTCTTCTGAAGTAAGCTTTGTTCCCATAATTATTTTTAAGAGTTATCAAAACTGAACCTTATTGGCGATTTGAGTGAAAACACTCTCCTTTTTGACGGTCTTGAGGTTTGTTCTCAAGTTTTTGGTCTCCTCCTTCTTGGCTTCGGCCATTTTCTTGAACTTGTTGTCGTACTTCGACACCTTCTTGAGGGAAGGCTTGACGCTAAAATCATACAAATACGTATTAAGATTTGTGCTCAGCAGGTGACTATCATAAGAGGAAGTGAAGGCGGAACTCACAATTTTCCTCGGAGATCGTTGACCTCAATGTTGAGTTGGTTGATGCAAGTTTCCGTTTCGGTGGTGACGTAGTTGATGTCATACCGCTCTTCCTCAAGGGCACAGACGTGGGCGAAAAAGGTGTCATGGATAGACAAGAGTTTGGCTGAAATGATTGGGATCCTCTAAGAAAGGCTTATGCTGATCTACCATGATCATCAATGGAGTCGACGTTCGGGAGAGCGGGAGTTCTCTCGGTGAGAACCTTAATTCTCTCCTGTTCCTTCAAGAGCTGCTGTCTCTTCAGATCCTCAGCGGCCTTGATCATGAGAAGCTTCTGAAAAGAAAAAAGAATAGCGTTATTCGAACCCTTTCCTTTCTCACTCTCAGCTTCTTCTTTCTCTCCGGAGTCAAGAATCCCTTTTTCTGCTTCTTTTGTCCGGCCTCCTCGAGACGCTTGCGGACCTCAGCCTTCTTGGCCTCTCTCTCCTCGGCCTTGCGCTTAGCATCCTGAAAAATCCGAGTTAAAATCGTAGTTTGATCATCATTGTCTCAGAAAACCTCGCCGTCGGTCTCGTTAGCAGCTCCGCCGTAGCGAATGCTATCCTCGAAGTGGCTCATTATTCCACCTAAATACGTCAGTCTTGCCGAACAAGCCAGTGTGGGCACAATTGTGTTTACGACTACTGGGGGGTGTGCCAAGCAATTGGTGAAAAGCGTTAGAGGACGGTGTGAAAAGGGATGTTTGGAAGGTGTCAAAGTGATACGAGGGTTCAAATAAAAACCGATTGATAGAAGAGGGCAAAACGAGAAACGGAATGGACTAGTATGATGTGTAACACAATAGAATGAGCCATACGCACACAGCTTCATTAGGTAACTGATGAAGGAATAGCGCAAGAAGGGTGTGCGTCGTGACTATGTTAATGAAGCGGCTGGAAAATTAGTGCATATCCAACTAATGGTAGTTTCAAAGTGTGTTGGGCAGTTGGAATATCGAAAATCGAATACGAAAGTCATGCTTCTGGGAGGAATGTCCTTTTTAGAACGTTGGTGAAAGAGGCATTACAACAAAGAGTTTGTTACCTTCTATTCAGCTGCCGGTAGCATAAATTATCAATATCTGGAGAAGGATTAGAGTATTGCATTGTTCACTTATCTGTTCGCTCAGAGCTATCATTAAAAAGTAACCCCAAGAATTACTTATCTGTCACCTTTTTCGCGCCCGTCGCAACTATTTCAGATCTCAGTCAGAGATCAAACCCTGCAATTGTCATCACGGAACCAGCCGCGGAATTCGGTGCGAGTGGCATTTCGATCGAATCGGATGGAATCATTTGTGCGAGTGCGAGCCTTTGTGAACAGAGGGATGGAGGGACAGAAAACCGATCGAAGGCAGTTGTTAGAAGCAGACAGGACATGTTAGGGTGAGAAGTGGGCAGAAGCTAAGGGGGAAGTCATACCCCGGGCGGAAAATCATCACCTCGGGTACAGTGCGAGTGTCGTTTTCAGTTAGTGTGCAAGTGAGTAGAGTTACTGGTCAGGCGGATGTTGTTAGAAAGCGAAACGAGGACATCTGCCGTGTAGTGGGAACGCGTTGAAGTGTCCCCGGAAAGAGCTCGGGGACGGCGGGCTCACGCCAAAAAGTGGCGACAACAGACGGGTTACGGCACTCTTCAGAAGCCGACAGCTTAGGCGATAATTGCTAGGCTGAGGCTTTCTTCAACAATAAAACTTTTCGTGCATTATCCGGCGCATGTGGAAACTTTCAAAATTGAAGCGCTCTGGTTTCATTACAATACACATCCTTCTCGTCTGATTTCAGTATTTCTTAATTAAAGTTCATCATGAATATGAGGGAAGCTGAATGCAAGTTTCTTCAACCAACAAGATGGAAAAATACAAATTAAAAGTGGAAATGAGAAGACTGCGGACACAAAGGGTCTATGCAGATCCGCCTGAATAGAAAGACTTCAAAACGGGAAGCTGAACTGAGCACGAATAAAAATTTAATGAAGGTCGTGTTATGTAGCTAGAGGCGCAAAATAGGATACACTCGGCTCTTGCTGTGTTTGGTTTGCATTCTCATTCTCATTCTTATTCCTCAAACTTGAAACTAATGAGTTCTTGAAGCTATTTCTCTAAAGATTTTGAAAGCTGTCACCTCTAACAGAATAGACGCTCTTGGTTTGGTTTGGCGAATCAAAATATGCAAGAGTAGCACACTTGAATGGGATGAATTAGAAGGCGGAGAAGGGACGTCGGGAGGAAAAGAAAAGATGAAGAAGGGAGAAGAGTAAAGGGTCCTGAAGAGCGGAGAATAGGAATGGAATAGCTGAGAGGAGGCTTTGGCCGCATTGCGGGGGTTGCACAGATTTGATTTGCGAGTGTTGGATGCGATCAGACAGCATGTATTGAAGAAGCATCAAAAATTGGAGGAGGCAGGAGGGAAAAGCAAAGCAGAAGATGACTGGTGGTGTCAGTTGGTCCCGGCACGTAGTATAGTACAATCGGAGCCGGCGGCAAGCGGAGCTGGACATCAGAGCTCTGTTTTGATGCGATTCCGTCTCTCAGATCAACACATTCTCTCTTCCCACGTTGATCATTCATTTCGAGAAACGCGCGCGGCGGCTCCACGAGTCCTAGATCCTGTTGTAATGCTCATTTCGATGTGTCCTCCGATTCTACGGAGCAGAAACATCGTGCGGACCGCTCTCTCACGCTCCCTCACTGCCCACCCACTATCCGACGGCATTAAAATCGGATGTGTCAGGGAAAGAGAAAAAAAACGGATATTTCCGGATCAGTAATCTAAAAACACAATAAAACTGGAGGTCCTACCCCACATACCAGGAAGCAAAGCAACAAAATGGGGCGAGAAAACTGGAGAAAACACTTTTGCACACTTCATGAAAATTCGAAAAAGTAATACGAGAGTGATTATAACTCCACACTCACATTTTGCATAAATAAGAATGAGGTTGCCCGTAGTAACGAGCGAGTAGCTCGTTTTTTGTCATTGGGGAGCTACAAATTAATAGTGCTCAAGGGACACCGAGAGAGAGAAAAAAATAAAGTTTTTGTTGTCGAGAGCAAGGCGTATGTATGACATGTGTAAGATATCTTATTGCCATGTTGAGAATCTGAAGCACATGTATGTTTGGTTTGTAAACGGATGACTGAATCTGACACGTGTATTCATTCCATTTCACAGATGTTCAGAGAGCGCATGAACACGTGTTGAAATTGCCTTCATCTGAAAAATAGAAAGGAACTTTAATTTGAAAAGAAAGTGCAACAAAACATGTTCCAATGGCAGTTCCATGAAAAGGAAGAAGAAATGGAACAAAGAATAGCAAACCAATCACAAAGATAGGAATCTTTCATCGGAAATAACTCGAATTGGATCGAAAACTTTTTTGTGAACGCTGAAAACTGACAAATTTCCGTTGATTCATCGTGTAACACCGTCTTAATCGGTATCCGAAAGTGCGGCTAATCGCGCCAAAACTTGCTAATAGGCAATCTTTGGGAAGCGGCGTCTGCCGTGGCAGTTCCCTACCAGAATCGGTCAATTTTCTATTAGCCCCCATTTTCCGTTGTCTTGTTCTTGCGCCGCCGAACAACCTTTAATGATAGGCAAGAAAACGCCTTCGTGCGATGATTTGCAACAAGTGTTTCAGTTACTCATCGGTTCCACCCCATTTCAAAGTCATTCACATTCTTATCTACCGCTTCACTTATGAACTGAACAGATGGGGTGGCGTGTACACCTTCATTCGGAAACGTCTCATGTTGCATTATAACCTATCCAAACACTCCTTCTCTCTCTTTTTGTTAATAACTATTACACAAGGTGCTCCGGTCCGTTCGTTTGCCGAGAGGAGGAGGTGGACTGGTTGACCAGTGCCTCATAACTTGTACCTCTTATCGATTTGTTCATCGGTCATTTTTTCGATTGTCTCGCTCGCTGTTTCCGGTTTTGACAACAACTGCCGAAAAATTACAAATTTAGTATCTTGCATTCTTTCACAACGATGTCTACTTGTGCGAAATGAGAAAGAATCAGTTGGAGACTCCACCATTCTCGTTGGCCTATATCGTAACATAAAAGATAGATGGGTAAAAGTTTCCTAAAGAGATAGGTCACCGCTTCTCGTTACGTAACGTCATCCTGCCGTAATTTCCTTTTTTCCATTTTCCATTTTCCAAGACCGCCGCATTTCCAGGAAACAAACTCTTCCGCATTTTTCTAATTAGGTTCCATTTAGTAGGGTGCAGCAAGTTGCAGGAAGAGCTCAATTGTCCACGGACCGCTTTTGCATACTGCAGCTTTTTGTCCGCGCTCACCCGAATCACAAATCCTAATCGTTGTGGGAATTGTGAAGGATGCTGTTTGCCCCTTCCGTTCACTTTTTCCTTATTACTTTCCTCGCCCAATATATATTTTCTCGTTTTCCGCTCACGCCATTTTTAGAAGAAAGCCAAGGACGTGATCGTCGATTATTGGCCTGCTCAAAAACATTTTATTACGCCTCCTCGTTTGAGTATTATACGTGTGTTACGTCGTTGAAAATCCGACGTTATCCATTTTCATCCGAAAACTTTTTTTTTTGCTTTTTGTGACTCCCACTATCCTTTCTAAATTCAAAAGTTATTTTTCCAATAATGACGTAACGTTCTAAGCGGATTTTTTCACCTGGTTTTCAAAATTCATGGGTAAAGTGAAAAGGTTGCTACACATTGTTACAATTCTATTTTTAAAGTCTTTTTAGACCATCTGCAAGTTATTTGTGTTTGAACGAATCCAGAAACCAACATTTACACTTTCTCCAGTGCAAATGAACTCTAGTGCCTAGCACAAAAATCTCTAAAATTCGTTAAGATTTCCCAGAATCTCTTAAGGTTGTGTTGTTTAATCAAATTCCGATGCCAAGGTGGAAGTGAATAACAACGGCAAGAGAAAGAAAAAAAGACATTCTCCCATGAAAAAACAACGCGTTATCCCCATTGTTCGCCAATTTCGTTAACAAGTAGCGCGGCGTCGGCGGCTCAGAGAGCCCCTCGCCTTCCTTTCCCAGACCCCTTCGTTTCTCCGAGAGCATCCCCTCTACGGCCGCGAGCAACAAGTCAGTCCCTCTCTCGCTCTTCCGCGCACTCGGCTGTGTCCGCAAGGTCGCCGCCCACCCCCCGCTTGCCTCCTCCTTCTTCTCTCCGTCCGCTCTCCCCTTCTCATGGCCTGTGACTGTCTGCTTGTCTGACTGACCGACTGCCTGTTCTGTTCAGAATCTGAAGCTGCTAGGGGACACATATTTCCCATCGTCACTGCTGCTACCTCATTGTTTCATATCAACACCGCCGCCCCTTACCCCCTGCGGATCATAATGCATATCATATTCTAGGCCATTTATGATCATCTATTCGACAATTTGAACTACCAACATGAGTTCTTCCCAACTACTACTATTCTTGGTCATATTCATTGGCTCAACAATTTCTGAATTGGTGTTCACACCTTATAAGTCTGCCGAGCAGTACAAATGCGGATCTTTCATGGAAGACAGGAATGGCAGAAAGGCAGATGCCGTCCTTAGCTTCTACTACAACACAATCGACCAGTTCATCACTCTCATCTCTTCGCCATTTCCCCATCAAGGTTAGTGCTTCCTACACTCAAAAGATCTCTCTTTTTTTTGTGTTTCGAAATCGTTTCTCGCTTACATTTCATTTCGCATTAGTACCGCGAACCAAATCGAGAAGAAAAAGAGACGCGAAAGTGGATCATGAACAAAAACTAGCCAGGATTAGCCCCTCCGAGAGATGTTCCGCTTGGATTCTCCCCCAATTTTTGTTTGATACAGTAGACAAAAAAGTGAGAAGTTGACGCTCCCGGTCTGCTGAACTAGGATGCAAAACCTCCCCAAGGGCGTATTTATTTGATGAACTCGTCTTCGGAAGAGGAACGGATGATCGATGCAATTGTGTCGTTTGCGTTCTGGATTCAAATGCTCTTTCTGCTAGACTTTTTGTACACGATTTATGTACAAATGAGGTAATCCGCCGTCGTGTCTGCGTCGATTAGTATCTTCGCGAATCAACTCAGCAAACACTTGAGACAAACCCAAAAGCGCCTTGGCGCTCTCCTTCAACCACCAGCCACCCAAACATTCCGTAAATTTTCGATTCATTACACGCAAATGAATAATAAATATAGCAAAAAACTCTATCCGGGAATGTGATTTCTTATTCCACACCTCCGTGGCGAAAAAAAACGCGGGGTGAATGTAATGCAATATGTACTTGACCACACCGTCAACCACCCAAAAATTCTCGCCGGCCCGATATATTCCGGTTTTGACACTGACATTGACACATTTTTGTGTTGTATTGGGGCAAATTGCGTCGACACTCAACCTAACAATTGGCGAATTTCAAGTGCGAACGATTACATTGGCAACAGAACACAAAAACCAATTACTAACGGGACCGAATTAAAACAGTGCTCTTCAATTCAATTTTCAGATTTGCTGAGCAACGACGCCCTCACTGGCGATCTCAACGAACTTCAATTGTCTGTGGAGAAGAAGTACTGGCAGGTCGGTGAGATTCCCATCGGAGGGTTGAAGCGTCTTTTGTCTTATTGCTTACTCTCGTGATTCTCTTTCTTGTGCTCCCCCGCGCGCGTACCTAAATCCTTCTGACCAACACGCTTAACGTAAGTGACCCGTACACTAACTGCGTTCTTTCGAAACTTGATTACGAACCGCGCCAAAGTTTGTATGCATATGATAATAGGATTTGGAATGAAGGAAGACGGAATTCCTCTTCGTCGCTCGGAAATGGAATTATGTTCAGTGTTGGCCAGAGGAGGAAGAACTTGACGAACGGGACACATCGTCCGAGGCAATAAAAGGAAGGGGGTTTATGAATATATCACCTTATTGGTGCTTGATGAACCGTTCGCCGCAATCGGGTTTTCAAAGTTTGGGTTGTAAGAGGAGACCATTCATTTTTATGGCGCATTAGGCACGTATGAATGTTAAATGTTGAATGCAACGATGACCGAATGCCGGAATTTGAAGAAAATATCCGCGAATCCCGGAATTTGTTACAAAGTGCAAGTGAATGGTCAATTCCCTGCACACATTCCGTTTATTTGATCATTTAACCCAGACCTTGTGCTGGTGGTCACCGCACAAACCAATGAATCATTCATTAGATTCTATTGGCTTTCCAGTCGGATGAATCATGAGCGCACCGTGAAAGAAAGAGCCCCGTCTTCCTGTAAAAACATGTGTGGAGGGATTGTCGCAAAAGCAAACAATAGCTGCTGTGCTCGGAACTGGAATGCGTGGTGGTCACTTGCGGGCGTGTATAGCTCTTTTCTTCCCATCATGCCGCTAAGCGTTCTGCTATTCAATCGCGACAAAGTATCGGATTACGCATGTTTCGCAAAATCTAAGATTCATGCGTGAGCGCGGCGTTAAGGGAATTGAATTGTTGAAGTGGCGGGGAAAAGTACGATAGGAACTATAGTGCTCCTTTATCTAATTCTCATGTCATCTCCATCCTCCATTCGTCAGTCAAGCAGGAAACGTGCCTGCCTGCTACATGCTTTTGAAAAAGATGACATTAAACCTGTATCTCTTTGCCCATCTGTGCCTAACCAAAAAAAGAGGGAGATCTTATCGACACATGTCGCCGGTTGTGTTTTATCGGAGCAGTTGAGTTTTAACAAAAAAGGAAACGAAATGTTTGCATTTTACACAATGTGCGACGATCTCGGCGAATTTATTTAGGTTTAGGTAGCCGGCGAGCACGAGAAAGGGAAAAGCAAAGAAACTATTTTGTTGACGAGTGGAGAGCACTTTTCAACAAGCCGAAAGTGGAGAAATTGTTAATGATTAACCTTTTTTCAGTGGATCGAGTGGCAAAAAGGATGGATCGTCTTGTCTGCCGGACTCGTCGCAATCAGTCTTCTTTTTGTGGTCTTTTATGTATTTTACAAGTGAGCATGATGGATGAGAACGGACAAAAACATGAACAATTCAGAATGTGCGTTTGCATCTGCTCGCGGTCCTCAAAAAAACAGAACACAGATGCGAGATATGATGGCTGCAAACGTAGTTTGTGCAATCTCCTTCTTTTTGGACTTGTCAGCGCGAATGCGTAAGAAATAATATCATAAACAGTAAAAGTTGAACCTAGGAAACATTTTTTAGATTTGTGGCCTTCACACTGCTTATGACCAGCCAATATGCTCAAATCGGCTTGGACAAACTCCCGAACAGAATGAATCAATGCATTGACGATCTACAAGTCTACAAGAGGGACAGTGACATGGTCTCGTTCTTTCAATTGGTTTCAAAATTTCAAAGAATCTATTTCAGAGAATCCGAAAACTTCTCATCGAAGACTACCAGGTACTCAATACAACTATCACAAAACAATTGGCTTCAGCTGGACACAATGTGGTGGATCGTGTCAAGAAATTGACTGGTGCACATGTCATTGACGTTTTCATGAACGTTAGCAATGGTTGGAAAGCGTGTTTTTCAAGATTCTCATTAACTTTTTTGTTTAGTTGCCAAAGAGATGCACGATGGTTTGGAATCTGTCCACGGAAAAGTGAAATTCTTGAACGAAGAAGGATCTAGATTCGAGGTACTGTGCACTTCTGCAATTCTCAGGAGGATTAACCGCATTATAGGCCGAGTTCTCACGATTACGGAACACTGCTAATGAAGAGCTCGTCAAGTGCCTCGAGAATGAGCTGGAGCCCGTGCGGAGTATGTGCGCGAAAGCGGAACGGCTTCTCGAGAGTCTCGCCGTCACTCAATTCAAAATTGACCCTGTTAGTCACTTCAGTCCAAGGGACCGCTCAAACTCTTTCTATTCAGAAGTTCCTTCCGGTCGCTACAGAGAACGGATTGTCGGAAATTGTGAATGCCAACATCTCGCAAGTTCTCGCCGCGTCAAATGCTCAGTTCGAGCAATTGGAGAACAGAATTCAGCACGAAATTGACAAAGAAACACATTGTGAGAGCAAAATCAAAGGGGATGGCTGAAAATTAATAATATATTCAGCTGCACACAACATGTTGAAGCAAATTGGTGACGACCTGTTTCTTGTTGCGGAGACTATTTCAACACAATTGAGAAAAGTCAACTTCGAGGGACTCTACAGCTCTATTGCCGCTGTTTCGGACCCAAAAAAGACACCCACAATGAAGTTCATTCAGTACAGGTCAGTTTCTAGCAGTGCATCTTCTCAGATTTCAAAATTGCATTTTCAGCTGGTACGTGTCTCTTGTGGTCACCAGTCTATTCATCTTGCTGGCTCTCATCTTCCTGTTTGGTGTGCTTTATGGAATTTGTGGAAGACGACCCACGTATTACAACGATGACTGTTGTGTCAGAAGCACCGGCGGAAAGTTCTATTCATTGTGAGTTCCACCAGTTTCGCATGTTCCAATAACGGTTTTTTTAGTGGCATATGGGTATTTCTGCTGATATTCGTTTTCTTGGCTGCTGGAACTGCTGTCCTCATGTTTTCGGTTGGAAACTTCTCCAGTTTGGTTTGTCAGCCACTGAGAAACCCCTTGAGTCATCCGGATTCTCTATCGGTTAGCTCATCTTTGTCAAACTTGAACTTTTCATCTTTTTTAGCTTGCCGAAAGATATATCGACATTTGGAAGACTAGTCACCCTCCAGAGAACGACATCGAGGTCACTTTGCAGACAAAGGGACCGGCGGAAATCATCCGAGCATGCTCTAGAAATGAGACATTGTACAATCTTTATGATTTCGACAAAAAATATCATCTCAATCAGTTACAGGTAGAGAAAAATAAGGGAAACTGAACTTCACATTTAAATCTTCAGGATTTTGAAAAGGAATCGTACAACCAGCTCCAAATCTTCTTGAGGACCACAATGGAGAACATGCCAGAAATCCGTCCCCTAGATGCATTCATTTCCAGGAGTGAATTGCATGATTTGGAAAAACTGGCAGTTGTGAATGTATCAAAAGTCAGTCAGCAGGGACTGAACGCGGTAAGCCAGATAATCAGAATGCATAGTTTGAGATACACAGTTTTTAGATCAAACATGCTATGGATGAACTTGATTTGGTGTCGAAAACCAGAGAGTTCGAAGAGTCATTGGATGCAAACGCTGGCAAACCAAAAGCCGTCACTCTTGTTTTGGAACAGATTCGAGAGTTAGAGGCGCAGTTTGCAAAGCCTTTGAGGAGCAGATTAGATGTTCTATACTCTAACATCACGCAATTGGATCAGAAGTGAGTTCTAAAAACATTGAAAGTTATTCTGACTTGTTTTTTTCCCAGATTGTCTCAATTGCAAGTCCCGGTCTCTTCCCTTTTAGTAAAACTGCAACATGCGCAAGCTCTGCTGGCTGAGAACATGAAAGAACATTTCGGACGTGCTGCAAAGGAAGAGTTCCAGCAAATGGTTGACCACATAGATCAATACATTTCACACGTGAAGCATCAGGTAAAATTTGAAGTTTAATGGCTGCTCAATCCTCAAGTCTGTTTAGATGGAAAGTGACGTCACATCTTGTCAACCATTGACTCAAATTGCCAGACAAACAACGTCTGCAATTTGTTCTTACACCATTGATCCCTATGTACGTTTACAACAAACAACATAATTAAAAAGTCTGGAATTCATTTTCAGAACGGAACGTGGATGTGCATGCTCATCTGCTTGGCGTTGTTGGTGCCAATCGTTGTCATTTCCAACTCGCTGATCAGTCTCTACTCGAAAATGCACGCGTTTCCAAAATAGTGAGTTTCACGCCCAGCCTAACGTTTTTTTTTTCAAATTTAAATTTCAGTATTGTGGAGCCACCGTCTGAAACGCATCACATGTCGTCATTCATAACAGATACCTATGACACGAGGCCTAAACCGTAAGAAGATAATATTTGTTACAGAAATAATGTAATTTTTCAGAGGATATGCAAACTATACGTACACAGACGATTACCAAAGGACGTATCGATGAAGAACTCGACTGCATTCAATCATTCTTTGGGTTCTATTTGCACAAGTGTATTATCTCTGACAACTACTTAATTCTTCAATGCATGTATTTAAGTCGACATTTCATTTGAATCTTATCGCTTCTTCTCTCTTTCACCTTCTTGAACGTCTACGAGTACAATTTCCCACTATTCTCTTCTATTTTCCCCGGCATTTTTCCTCCCATCACTACCCAATTGAATCGCTCAGCAAACGCACCGTTCCCCATTTGTGCCATCGTCTACTTCAAGCATTTTTTTTCATTTTCCTCAAACTTGATCTTCAGTTGTTCATTTTCCCATTCGGTTTCAGTTTCTGATTACCAACTCTTCTTGCTGATTCGATTATATTCAGTTGTTCTTGTGATGATGACTCGCTTGTGGTTTCGTTTGTCAATACTAAATAAAAGAAAGTTTTCCGTAAGCTTCCATGTTGGTTCTATTCCGGATTAGAATCACGTAATGATAAGAAGACTGCAAGAATGCAGAACTGCACATGTCAAATTGATTCATGATCTCACAATTTGTAAGACTAGACTTCATTTCACCTTTTTATTTCAAATTCAACACTGCAGTTGATTGTGTAACCTATGTTATCTTGACAAGAAGAAACCGATGGAATCCGAATCTTGTCAGTCAGTTCACCCCTTTCTACTCTACTATCTAATCGCAATAACGCACCCGAAGACACGACCAGACTACAGCGTAGTATTCTGCCCCCCTGTCCCTCTCCACCGGCAATCGATGACCGTTTTCTATCGCTTCTAATCAGAAACTACTACTCACGTTTATATTGTTTTTGTGAGACCCCTCACCCGTTTTTTTTAATTTCAGAAGTTATGAGTGGGACAATCCGAGCTTCACAACTTGCCTCTTCCGTCGCTGCGGCGACAGAAGAAAAACAGCCATCGGTGTTTGATATTATTGCTCAGGAAAACCTTTCAACATCGATACGACCAGCTTTACAGCATCTTGTTAAGGTATGAAGAGTTATGAAGCTGCGTGGAAATTGAAATTATACTTTTTTCAGTATCTGGCGATTTTCAAACCAAAAACGTTTCTATCAGTTCACCGGAACTTTGATGAATACTACCTTTTATTCGATTTTGTGCTACAGAACTATTACTTGAAAAACTATGGTGAGATTTTTTTACCTTCAACTAAAATTGAATGAGTTCTCATTTCAGGAGCATCGTTCACCGAAAACTTTTATTCCATGAAAAGAGTGACAGGAACGACAGGACTGCCACCAACGGACGGAAGAGAACGCGTACTTTCCTTGATCACACTTGTCGGATGGCCCTATGTCGAGGATAAACTTAATAAGTTGTACGACAGACTCAAGGAAGTCTATGAAATCAGAAGTTGGGCTTCGGTCAAGGTATCTCCTAGTCAAATCTTAAATGTATATGAATCTAAAGACTTTTTTTTAGGATGTACGCTCGAAATGCCAAAAGATGTTTGTCGTAATCTGGCCGTACGTCAAAACTATCATCAAAGCGATCAAGAGCGCCCTCCAACTCGGCTACATTCTCAATCGCAGCTCTGTTCATTCTCCGTGGCTCTACTTCTCCGGTGTCATTCTGAAACACTTGACTCCAGAAGATCTGGAAGCTTTCAACACAATCCCACTTCACTTACAAACAGGGTAATCATTCATGGTTTCAAATATTATGGATCCGCGAAGGAATTATTTCAGATTCTTCAACCGTATCTGGAGATTTATTCTGGGATTGCCAGGAATAGTCTCCAGACTCTTCGCCTATGGATTGTTCTTTGTGCAGTTTCTGGATTACATGTACAACACGGATCTGGCTAAACTTACCAAAACTGGGCTCAATGGAACTGTGCCACCTCCTCCACACAAAATGGTTAGCCAAGTTTCAATCATCATCAAATCGGTTTTTTCCGCAGATAATCAAAGAAAGTGAAATTTTGAGTCTGGACACTAACAAATGTCCAATCTGCATGAAGAAGCGGGTGAATGACACCGCCCTCTTTGTCTCGGGATACGTATTCTGCTACACATGCATCAATCAATACGTCAATACATACCAGAAGTAAGAAGAACCGTAAAATTTCCTTAAAAAATTAATTAATTCCAGGTGCCCAGTGACCGGATGTCCTGCTAACGTTCAACATCTCATTCGTCTTTTTGTTTGAATAGATTCACATAATAAAAACGTTTTATTATAAAACATGAGATGCAAAGCAGAGTGACCTTTGTTGTGACATGAAAATTACAAAGTAAGAGCACAGCATTCACAGGTTATTCTCATCAATTACAATTGTCGGAACAGTGGTCGAGTCCATGGTCTCGCTAACATTTTTACTCCTTCGAAGACCTCTTCTCGGGTTGATTCGGGCATTGGTGGCGTCTTTTTTGATAGGACTTCTGATTACATATCTGAAATTGTTTTCATAAGGTTAGCTAATAGCAATGGCATCGCGTCTTACACAATATCACCGGATTCCAATTCCAAATCTTGTGCGGGATTGATGATGACGTATGAGATCAGGGCTTTCTCATCGCTTCCTTCCAACACTGAAAAGTTCCCAGGTTATTCTTGAAACACACAAAAAAGACACGCGAAAGCAGTTAGAGAACTGAAAAGAATAAAGTAGTTTGAAGTTCCCAACGAAAGACGTTTTTCTGTTTTTGCTTTTCACACCACTCGTGGTAAATACCTGAAGAAGTGTACCCTCGAGCGTATCTCCAATTAACTAGAAACCTTAATGATATGGAAAACAACCACTGCCGCGGTTCTACTCACATGTATGCGAATCCTTAATGTTCAGACTCCTCATCCGGTTTTTCACATGGTCATACATATCCTTGTTCCGACCCATTTCTGTCGATTCGAAATCTTTGCATTGTTCTTGGAGATCCAGTGATACCTTGAAATCATATTAATATTGTATTTGAAGTGAAGTATGAAATACCGTCTTTGTATCCATCTTCTTTGTTCGGAAAATTCCGATGGGAATGTCAGCCACAGAGGAGCACAACTTCTGGTATAACCGTCCGTAGTTTCTGATCCACAGGTCTTCCGACGTGATTACAAACTGAAATAAACAATGTTCAAACTGATTGGTCTAACTTAACAGTACCGATGTCAAATATCCACCATCACTCTGTTGATCGATTCCCAAGAGAAGTCGCACAAGATCAACTACGAATGGTTTGATTATTGCCTGAAGATTCTCATTTTCTAATAAAAGATGTTCTCTATGAAATCACTTGGTAAAGCAGTCTATCGAGCATGTTCGCACTGAACACTCCTCCCTGAGCGAAAGGTAACCGAAACATGAATGGCATGTGAGATCCTCTTTTCCTTTCTTTTTTCTCGAATCTTGACTGTGCTAAGGAGTAGGCGTTGTGTGGATTGAACTGAACAAAACGCATATTCGTTGCATGGGTAAGTTCGGTGATCATGCGAAGGCGAGGGAACATTCTGTGGATCTTCTGTACAGTGATAATGGTACTACAGTCGGCTGTGTGCTCCTCGGCGATAACTGCGGTCTCCTTGACCACAACGACATGCTCAGCACTGCTCACGCCTGCTCGGAGTAGACAGTCCAAGCTGAAATAAGCAGAATTACCTTTGTCGAAATCTTGAGCCAACTTACTTTCCAATCTTTCCTTTCATCCAATAAATATCCGGGAAATACGAGATCGCATCCAAAAAGGCGTCATTGAGCGAGTCCTGCTCCTCCAATTCCAACAAAATGATAATTGGATGAAGATCATGAACTGGCCGATAATACGCACGCAGGGGAATAACCAAGTTGTACATGCCGCTGCTGGTCCGATCAGCGGCTAGTATGATCGGACGGTTTCTCCATTGGTATTCATGGGCAGAAGTTGCAGATTTGTGCGCACACTTTTCGTCGAGTTTCAAACAACACAAGGACCGTCGTTCTTTCATCATGTGACACACCGTATTTGAAGTTCCGATATAGGTGCGGACTTGAGGGTAGGTTCGTTGCAACTTGTGTTGTATGCAACGACCTCTGCACTTGTCACAATCTTCTTCTTGGTCAGAGTCGGATGAACTTTCCAATTTTCCTTCAGTGACCATGGCGATGGAAGGTCTTCGACTAGACTGGATGTGTTCGCCGACTTCAATCAGGTTAATCTCATCAGCTGCCTTCTCCTTCCTCTTTTTCTTTTTCCTGCTCGTCAATTCTGTCTTATCCGACCTCGGAACATCCACAGCCACTGTTCCTATATTGGCAATCGTGGAAGCGACGTTGGCCCGTTTCTGTTGATGCTGTATTCCTTTTCGGAAGTCACTGAGCGACTCCTCGTTGGTCAATCCCATGTAATAAACGGTGTCTGAGGGTTGGATAATATGAGATGATCCTGGATTCAACTTCATCCTCGAAGTATCGCCATCAGGCGAGACAGCTATCAATCCGATTCCGTATCTAAAAATAACTGCATTACATCAGTAATCTGCACATCACCAACTCCTTATGTGCGTGGAAACTTGTGCTACTGAATGACTTTCCGACGTATTCCCCAAAGAACTTGCTGTCTTGAACTTTAATTTGATACATCTCATTTCCAGAGTGGAAACCGTATACTTTGTGCCACGGCTCCGTCGACTTTTGCCCTTCCCTAAAAAAACAACAAAGTTGTACTATAAAAAATGCAAGAGCACTGACTCTCCGCGCGAAGTATGCATGAGAAGAGTAATGAATGTTGAGATTCCAGGACAGATGCAGTTGTTTGCCAGAAGCGCATACTTGAATTCATCCTCACATATTAATACTTCTAAATGCTTGTACTTGTTCCACTATCCACATGTTTTCAACATTTCAACATACCCGCGTGCTCGATGTGCATCTTGGTTTCTGCTCTGAATATTTGAACGTATTGCTTGACACTCGGGGCAAAGTCTTTGATGGCCCACGACCGAAGAATTGTGTGCTCATCCGTGGCCACTTTTCTGTTGACATGTCGAGCCGATAAAATGAAGCACGCTTTCGAAGTTGCTACATTCGCTCTGAAAACCGCGGGTTGAGAACAACACAAAAACAATAGACACCTCTCAAGGTCTTCGTCTCTCAGCGAGCTTCCGCGCACGTAATGAACACGGTTGTTCCAGAGTGGTATCTTCAATAACATGCGCGTCTGGTTGTCCAGCTCGGCAGGCGAGAGCAAAACAACTTGGATTCTCTGCAACAAAAAAATTACCGGCAGTCAGAGGGGCGGCGGTTAGAACCTGGTTCTCTGGGTGCGCATAAAACTCCTCCAGAAAGTCGCGAATGAATTCCACTTCCAAAGTCGTAATGTTGACTACAACATGCGACTCGACTCCATTCCATCCGCTGAAATCTGTGCCTGACTTCTGTCGCTCTGACCAAGTCTGTCCGAGCTCATCCAGTTGCTTTGGAATCAATCCCAACGCGACACAGATTAAGATGACGACGCAAAGTTGTGACGCCCAATAGTCGGGATACCAGTCTCCGTAGCCAACAGTTGAGAAAGTGACCATGACAAAGTAAAAAGAAGTGAACAGGTCGATTCTCTTTCCGCGAGCCCTTTGCAGGTGCTCAATACTGCACATTCCCGTGAAAATGAGACAAGCGAGCACTGAGAACAAGAGCAGAAGCTGGCGAAAAAGAGCGGAAGAGCTGATGAACGACTTCCTGTTGAGATCATTCTGAAAATCAATAAATTCCTATTCATTTCACGTACTTTTCTCATGCATACCATCATAGCCTGAAGTGCTCCTTTGGCTAACCAGCAATTCAGAAACACCGGGACGTACAAGTTGGTCAAACTTGGAATAAATATCTGAAATGCATTGCTTATACATTTTGAAATGAAAGGCAAACTTACAGAGAGGATAAATGGGAAACTTGTGATTAGTTCGAGAAGAAAATGGATATTGATTAGTAGTCTACCTACACTGCCCTGAAAGAGAATACAACTATTGTATGCTAAAGGAAAATTAACATTACCGAGTAGCTAAGATAAAATACCAATATTGTGTACACCATACTAATTAAAGCGAACATAGTTTGTGCGAACCAGATACTGAAGCCAAAATCTACCCATATCAAGTACTGGCTGCAAGATTTTTACTGTAAAAATACATTGCTAAAAAATCAGCTTACTAAAGTGTGACATCGTTTTTTCCGGCGTCCTCGGTGAACGGAAAAGGTTCGGGATACAATCTCTCGTCATTGACTACACGAAAACAATATAATATACATGTGAGAAGTTTGATGAGTACGTTGCAAGACCGGATTCGGGCACCTGTTTAAAAACTGAAATAAAATACAGACGTGGGATGAATAACTCACTAATTCTCGGATTTTCAATAAACCACTGCTGTAGTTTGTGTTTGATACTTTTTTTTTCTCCATATTGCATTCGAGCACTGAAAATTAAGTGAAATTTAGAAAAAAACGGCATTAATTGAAGAAAAGGGACTTGTTTTTTCCTTACCACAGGCACACACACCCCCACAGCAGTCTATTTTTTGCGCGGTAATCAGATAAACCTACCCCATGCTTGCTTGAAAAATGTTTTTGTCGTTTTCGCTTCTCAGAAATAGGAAAGATTGAAGTACGCCTTACGAAAAGAAGGAAACGGAAGAGCAAAAACTATTCGTTCCACTCTTCAATTTTTCATGAGACGTGAGCTCTCTATCAAGCGCTATTTCATTTCAGCTTGTCCTCCAAAAATCAAACATCTTCCAATTTCTGGTTCAAAAAACTCACAAAGTTTTTCTGATTGTTGCTCTCAGTTTGCTCATTCTAATTCACAGTAGTCAATTCAAAGAGAAATTCAATCGGAAATAGTCTTTCAACGCCGAAATTGTTCAAAATGTTGTCCAGAAGGCGAGGGTAGAAAAGAAGAGGAGAAGACAACAAACGGAAGCTCATTCGCTTGCCTCTTTTAACGTGCCCGATGACAGAGCAATGCCTTTCTGGGGCCAGTAATGTAATGAGCAAGAGCTAAAGTCATTTTCGCAAAAACTCACACATGCTCGTTTGGTATTCTGTGATCAGCAGGCAAAGAGTGACAACTTTCGAGTCGCCTATGCTCGTGTCGCATCGACGACCGATTAGTATTATTGTTTGTTTCCGTAGACATGTGTCAGATAATCAGTGTATTGATATTTGAAGAAGTTTCACTCATAATATAAAGGAGCAGTAGCAGGAAAAGCGTAATGCATGAATGAATGACTCGTGGGAGTTTAGCACTAGTGCGTTGTGTTCCAATTTTCAATTTCCAATCAAAACTTGCACAAATACCCACAAACGTCTTTGATTGCCTCGTATTTGCACAAAGCACCACCGCAAGATTCCACACAGGTAAAGGAGGAGGAAGGTCGAACAAAAAAGGTAAATAGGAGATGATATAGTTTTTGGACATGAGTTTTATTCCTAAAATACTCGCATTTCCACCTGCTCTGACCCGCTTTCTTTTCGATTGCCTTCGGCACCCAATTATATGCTACTGACTCGTTCTCTCGCTCACTCTTACTTGTGCTCCACATGTTTGGAAGCACGAAAAAGCAAAAAGGTATTACACTTCTTCGAGAATCTGCTGTGTGCTCGGTGCCGGTGAGAGTCCATTGGCCGAAACTTTTCTGCGTGCAAGGAGCTCGCCGAGTTGATTGTCCTCTTCGTGCATTTCGGTTAATAAAAATGTGAGCTGAATTTGAAAAAACAACAACGAATTTGTTAGGTCGGGTCCAAGTAACGTGAGATTTGTGGAAGACAAGAAGAAACACAAAGAAGAAAAGGCAAGGAAAAGCAAAGCGTCGGAACGTGTTTATCACGACTCCTTGCCTCGGCTACTCACTAGTTTTTCCTTATTGGCCTCTGGGGTGTCTGAGGGCACAGCCAAAACATGCTAGAAGTATCCAGAATCTTGAGTTTTCGACATAGGGGCGAACAAATGAGTTGAAGAGATTGAGGAAAGGACACAAAACCAATGGGATATGCCTCGAGTTTGAAAATGTTTCACTTTACAACAAAACGGAAGAGGCGTAATGGATTATAGAACGGCTATTCCGGAGCTCATGCATCTGCTTCTGGCACAACTTTTATTCATGGAAAACATCAAAAAACGCGTTAATTTCTGTTCTATACGTCCCCGGAGAAGAAAATAACGTAAAGTGCTCAAAGGAAATCCGAGAAAATCCGTGAGGCATGAAATTGAGCTAATTAGTGAAGCTTGGCTTAGCTCATTTTCGATACTAGTGGCACATTCTAACGAATGTGTTTGTGTTTCAAGAAACGAAGATCATTTGAATAAGCCTTCTCTCTTCTTCAATTTCGGAGAATGGCTTCGGAATAACTATATGCTCCGGCTCAACCCTTTTCTGAATGAATAATAATTGTGGCAAGGCCTCCCTCCTAACATGAATAGATTCCTAAACGGAGCAAGAGATAATGGAGCGTGTGAGATAGGCAGATGATGAAAGAATGGGCAGCCAAACGCCAGATTCATCGAAAGTCCCTGAGGAGAAAAGCAACACTGACAACAAAGATGAAGGAAAAAGATGCGGCTTCCCCAAAAGAATTTGATTCTCTCACAAATTTAAAATGATTTCCTTCCTTCATTCGTTCGTCCTTTTTCATCTAAATTTTCGAGAAAAGAACCTTCCAAATGGCAAGAAAACATGTAAAATGACTGATTATTGAGCAGTACTCAACATTCATCCACGCAAGAATTTTAATCAACCTCCGGCTCATCTCTCAACGCATATAACAGAATAAGAGATGAGGTTTATCCATATCCGAGACATATGCAAGAAATGTATACTCTCTGCATGCTTCGTTTTCTCTAATTCGGGCTCACAATCCTTCCATCCATTCAATCCGTTCAAACTGGATTTGCCTCCCGTTTCAATCTTTGAATCTTTCCAAATGTCGGCATCACTTACGTGTCACTGGAGCGGAAAATGTCAGTGAGATGTGAAATTGACTGCTTGAAATCATCGTACGAAGTGGTCGGAGGGAGCTCATTCATCAACGAGGCATACGAGTTCTTGTACACGGTTCCTTCGGCTTCCGAATCGGTCCGTGCGATGTCTGGAAAAGACAAATCCTCTTTTGAGTTTCACAATTTGTTCTTTGAACATCTATGTTACTCTTGAGTCATAGTTCTTTCGAATAAGTACTTCAAAGTTCTTCACATAAGAGAACAAATTGAATTTATGGGCTGGACAGTTCAAGTTTTTGTCATAAAATGTGTGCATTGGTCTTTGTTGATTTTTGAGCTCATACTGCAAAGCCACAAAAACGCTCATACTCACCATCGTTATCAAAATACTCTTCGTATTCCATGAAAATCAGAAATCAGTAACTAGAATCAGGAAAATGAAAGCGAAAAGTCGATAGCAATTTGTTTCATTAGCCGAGATGAATGAATTTGGTCGTGCTCACCAAATGGAAGAGAGCATTTTCAATTAGAAAATTTCATCATTTGCTCCGTTTTCCCGTTTTCACCGCCTTTTTATCCTCTATCGGTGCCGAAGTAATGTTTCGAAATTCACGTCGGCTGCCAGACTTATAATGCCAGAGGGCATAAAAATGAATATGAGACGAAGCGGATATTTGATACTTTGGTCTCAATTTGCTCAGACTGCTACTCCTTACCCTCAAGGTCCTGTTCGGCGGCAAGACTGGAACAGGATGGTATGCGACGGAGGAACGAATATTTGACATCGTCAGACATTTCAGCTCAATTATTCGTAGCGCAGGCAAATGTTGGGGCTGGCTGGGAACTCGGGAATAGTTTGCGGCTCTATTGCCTTTCCGGTGGTCATTTGTTTTCCCTTTACTCGCTTGGGACGCTAAGAACAAGAAAATTGCCCGAGCAGCTAGTTAATTATTTTTGCAAATTGCATTTTTTTCCAACTGGTCAGTGGGAAACCTAGCCAATAACAATCAACGTATCAGTGGTTGAAGAACAGCTCTCGCTTCCTGTTGAAATGTTTTCTCATGAAACTCACACAGGAATGGTACGTACGGCATTTGAGCTTATGGAATGTGATGGAATATGAAGAAAAGTGCTGACAAATCTTGGGCAGTCAAAATAAATACTGGTGAGAATAGGAAGAAATGAATGAGACTGAATTATCACTTATCGAAATGGAAATAGGAATGAATTCAGAGGAAATCTGAAAAGACTCCCATGGGATTTGCGGTTTCCGAAATCTGTCAGACAGCGTCATTCCTCATTTGTATTTATGAAAGTAGCACACGCAAACCAGTCAGGTTAAGCCGTTCTTGAGCTGTTGGATACGCAATGTTTTTGGAACTTCTCAGTATCGGTTTGCAGGAGAAATCATTGAGACAGTCGTGAGCCCTTGTGTGGGCCGGAATGATCACAAAAACATATTTTGGCGCAGCCAAGCTGCTCAGCTCATATATTATAATTAAAGAAAAAATGGCTCACTATTATTGAGAAGTCTCCTTCGTTCTTCGTGAGATGAGAGTGGTAATACCTGTAATCAAATTTGGAAGTTTAGCGAAAAATCAGGCTGCTTGACCCTATTACCATTTCTGTGCAACCTTAAACCACAAAACTCACGTCGTGCAATGAATATACCATTTGCTCAACAAACAAAGCACAAGTAAATCAAACTCAAAAAACAAATGAAAATAAGAATACGTGAAGGAATGTTGAAGGAGGAGCAGTTGTCATGCATACCCGATTCGTATACTTTGAGGATCATGAAAGCATAACGAACACTCTGAACTTAGCTGAAAAGAAAACAAACCTCATCGTCTTCATCCATTCGAATGTCTGGTAGTGTGAACCCTGCAAAACGATGACAAACACTCAAATCGTCGAACATTTGCGGTGAAGCATCAATACTTAATCCCTGTTTTGGAATACGCACGACACGAGCTTTTATGCGTTGCAAAAGGAAAGGCGCAAATGGGATTGGAATGAACTCGCAGCACGGAGGCATACACAGCCAGATTACATTTGTCCACCATTGGAACTTGATAATATACTTCTGGGGTTAGGCTCGAGTCAAAACAAGAAAAGAAAGGGAAGCGACGCAAAGAACGGAAAATGACAAATTGAGAAATACGACTCTCACTTCTTGCCCCGCTTTTCGTGCCAGTTTTGGCACATGAAAGTTTGTGTCTGTCTCTTTTTCCGTCGAAGACTTTGTTGCCTCACCCGTGAGCTGCTTCTGTTTGAGTGCACACCATCAAACCGGATGTGAAACCGGAAACGAAACTTTTTTGAGTATTGGTGCATTTCCACACTTAGAAGATGAGTGCTAAGCAGTTGGTTTGTCTCCAGGATCGGGAAAAATACCGACCCAAGCCTAAAACCAGTCCGATCGGACTGAAACTTGGACCCAATATATTTCAATCCAAGTTCAAGGAGGCTGCAAAGTTTTAGTCCGGTCGGATTATTGCACCTAGGTCAAAAGTCCACGCCTTGTGAGGCTTTCTACAAGCCAGGGCTGGTTTTTTGCTCAGCCCTCTTTGTCTCTAGATTAATCCTTGATCAAGTTGAAATTGTGAAATTGTCTATGTCGATGCTTATATCATTTATTGTCCGTGTCAATACTTATCAGAAGGAATTATTAACAGATTGGGAAGGAATCATACAGGAAATACAAGAAGAAATCATTGACATCCTTTTACTGCTGGGACTGGTGGTTCTGGCGGATGGCGGCGAGATCCGGCTGGTTCTTGAGCCATGGCTTCACCTGGGTTCCTCCCTCCAAGACGCTCTTCTCCTCGAGGTTCTTGTTAGCAAGCTCCTGTCCGGCAGCGGAGTCTGAAAAAAGGTTGATATTGAACATTTGAAGGATTGAACTGAAAAACTCACTTGGATGTGGGACAGCGGATCCACCGGTGAGTCCTCCCGATCCGGAAAGGTCCTTGTTAGCAAGAGCTTGTCCAGCAGCAGAGTCTGTAAATCATTGTTTTGTATTAGTACGATTCCGGCTGAAACTCACTTGGGTGTGGGACGGAACGTCCTCCGGTGAGTCCTCCTTCGGTCGGCATGGCGGCAGCGATGGCTACAAGAACAGCGAGAATGATGAACGAGTTCATGATAATTGCGGACAGTTTTCCGTTTGCTTCTTCTGTTTCTGCTGAAATTGTCGCAACGTGGCCATCACACATTTTGGGAGACGTTTATGAATTGCGAAATCGAAAGTGTTTTCTCAAATGATTATTCACTTTCACAAGACACCATCACCAAAACATCACGCCCAAATTTTGTTGCAAAAGTTATCAATGAAATTCATTTGTGTGGGTTAGTTGCACGACAATCAGCATCAGCATGAACAGAACAGCAAAAACGGCACGAGAAAATGAGTTTGAGAACGAAGGCAAAAACAGTCGAAAAGTGGAATGTTTGTTGATACTCCCTATACTTTACTACCTCATTTTATACGTTTTAAAAGAGGCGGAGCTTATCACGAGATTGTTGAGAGAGGGAGGAAGGGAGCAGAGACGGAGAAAGAAGAAAGGGGAAAAGGCGAAATGTTTTGATGGCTCGCGTTTCGCGAAGAGCAAACAGAATGGATTGCGGCGTTGAGGCAAAAACGTCGATGAAACTGATAGCATATGTGGGGCGAGAGACAATGCAATTCTTGGAGAGAATATACATTTTTTATCACACAAACACACAGGCTCAAGTGTGGAATGTCAGTTGTGAACTGAACTTGTTGGACCACAAGCAACGAGAGGAGAGGCAGGATCCGAACCGATCATTTTGTCAAAATACAGCCGTAAAAGTGAAGTGTTGTTTGTTGGACACAAACAAAAAACCTTTGGACATCTATGATCACTTCAATACCACTCAAATTGGCTCATTTGGCCAGTAAAGGTCAACAAACGACATCCATCAATCAATAGTCTTCCCGAATACCAATACCCCTTCGTATCGGCGGGTTGACCTTGCAGACGTTACAAAAAAGTGGCCATCACCGATTTGGGCCATGTAGCATTTTGCGCATGATATCATGTTCCGGTCCATCACCTCGAAATCCATCTCCCTCTTCAATGGTGATAAATAAACAATCCAGCATCATTGAATAAACATGTGGAATGTTCCAGTCCATGTGTTCGGCAACCAGAGAGCAGATTCTAGCGCCCGTCGTAAACAATAAACTTTTTCTGTTTCTGTTCAATGGTGTCGATTGTGTAATAATTAGCCAGCTTTCCATCAGCGACTGACCTCATGATCACGGAAGAGAAAAGCAATGCGTCATTGGCCAAAGTGTGATAAGAGCGAAAAACCGCCGGAAGATCAAGGCGGCTGTTCGCGGAATGATCGCGTACGCGTATGAGTCATATGTGTTTAGTGATGAGTCAAACTGCAGCTCCTCAAATATTATCCTGACTAAAATTGAAATGCGCCAGTTTTTTTTTCTCTGAGGGAGTACACAAAAACTCGACTAAATGCAAAACTATAACCAATAGAGTCCGGGTGACACTAGGCTGAATTTTTTTTTTTAAGAATGCATAATCATTCTCAATGACACATGTTGTTTCAATTTTTTAAATCAAAACTCTTTCAGATACATAGAATTGCAAACTTTTTTTTCGATCAACTGTGAAAAAAATGAGAAAACAATATATTTATCACAATTACATTCACAACCCGATATTGGTAATAACATGTCACAGAAACCGAATTTCAATTGTGCCACTACTTGTCAACAAAAACTGTACATATTTTTTAACAACATGAAAAACTAAGAATTTCTAAAGAACTGAAATCAATCATGAATCAAATATGAGATGATATACAAAGCATTTCCGTCAAAGCAAAATATGAGAACTTGTGAAATTGAGAAAAATTTACAACAATAGAATTATTGAAGGAACGGATGAGCGGCGACTTGACTGGCAGTCGGTCTATCTGCTGGATCGAATCTGGTCAGTTGCAGGAGGAACTCTTGCTGAAATTTAACGATGTTCGGTCATCAGTGGTACGTACGTTTATTTTCTTACCGATTCCGGATGGCTGGATAGAATCGACGGAGTAGCTCCTTTCTGGAAGTCGGAGAAAGTGTGGACCCTCTCACTGGCCGTCGCGAACGGAACGACGAGTTCGCAGGCCACAAGGCCCAGCGCGAAAATGTCAACTTTCTCGGTGTACTGCTGATGTCCCAGTTGCTCTGGAGACATGTACGACCGAGTTCCGACGTTTTTCGTGTGCTTGGCGTCGCTGTCCGAATCTTGACGCATTGTGATCTTCGGAGCTCCGTCGGTCTTTGTGGCTAATCCCAGATCTCCAATTTTCAGAATCTGGTGATCTGGCTTTGAATCAAGAGAGAAGAATACGTTTCCGGGTTTCAGGTCTCGGTGAATGAATCCTTTGTTGTGCAGATAATCGAGTCCGCTGGCCAACTGTCTGATCCAATCCTTCATCACTACCAACGAGCGGCTCTCCAGTGTCTTGTTCCGTTTGATCCAGCTTTCCAGTGTCTTCTCCGCACACAACTGCATCACAATGTACAAATAAGCACAATCGCCTGCTTCGGCGGTTTCGCGTACTTCCAATTCCTGATTCTCCGTCTCCACAAGCACTGCCTTAAATGAAAAGGTTAGAATGTCATCATCTGATTTCTATGATACTCACTCTGTTGTGAATGGACAGCTTATCAATCACTTCGATTTCCTTTTTCGCCTTTTTAACTTCATCCTCAACACTTTCATCCAAATCATCGCGGAATTCAATGCCTCCGGATGAAGAATATACTGTTTTTTTGATTGGCTCATCGCTGATAGAAGAGCCAGTAGAGGAAGAGGAGGAATTTTTGTCTTCGGACTCATCACTGGTGTCTGATTCGTCGTCACTGCTCGAGAATCGAACGCTCTTTTCTTTCCCGATTTCGGCAGTTGTATCTGACTCTCCATCTAAAACAAAGAAAAAATAGAACTAAAAAGGGCCTTCGTTTACTTACTCAGTCCACGTTTACTCTCAGAAGTAGTCCGCTTTGCACCGATCTCTTGTGGCCTCGTACTACTGTTCCAACTGTCTTCCACGGTGTTTCCGACCACTGGTGGCATCTCGAAAGTTTCGGCGAATGAGGCACTTTCAGCAGACTTTACACTCGGAATCTTGCTCGCATTCTTCTTGCCCTTCTTGATCTCGTGAAGCTTTGCTAACTTCTCGGCCTTCATTTTTCCAAACAGAGTCTCATCTTCCTTCTCCTGGTATCCTTTCGGAGGTCTTTCTTCCCAAGCAAAAAAGTAGCGGATGATTCCTGGATGGTCGAACATGGCAAGGGCTCGAGCTTCTCGGAGAACACGGTCTCTTGCTTTTTGGCTGAAACAATGGACAATTCAGATGAAGGAACCAAATAATTTCTGAACATACTTGTCGGCCACCGCAATTCTTTTCACTGCATACTCGTTCATATCTGTGATGCTCTGTGCACGGAAGACAACACCGAAACCGCCGTGTCCAATCAGTTTCTTGACTTCGAACTCATTCGCGAAACGACTAGTGAATCCTTCAAGACTGGAACGAGAAATCGTGCGGTCCCGATGGATTTTTGTTTTTGTTTTTCTTTCAGTTGAATTCTCGTCAGTTTCCACGTCGGTTTTCGCCTGTCGTTTTGTTAGTTTCACTGCTGGAGTTGTACGGAACTCGCCGACTGATTTTCCGAATGGCTGAAATGTCAAAGATGAGTAACTGCATTGAATTTCGGACTACTTACCACGACGGGAAGAGTGGTCCGAGACGGAGAGCAAAATTGTGAGCTGCTGAAGTCTGATCCGTACTCGGCAGATTGATCGGTGTCCTTACCAGTTGTCGCAAAAGATACGGTCTGAAAAGTAAATATATCGCAAAACAATTTTTAATAATTTCTTTACCGCTGCAGTGACAGGAGATGTGCTTTCGCTCTCAGTGCTCTCCGATCTTGGAACTTCTTCGATCATACCCCGAGCTTTTCGTTTGAACTGGTTGTACGCTACTGCCAGAGTCACGCCAATAAATCCGGTAATGAAACTGATGATAGAAGTTGGATTTAAAACGTAGCTAAGCACGGTGTGCATGAAGTTTATCGGAGACGGCAGTACATTTCTCTTCGGACGTCTCTCGATGTCCAACACCAAATATCCGTGATCTCCTTCTTTTGTCATTGAAGTGGACCTCACATTCTCCTGTCCAATCTTCTGAGCCGTCAGGTCATCTTTTGGAGCCACAATTTGCAGTTGTCCTCTAGTGGTTACCACGTTTGATGACTTATCCTCGATTGCTTTACTGTGCGTCATCTTGAATGCATCCCGCAGAACAACGCCTGAAAGAATTACAGATTCTCAATCAAGTGGATCATAAACGTACGCAATGCAGTGTCCTCGACTTGATAGGCAAGATTGTTGGGCATTCCGTTGGCGGAGCAGGAGCGAGAGCCCGTAAGCTCGGGAGAAGAAGAGAATTCTGGCAGACTGTTCATCCTCTTTTTCAGGTTCTGTTTCGCCTTCGGGCTTTGAATGATGAACGGATTGCCATCAGAGGTTCCCATGTAAAGCAGTGAAGATTGGGATTTCATATTGTTCTGTTCCCGATGCATCACTTCATATAGCGTCGTATAGATGTTGCTGGGGTCGAAAATTGATATCTGAAATCAACTACATTTTGAGAATCGACTTTTTGACAAACTTCTCCGATTCTGTTCCCAGAAATGTGCCAAGCACTGACAATATGCCCAGCAACGTCGCTCTTCCATTGCTCTCGGTTATACTTGTTTACAGCCACCACAACACCGTCTGGCGGACGAAGCAAGAACTTCAAGTTGGACGGAGGCAATATTTCCGTGGAAATGCCACCGGCAAGACTGACATCCAGTTCGGCAGTTGAGAGGTTCCATCGTTCGACTCCACGAAGAGTGTCCATCGCGCGGATCGAGTTGGTGATCCGTTTGACGAGAAGAATCGGGTTCTCCGGGAGCTCCGAGCCGGCTTTCCCGCACGAATCCACCGAACACTCGTACTTTTCCTCGCCCGTCAACAGGTCCACTCCTTTGGTTGTAACCGTTTTCCCGCCGGCGACTGCATCTTGTCCCAAGCGAATTGTGGATTCCAACAGAGATTCGGTGGTGATTGGCATTGGTTCGATAAGATTGACTTGATGGGCATACGAGAAGAGTCTCCCATCCAGCGTCGGCATCAGTTGCAAACTGGTTCCACCAATCTCGATTGGCTGAAAAGGCATAGGATTCTTATCGATTTTTCGTAAGAGGTATTGATTTTTGAAAAAATACTTACTCCAGAATTGGCGAGAGTTCCTTGTAAAAGTGGTGCATCTTTGTAACTCCATAACAGTTCTCCAGTGTCTCCATCCAAAGCAGTGACGGCTCCGTTGATAGTTGCAGCAATGATGATGTTGAGGTGTTCATCCTGACCACAATTCCCGTCGTTAACGTATCCATTCTGAGAAAAGGAAAATAAAGACAAAAACACACGTTTTGTTACTAACCGAGCAAGATCGAAGCAGTTCTACATCGCTTTCATCGTCAACGTACTGTTGGCCAGTATTGTATGGTACCAGAGCCATGAGTAGCACAAAAAATATCACTAAAACGAGATAGTACACGCTCATTCCACGACGCTCTTCTTAGAATGACATCTCCACCTGAAGTTTTCAATATTAATCGCAACTTTTTTGGCGAAATATTTCATTTCAACGAGAAAACGTGATTAAATGAGGAAAGACAGTGCTTGCACGTGTTTTGGTGTAACACCCAAGGCATTGGCCGCAACAAGAGGCAAGGAAAACTGTCTAACTGTCTGCGCATTCTCTCCGTGCACAGTTGGCGCATTCGCGAACATTCCCGTTTTTAGGCAACGTTTGCTTTCTCGGATGAGAGTTCATCTATTGATGTCAACCTGACAAACCAAAACTGTTACGAGTGAGGTGAACTCCAGGTGGAGATATCATTCAAATTCATGACGAAATGATAAGAAACAAAACATGCTACAGAAATTGAACGAAAAAGAAGATTCTCGTGAAAATGAGTGCAAACAGAGCAGGAGATAGCAAGAGACGGAGAGAAAAAGACAGAATCTGGGGAACTTATGCTGATCGCTGCAAAACAGTTGGTGCAAATGGACGCAATTGCATCATGAACGACGCGCAGCGGGTATGCGGCAGTGGACGAGCGATAGGGGTCTCACGCGGTGTGCCGGTGTACGTTCTGTTTTCAGGTACGATATGCGGAAGTGTTAAAACTTTCATTAAGAGCAGAACAACAGCAATGATTTCCGTACATCCAAAAGAGTAGTTTTCAGAGTCATCGATTCATTGGTTGAACTTTGTTGGTTGAAAAATGGCTGTCTTCATTGTCCATGTGATCCTTCTCTTTTTTTGTTGATTTACATGAAATAAATCTTTGATAGTTCCCGTTGAAGCAGTTGGTTCATTTTTTTTCTAAGAAAGCCTATAAAAACAGCCGGTGTAAGACAACAAAAAACAGGAATCGACTAATTGAAGCTGTATCAGCAATATCTTCTTGAAGAGGCGAGGGCCTGAAGTGAGTGACGGACGTTTTTTTTTGGCAATGACCCTATGGTCTAAAACTTTTAATTCAGCATAAATAATACGTTCGGAACAGTGCTGATTGGCGTCCAACTGGTCTTATTGCAAACAATTAGTAACAAAAGTTGTCAGAAAACGGTTAGAACAGTTCAGAAACCAGTTTCTTCAGTATTGTTGACAATAGTTATTACAAAACGTTGTGCAATTATCATGTACTACCGCGCTGCGATTGCTGTCCCATCTCGAGTCCTTCGACACCTCCGGAAGAATTCCGCCATTCTAAAACGCGAATAAAGTTAATTCTTCCTGATAAATTAAAGTTAACCTTGCGAAAAGCATCAATCCAAATCCATTGGTTAGCACACAGACCAACGCTGGATAGATATTGAGGTCATGCTCATGGGCGTAGGCAGCCAGGAGCATTGTGTACCACAAAAGGATAAACTGCAATCCCTTCACGCAGTATATCCGGTATTCAACTTTGTTCAATTCACTGTAACATATTGGAAGTAGTTTATTCGAAAGGTTTATTGGTTGAACTCACCAAAAATGAACATATAACAAAGAATAGTCCAGATCTTTGGTGACCAGTCTATTCCAGAAGTTGTTTTCGCAACAACACAGAAAACCAACCATGTAAATGTTGAAGTACAATAGCATCCCAATTAGGAGGCTGGAAACTTCTTATAGATTTGCTTCAGTTCCAAACAATTATAACTACCTTGAAACGACCAAAATGACAGTAGGAAGAGTCATTGAGAGCGTTTCTTGTAAGTCCGCGTAGTTGGTCACCTGACACCAGATATGTGATGCAAATGTTGCGAGGGTCATCAGAGAAAAGAAAACTGTATACCAAATGGGCATTGTGTATCTTGCTGCCGTGAGTGACCTCACTTTAAGATCTGAAATAACCGAAATATCAAAATAGAATGTGTGTTGAGCCGAGCCTGCACGATAATGGTTGTCAAATGAAGCGGAGGAATAGTGCTTCATTGTAAATATCTTTAGCAGCAATGGTTTTTCTTTCTGAAGATCTTTTTCGCCTTCTTGAATCACCCGCATTGCCTCTACGACTCTCGGCATGGGCACCTGCAACAAATATTCCTCGAACAAGTTGAATTATTGCATATAGTCCTTATTACTTGAACTCGTTCTGGCCCAACATGAGTTGAAATGTTAATAAAGCATTCATCGGTGAGCACTCCTTCTCGAATCAAGTTGAGAAGTGCCCGTTTCTGATGTTTATCCATTGCACTCACATACTCTAATATAACATCACTGTCTATGTGCTGAAACTCAAATCCGTTCCTAAAAACTTATTTTGAGACCCAAACATCGCCGTGATAATCGTATGTAGCATGTGGAGTGTAACGTCTTTCTTCAAGGTCTGTGTCACCGGGAGCTGCAACCACTATTATCATGCCGTTTTAACTGCCGCCCGATAAATCAGTGGGCGAAATGTCGGGTGCATTGATTAGTGAAAACTGTACTTGAACATTACCCGTATGAATCCATCGCATCCATTCGGGGCTCAGTTCCTTGAGGAAGTCGGCGATCGATATCGGAACTACTACATGGTCAACCGAGAAATTTCTGAGAACCAGATGTTGTTTTCAAGAAAAAAAAGAAAGTTAACTTACTGTGTATTCATGTGGAACATAGTGTTTTCAGTCAAAAGTCCATCTCTCACAGGTCTCAACAATTTCCGAAGATCGGCTTTGGCCATGTTATGAATATAAGTCATAAGCATATCTTTGGAGGTAACATATCCGCGCGAGTTCGACGCGGACTGTATGTGTATGCTCATTTGAGCCAAACTGAAAAAGAAGAAGAATCAATAGCTCAAATTATAGTATCTAATCGGAGAAAGTTTAAATAAACACTCATTGCCAGAACGGCGTGTTAGAAAGAGCGCGGGGCTCTCGCCGAAGATAATTCTATTATTAGTAATCGCATTAAACTGAATGCCGTGTAATATGGCGCTGACATGAAAGAGTCAAAGTGAAAACGTTCTTATCATTTGTGCAGAATTCTCGTTTGTGCATCGATCACTTAAATTAGCTGTGAATGAGACTTCCTACGCTTTGTGTCAGGTCTTGAAAATGTAATGTGCGTTATGGATAGTAATGTACACTTTTTATTTGATATAAAAGCAAAGATGTTTTTCTCGATTTAAAGCATTTTGTACGACTCGGTTGATAAGAGAACTATTAAAAGAAGAAAAGGTGAGGTGAAGAGTCAAAACGGATTGAAGATGTCCTGTGCTATCCAATCTTCTCGGAAGAGCTGTGCGCGCTTGTGCCGAATAACGTCATCAACGACCATACGTCGTCGTCTGAAAAAATGATAACATTTATGTTTGATTATAGACGATAAAAACTTGATCAAAATTTCTATTCATTGTACCGCATTTAATGGTCATACTGAACCAGGTACAAAAGTTTAATAATGAAAAGTTTAGTAATAGTTTAATAAAAATAAACAAATTCATGATAGAAAACATTTTTAACAAAAAACAGTACCTGCAGTCAACTCCAGCAAGTAGAACAATGAAAAGAACAAGAATGTAGTGAACCAGGTTCATTGCAGTAGGAGAAAGTGAATCAAATGGTCAAGAAGTGTTTCGAATGGCGATCTTTTAAGGCCGCTTTGTACTCGACTTTTTCGTCACAGATGTTATAAAAGTTTGTACTCTCCACCCCTTATTGGCCTATAAAAGGTCTTAAATTCAGTGGGCGGTGCAAGCCGCCGAGATTTCGCCCCTAATCATACTCAAACACTGAGAAGAGCGAGAGAAAACAAGATGGAGGGCGCCATGTGCCTCGTCGAATTCGCCGAACTTCGCGATTGGCGGCAGGGTACCGAAATACGCGTCGTGGAATATATTGTTCGATTTTGACGATTTTGATCGTCTTTTTCCATCTATTCAAATTTTGTGACCCATTCGCGGAACAGATTATTCATCAATCTTCGTGCTATTCAAATTTCCATGAAAACATTTATGCTGGATCCGATTCGGCGAACTGAAAACCGTAAAGTTGTGTATACTGTCAGTTTATTTGGTTGAAATCGAACTCAAGTGTGAAAGGATAATCCAAGAATAAACTATAGTTAATTGAGAGAAGTTTTTGGTTATCGGTTGAGATGAATGAATAAATGGTGCTTCAACGTGCACATTGAATGAATTTCAATTCCATGACATTATTGATGTACAATAATGAGCAAGTCGGTTACAGCTCTGTTGAGCCTCGCTCCTCAATTCCGCAGGTGACAAACATGTACTGTCCAATCAAATGGGAGATTTCATCAGCCTGAAAACGTATAAAATGGTCATCCAGCTTCTGCAAAATCGAACAAATTGTTTTGGGGTTTGGTTTGGCGGTCACAAGTTTACACCCGGGAACCTCCCACTTTTTCGTGGTTTGCGGTATCAAGAAACAAAGAAACTTTTGTTTCTCTACGGTCGAGATCAGAGGCTAATTGAAATACTGTCCATGATGTCTGCTCAAGGCTGAGAGTAGATAGTAGGTTCTGGTCTTTAATTTGAACCGTTACACTTTGTTTTACCTCATCAGTCTTGATGTCCAGCGTCTCTTCGCCGTCAGTTGTGTTCACAACCAATCTGACCAATCTGTACGCAGTCTTCCGGATGCTCTCAACCGACTCAATCTGAATCCAGGAAACATTGCTTTTGAATGCTCATTCACATGTCATTCGAACCTGATCGTAATTGCGTTGTTTGAAGACTTCTCTCGACTTTGGTTGCAAAAGTTGAATTCCCGATTTGTTGATGGACAGGATCACCTCCGGCAGTTGGTTGCCGTTCTCCACCACCGACTTGAGCCGGTAGTTCAGCACTCCAAACAACGGCCAGGTCGACAACAGTTCTGAGAATCAACTTTTGTTGTTTTGTACTTTCAAATTTGGGGAATACCTAGGAAGTGGGACTTGGCCTCTGCCGGTCGCATCCGGCTGCCGAACGCCCGAAGTTGACGATTTATTCTTGTCACCATCTCCTCCTGGTGTCTGTGTTTTGGTTCGATGACACTCTTTGGTACAATTTGCGGAAGTGTTTTGCTGTAATTCATCTTCTTGTCAATATGACCTTGCAACAGGTTAGATGTTTAGCGAGTGAAAGCTCGTGCAAAAGAATCAGTCTACTTTGGTTCCGTGTGATTACCGTTTGTACACTTTTGCTTTGCTAATGATCATTTAGAACGATCATATTTCCTTACACAGTGACTCCCTTTGCATGCTCGGGAAGTAGAAGGTATAAGTAGGCAGCTAATTTGATAATCTCCTCTGTTGTGGCAGCGGTCAATTGACCCAACGGGTTGGTCGAGATGAGAGATCCGCGCAGATAATCGTCGATCACCTAAAACGGATACATTCTTGTATGAATTGAACAGTTCGTTCGTTTCTGACTTGGTCAAACATCGAATCAATGTATGCGGCGTTATCATATCTCAACGGGTGTACCCAAACTGTTCGCTTAAGATAGAACTGGAAGGGAAGTTTTTTGTGTTCTATCTCGGTAATGATATCCATTAAGTAGTTATCGTTTTTGCAGTAGTTTAGTTTCTTTTCTGAAATAAACATTGCACTACAGAGAAAATATTCGAATCTTCAAACCTTTTCCGATTGTGTAGCACAAAGAGAACTCCTGTTGCTCGTGAAGAGATCTCACATTCAGAAGGCTGCACAGTTCCTGAATCATTTCCTCAGCTACAGTAATCGGACGGAGCGTCTGGAGGACACTATGATCACGGGCCAAATAGAATGCCTGACGTCGGAGCTGAGACCCATCCTGAAAAAAGTAAAACTTTGCACATAGCCGATCACATCTTCATACAGTAATTTGTTGTACTTCAAGAGCATTCAGCAAAACTTTGCGACCGCCGTACTTGAAAGTTTGAATCATATTTGTTTGGCAAATTCTTGCTGTTCCTACAAAAATATTTACTTGAATACAACCGGACGACTTGTGATCTTGACTCACCGTGATACGGTCTCTGCCAATCATCAGCGTTGTCTCCCAAATATTGAAGAATGTACGGTTTCAGGGTGAGGCTGGTAGGGAAGTATCCGGTGAGAATGGAAAGAAGTCTCCAGCCACGAAGAGCGCTGTTTGGTCTGAAATTGTGTCAAGATTAGATAGAGGACATTTGGGACCACTTCACTTTGTAGAAATGTTGGAAGTTGTTTGTTTGATGAGTTGGCAGTAAACTTCGTCTCTCACAGATGGGTGACGATGGCAGATGATCAGAATCTTGAATACAACGTCAGTCATAGACTCGGATTTCTTCAACGCTTCATCTCCCATAAACTTCATGATAGCTGTAAGTGATTGTTTCTTTACAAATTTGTTAATCGACATTGCTAGTACCGTGGAAAGTCTCGACTGCATGTTTGTTTTCCTCGGTTTCCAAGTCTTTCAAGAGAGACTGAGAAATAACACGATCGGACCATTTGACTGCGTGAGCAATGTCTTCCCATGTCCAATCCTCTTCTGAAAAAAAACTACAGTTTAGTCCGGAGACATTTACGAAAAAAGCACTGACGTTTCTTCTTATCTTTCGGTTTACGGAAGTACTTGGTCGCAAAGTCGAGCATAGTGTACCTCTCGCTGGAGAATGGAACTTCATCATCAAAGAACTTCACCCGCTCATCCTGAAATGCCTTTCCACTTTTGTTTCTGATCCCTTTCTGCCTACTCTGTCAACGCTCGACTCAAATCTCAATGGTGGGATATTATCACCGTGAGTGGAGTCCACGTATTGCGCCAAAAGGAACCCGAATCGATTCTCGATTCTACCGTACAACCAATTGCCCACTGGCGGAGTGTCGCCTTCCGGCGCTGGCAACTGAACAATTCACAGTTATGGTCTCTGTCTCGGTTTAAACATTTACCAGTTCGATCACGTCGCCTCGCTTGAATGACAGATGGTTGACCTCGCTGGTCACATAATCTTCAAGCGCACGAACAAATTTTCTCTTCTGAACAACACCACCCGAGAGACATTTCTCCAAAGTCTTCTTGATTTGGGGAGCCTGGTTCGTCTTGATACGGACTGCCGCGTAAGAACTATCCTCTTGTCCGTGACGGACATGAACCGATAGAATGTCGTTGGCCTCAAGCGAGACGTCAGCGATGATATCGAATCTGAACAAAATTCATATTTCTAGTTGGAGAATGATGAAAACTGACGGGAAGAAATCTTGAATCTTCAGCGGATTCTCCAAGTCATGCGGGGTGTGAACAATCAGACGAATACCATGTTCCGAAATAGCAAAGATGATACTGACTGACTCATCAGGACGTTTCTCGATGACCTGCGAAAATAGATTCATCTTTGAACTTGAGACAAACTGAACTGTGGACTATACCTCATAAATCTGATTGAAATACAATGGCCACATGCGCGCCTTCTCGATGATCGCAACTTTCACATCAGGATGGATATTGGACTGATTGTTGAGGTCGGATGGCGGTATTTGGTGGTTTCCTATTGCAGAATAAACGAAACGCTTGGAGAATAACAATTTGAGTGACTCACTGAGTACATCTTCCACTTGTTTGCGATCTTGTAAACGAATTCTGTACGGGTAGGATTTGCGACAATCTTCAACAATTTGAGCGAAAACTTGATCGATCACTTGAATGTCATTCAAAACTTCTCCTGGGTAGAACATCTTCAAGAATTATGAATTGGAAAGCCCCAAATGTATAGGATACCTCCTTGCGAATAGTCAACTTCCACGGAGCCTTCACGTATTTCATTGCTGGTTTCTCTGCAACAATCGGAGCACGTGGTGGTTGAGCCAAAAGGGGCTCCTCTGGAAAAAAAACAATTGAAAATCGTGCAAAAATGTTATGAAATACTTGTGAAAGCCCCCTTGATGCGTTCCTGTGTCTCTGGAGCTCTATCAACAGAATCTCGAATAATCCATTCTTGACGAATTGGTTGTGGCGGTGGAGTCGGTTGAGCCGGCGGACTCTGAACACGAATATCAAAATATGAATAACTCTATACACGTTGAGATTACTGGAGTGCGAACAACACTAGGCTCAGACGGAACAGGCGTCGGAGTTGGAGGTCGGGCCGGTGTTGCAGGACGAACAACTCGGACGTTGTCGACCGGTGGTGGTAGTTTCTGATGTTAGTAGGCATAGGTAACGATTAGTTTCAGACAAGAATGTTAGTTTCCACATTAACACATACCTTAAGCTGATGATTCAGCATGTACAACGCATTTTTCGCGGTTTCTTTTTCATGGCGAATGATTGCTTTTTGCTCATCCAAGTTGAACCGATGGGGACTCAAGTACTCGGAATTGTTAGCCGTGCTTTTGACGGCTGGTTCCACGTAAGAATCTGGAGGAAGCCGGTTCAAGCCCTGAAATAAAATAAATTTCGAATTACATGTCGCCTTTCCTACTTTTCTCTCAGCGGCAATTGGTGCTGGAGACGGAGAACGGTAGCTAGCCGGAGGGTTTGAATTTCCATTTTGGTATGGGTAACTTCTTGGGATTTGTCTTGCCAAAAGTGGATTTTCCATTCTGAAAATACGAACGGTTTTCTGAAATACTTGCACAATCAACTGGTTACCTTTCACGTGATCGCGAGTCGCCTCTCGGCAGTGACGGGAAATCTTCAAAGCGGCTCGTTTGCCGACCAACCGGTGATTGCGCCTGAAACAATGATAATGAGTACCGCAGAAAACCTCAAGAATCGATGCCGGCTGCAATTAAAATGTACATCATTGTACGAAGCTTTGTTTAAGATAAAAATACGTATGGCGGTGCGTGAAAAATGGGTTTTACGTTTGCCTTTCTTTCTCTTATCAGCTGCCTAAGGTTCAAAAATGTGGTTTTATCAATGAAAAGGAGTGATAAATACCTCAAGCTCCACCTAATATTCAACACCTAAGAATTTTCGAGTTTATTGTGCGTCGAGAATTTCGGACTAACAAAAAACCTCTAAAAGTATAATGCCTGGAAGATCAATGTTCAAGGTGTGCATTGAGCGGAGCAGTGACACCATCGTAAAAGTTTTACATAGAAAAGATGGAATGTTACATTTGGAAGTAAACAGAGTCCTCGAAATACAAAGCACAAAAGAGAAAAAGAGAGTGAGAGGCGTAGTAAAAGTGATACGGGAAGAAATGCTGCAGGAAAACCATGCCGTCATGAAAATGTGTCTGATAAAAGCGTTGTTTTATTCCTTGATTGCTATTGCAACGAAGGCGCGCCATTTCGGGAGTAAACAATGGACTTACCAAGTGTGGCCTCGTGTGCAGTTGTTCCTGATATAAATCGGGCGTTCTACTGAAATAAGAGCTTAGGTGATAATCTGATTAGTGACGTCAGATGCGAACCGGGACATGGGTGGTTTCAGAATGTCAACCGACGGTGATCTTTTTGCCATGTAACGCTCCACTCCGCTTGCGTGTCTTCTCGATCTATCGTGGGTTCCGTGTCTCACCGCTGCTCTCTGAAACAGAATCTTTTAAATAGGTTTGTACTTTATCTGATGAGCACCTGTTCCGATCCCACTGGCGACAAAAGTATCATTTCCCCATGCCCATTCATCTGCACCGGCATCATGTACACCGGTTGGGACGGGTCGTAATTGTAACCATTGGTCGAGTGGTACCGCGGAAGGGACCGTTCCCTGCTTCTGGTCCGATCGTGCAGTTGATCGTCAGAAGACGTCGACTCGTTGCTGTAGGAATTCTGAAAAAAACCAGTTGACATTAATGAAAGGACACGCGTACTGCTTATCAAATCTTACTCTTGAGTGTGGACGCCGCACGTATAAATCGTGTCGTGGGGAGACAATACGAGGAAGACTCTTAGCACGGCTTCTGGCTGGAGAATCATCCACTCTTCTGAGGGTTGGGTAACGAGGCGGTGCTGGCGAATACGTTTGTCGTGGAGGTTCGTAGTAACCTTCCGGTCTTGGTTTTCCTCCCTTTATCGAATTGGCAAGTTGTTGAGCACGAAGGTCTCTTTGCTCATCTTTGGACAACACTTGGTCGAAAACGGCGTCCAAAAACTGATCAACGTCTTTTCCATGCTCGGGAACCGGCATGTTACGGATAGTGGAGTACTGGCTTGGCACCTCTCCTCTATTCATTCTACGGAAGTCACGTGATCTCGTCGATTCATGTCCGTCGTGAAGGACAGGCGCCATCATTGAAGGGACTTCCGATCTGACACTATGAGGAGAAAGAATCGGCTCTGGTGGTTGGTATTGAGGAACTTTAAAAAATTATTAGAAACGGGTGAATTACGTTGGGTACAACTCACTTTGTGGGTACTGTGGAATATAGGAGAACTGGGGCTGCATCATCATCTGCTGTGGGATCATTGCAATTTGTTGACCAGGTATCATTGACGAAGTCATCATGACAGGCACGTACTGCATCATGGGCACTTGTTGCGGGTACGTAAACGTCGGAGGTGGAGCGAAGTTCATCGGCGTGTATTCCTCGTTGTGTTCATTGCTGAAGTTTGAAAACAATCGAATCAAATTGATTGTTCTTTGATTCATACCGCGAATAAGTTTTGCGCGGAAGAACTGGTGATTTCAAGATATGAGAGTGATCTTGGATGGTCTCAATTTGGTTCAAATTCTCTTTCGGTCGAACTGTTTCGTATCCACCTCGATGATCATCTTCGTACTCTTCCTCACTTTCAGATGTTTCTGCAGAACTATTACTGTATTAGAGAATCAGTTTTTCTGTTACCGTTTTGAACTTCCTGCTGTTTCGATTTGCTCTTCCTGGGCAGAGTGTATGCATATCCAGCGTCTTCGTTGTATTCACGGACTAACGATTCGTCGGACTCGTCTTCAAATTTCTGACTGTTACTGAAAATTAAAATTGATATTGACGTCACAACAGTTCTCTTCTCACACAACAGAAGTACTTCTTTCTTCCACGTGTACTGGCGGCAGTTTCGACCATTCTTCTGGAGTTGGGTACTTTCGTGGAAGTTTTGGAGTTGGTACAGCATCTTGCAGTTCACTTTTTCTGAGCTCCTTTTTCGGCTCTTCCGGTTTTGCTTTCATAAGTTTCTCCGGCGGAAAGTTGAAGAAAATATTTCTGAAATTGGTGATGAGCAGATTTTATCGATCCCTGCTTTTTTTATTCCTACTTTTGCTCCGTTCCAGATTCAACATTAGCTCCATCAATTTGAGAAAATACATCATTAAGAAAATGATTGCCCGTCGGCACGAAGACTCTGTTCGGAGTCTCTACTTCCACAGTCCATCCCATTGCAATTCCAACTCCTCTATAACTTGTAGGTGTAATTTAAAATGACAAAAATATAACTACCGTTGTTTCAAAACTCGTTCCGCAACTTCACTTGTGGTTATCCAAGGATTCAGATGAACATCGCATGACAGACCATCGTAGCAATTGACCTCAGCAACTGTGTTAGGAATGTTTGGGTAAGTTAGAAGCTCCAAGTTAGAAGGCGGAAGTTCTCTCGCAATCTATAACATTTTCCTCATTAGTTTTGTCTGGATGTTCAAGAAAACAAACTTCGCTATCATAAATCTTCAAGCGTCTTTGCAGAGTTGCAAAAACATATTCCCTCTTGAGATTGGGCTCTTTATTGAAGAAACCAATAAGCATTGGAATGAGGTTTTCGGTTGGCGGAAATACGGAAATGGCCATATGGATGAGCTTCCAACCATCCTCGACAGCCTTTTTATCTGGATTGTGATGAATCTGATTGACGATTTGGACAAGGATTTCGTCGCGTTGGCAAGGGTTCGAAATTCCCTGACAATAAAGAGGATAATAGAAGACGCTCATTTTCAAAACGTTACCTGTTGTACAATATACCTGCCCAAATCATTCCGTTGACTTTTGGTTAATTTCAAATCATTCAAGTATTTGAGGATGAGTTTGAAAATCTCAACAGACAAATGGAAGTCAAAGTCGGATTCCTTGTGCAAGAAGGGTGTCATAATTGGTTCGCGGCGAGGTTCAAGCAGATGACCCTGAAAAACGTTCACTAGTTTACTAGTTCAGTTGTTTTTGTAACAAAGACATACTTTGAAGTTCTCCTCTGCGTATTCCTCAATCGAAACACTTTTCAAGTTTGGTAGGAAGTTTTTGATGGGAATAGTCAAATAATGGACGACTGTGTGGGTAGACGTTGTATCCGACGGCGGTCTCTCCAAACACTTTTTGGCTTCTTCGTTAATGTCAATGTATCCAACAAGTGTCGATTGAAGTTGTTCCGGATTCTCACCACCCAGAGCCTGGTGATAGGCGTCAAGTCTGCGGTTTCTTTTGGTAGTTCTTCCGATCGCTTTGAACATTTCTTCTCTCTGAGCTATGTAATCTCTCCTAGCTTTCCACCCTCTGAGCCCTGCTTGCAGCTTCACAATAGCAGTTCTCTTCCTTTTGTAAACTTTCTGTGCCACAAACGTCTTCATGTTCTTTTGAATCACAATTGCAGCATTCCGACAGATTTGATATTGTTGGCTTTCATATCGATCGGCAAGACGTTCGCGCAGAAACACATATTCCGTTCCGATTTTGAAGTCATTCTCGAACTTGACACCTTGCCCCTGTAGAATATCTTGAATGATCTCTTTCTCGTTTTGGCACTGGGCAATATCTCCGGGTAGAAGACAACGGTATCTGAAATGATCGCTTTGAATTTTGTTTTTTAATGGTACGTTCTTACTGTCGGGCAAAAGCTGTTTTGGACATTTTGACCGGATATCCTTTAGTACGAAACGAGAGAAGTTCAGATAAAAGAAGACATTTAATCTGCCGGTTCACCATCGGAATATCGAACTTGCCCGGTTGTCGTTCGTTGTTACTTTTGATGCAACGCACGAAATGAACGTGAGATCTAAAAACACATTTTGAAATCGAGTGTTGCGGGGGCCAGTTTTCAAACCCATTGATCTTGTCGGCAATCTCTTGGGTCCCTCGCAGAATCAACTGAGCTTGTGAAACAATGCTATCATTTGCAGGAGCACCGTAGCTTTCAAACAACAACCCGATTACCTGTAATCGTATTTTTTATAGAGACGCTGCATTTTTAAACTTACTGGATTCTTGCTTCCACGTAGTAGTTGTACCGCCGACGCAGAAATCACTCGTTTATTTCGGGTGAAAAAATCGTTCACATTGTACCAAGTTGTTCCAATACAATGACGAACTCCAAACTCTAGTCGTTCCTTATTTCTCGCCTGCAAACATGTTTTGTTGTGTTCTATTTTTGCAGAGAATTCAATACTTTTCCATAAGAGCTGCGGTCGGAATGATTCAAGTTGCAGTGCTCGAGGTACGTCTCGTGAGTTCCTTTTGGAAACTTGCACTCGTCAGTGAGAAGAGGAAGTAGACCGTACGGTTTCTTGAACAGAAGCTCCACAACTTTTCCGTTCTCGATGTTGGTCGGAACCTTATAATCAACCGAAATTCCGTCTTTTGCGTAATCAATCAATTGATCATGGAAACAATGTTTCACGAAAAGGTTCTCAATTCTTTCGTTGACGCTGTTGATAAGGAATTCTTCGACTCCGTTGTTGTTGTACTTTTCGAATCCATAATGGTCAATGATTGAAATGACTCCGGTGTGGACAGGACATTTGAAATGAAGGCTGATTCTGTTTAGGATCCATTTGAACAGTTCCTCGTACAACATCATTGCAAAGGAATCTCTGAAAAAAGAGTGCTTAAAGAATATAACTAAAAAAAGAAACTGACCTATTATCCAATGCCGCATTCAAAGTGATTGTGGTTCCATCTTCCAATTTTGGAAGCAAAAAATTAACCAACTTTTCAAAGTCTACTTCCAGAAGGAATGCAATCCATTTGATTTCGGAAATGTTCCCAATTTCCACCAGCTCATGCTCCACATTTGGATTACGTTTCGTGCGGAAGTAAATGTTTCCAATGTGCAAGATGGTTGAAATGAGTTTGTAAACGCTCACTCGGTGGTCTTCTGAAAAGCCGAGCACAGTGAGGGCGTCTTCCAAATCGTGGAAATGGTTGACGTCAAGTTGAATGTTGTCTGCAGAGTTTCCCTGAAAGAAAACAATGTTTAATTTTCATTTTTTCAAATGATTTAATGCTGACCTGATTTATGTAGAAAAACTTTTGAAGTCCCTTGATTCCGAACTTTGACTTCATTTCTTCTCTCAACCCGTGATAGATTTCGTAGAAAACGTTAAAGTTTCGCTCTCCAGGCTTCTGCAGAATCACTCTCGGCGCTTCCAGCGGAACGGTATACTTTAAGTTGAGTCCTGCCAAAACACTCCTGAATACGTTATTTCTATGAAAAGTGAGTTCAGAAATAGTCAAATACCGTTTGTACAACAGATCAATGCAGCATCCAAATCTGGTTGCTTCATCGTTTTTCAGTGTTTTTGCACAACCGAAACTTTGGAAAACCGATTGAATTGCAGTTGCGTGATACGGTGAAATCTTTGAATTTGACTGCAATGTCAAGTACTTGAGCACTTCGTAGGCATTGTGGGACTTCCCCGATCCGGACTCTCCGCTGGAAAATATATAAATTAAAGTTCAGGTACTGTTTCTATTAAAATACCCGAACACAATCGATTCAGCGTTCGAGGAAATGCCGGATACCTTTGCCAACGCATCTCTAGCAACTCCGAAAATGTGACTTTTCTTAGAAAGATTTTGATTTTCTTTAAGAGCCAACTTTTCTTCAGCTTCGGAAACTTTTTTGAAGTTATTCAAGGAAACTAGAACATTGCTTGCTTTGGTCTAAAAAATAACATCTGTCAAAAAGGACTGTTAAATTGAACTTACATAATTCTGATTCACTTTGAACCGCTCATGAAGTTGCTGGGCTATAACGGCTTCAGACTGATCCCTAAAAATTGAACTTTTTCAAAATGATTTACGCCAGACTATGAAAACTTACACAAGTTCATTGAGATTTTCCATCTCTGAAAACCTTGTGGTCATACCAGCCTGCACGAAATCTCAATAGCTAATTCGTCAAACCTGAACTAATACAAATGAGAAAGAAAACAAAAACGAGAGCGAAAAAGGAGTGGTGGCAAGAAAAACGAGAATTTATCCATCGGCGGACAAGATGTTCGATAAAAAATGATAAGAGACAAGACAAGAAAAGTGGCTTGACTTGCAAATCACAAAATGTGATTAGGCACTGTCCAACGGTCATCTATGTTGATGACGGAATCAGAAGAAGTTGCAAGGGGAAACAAGAATTCAAACAGCAGGACATCCAACAGGAAATAATCGAAACCGCATGCTCTAAATCTTCAAAACAACTCTACCGTTGGGGGGGGGCCAATCGATCACACCACCTCGCGCGTTATTGCCTTCCCCGTCTTGCAACAATGAATATCCTTGAACTGCGAAAATTGTTAAAATGATAGAAACTAGGTTGAACCGTTCAATCAAATAAGTTGGAAGATGGGAAAAGACATTTGCCGCCCAGTGTTTCCGCGGAACAACATCGCGGGCGGATGTATATGTGCGCCGCCCGTTCATGGTCACTATTAGATCGAGTTATCTTATTATCACCAAACATTTCGGGATGTATCTATCACTTGTATCTCTTCCTCCAACCAATAGAATTCTCGGCGTTCTTGGTATGTGCGGCTTGAAAGTGAAATTATCAATTCATATGGAGATCGGAAACCCAAAATTCATGTATCTAAAGGGGTTTCCTTAGAATTGTGAACAAGAAAATAAAGTTTATTAAAGTGAAGTCATGACACTGTGTCTACCGCATGAACATTACACAGAAGATGAAGAAGCATAAATCTATTATGAATAAGTTGGAGATCAAGACAGTCGAGTTGGGGTTGCGGACAACGAAAGCTTATCTTATTGTCAATGTGAGAGGGAGAGGGAGTAAATATATTTTTGTTTTTTTCATGAAAAAATGAAGGTGAGTAGCATATGATTGAAATGGGAGAAGTCTAGTGGAAGTGTGGTTCAGACCATGTCTGCCACTACGTCACCGTTTCTCTGTCCAGGAGGGTGCTGATGGACTGCTGTGTACTCTCCAGATACCCTGAAAGTTACGAATTTAAGATATCTATTATTTCAATTAAAAAACGTGTGTATGTGTGTGTGTCAAGGAGAACTCGATAGAACGGTTGCATAGAAGCTCATACTTACATCGGCGGCTTGTTGTTGTTATTATTGCTGACCGTCGTGGTCGTGTACTTGGAGTAGTGGTGCGGATTGCGTACTTTGAATTTGTAGAGACAATACGCCAGGAGTACAATGATGGCGATGAACGCGAGAAGAGTCACCACTGGGGGCCCTGAAGAGAGAAGTCATTGTTACATGGAAACGCACCCCAAAAACAGCTCAGCAACTAGTTAGGTTTTGGTTATTTTGACAGAGAAAAAAGACAGGACAGAAGGTCACTTAGCACCGTAAAATAGCCAAAACCTTGCCGGTTAGAGTAAGTGTTAAGAAGACATACAGTAAGCGCAGACTGGCGGAGTAATAATAGGATGAGTTCTGACCGGATCAGATATCATGTCGCATGAAGCTCCGGCCCATCCGTCCTCGCAACTGAAATATGAGAGCATGAGTTTCCGGTGAAGTTATGGATGGCAGCTGAAATTGGACTGCTACTCACACACAGCTGAAGTGACTCGTGGAAATCTCGACAAGACATTGATCGGCGTGTTTGCAGCTGGCCATTTCTTCTCCATAGCAATAACGGAATCCTTCCGGAAGAATGTGCTTTTTTTCTCCTTTTAGTCTGTAGGAAGCGGACATTCCAGGCTGAAAATGGAAGAAATACGGTTTTCCAATAGAGTTGCCAACTGATACTGACCGCTGAGCACTCATAAACTCCGTCGTCTTGATCTGATTGATAGCTGCTGATTTCAACAAATGACGCATCTCTGGAATACAACAACCAGTTGCAGAGTACTTGTTTCTGATCACACGTACGATTTGATCTTGACGTAGTCCGGTTTAATCGCTGTTCCTCCGCGCAACCATCGAAGTGATCCAACTTTTCCATCGGGATGTTCGCATCGGATCAGCACACTCGATGCCTGCTCGACTCCAATGAGTGTGGTTCCAGAGTGGACTCCCTCTAAAATGCTATTGTTTGCTTATCAAATATTTTTCTCTCTTTTTTCATTCTTAGTCATAGTTCAACACAAAATATTTTCCACATTACTTCCGTCATAAAATATTAGAACAGCTGGATTGAAAAATGAATCATTACCTTGTAACCGGAGGATGTGTTCTCCAGCAATTGTAGCTTCAAAGATAGCAATAAAGAAGAGAAGGATTTGAGCAATATTGTTCATCTTGATAATCGTCGGGAAGCGAGTGAATGGACTGTAAGAATGGAATGACCGAATGAACAGGAATGTGAGGCAATGATATGCGAGGGTAGGAAGGAATGAACGACTTCTTGTCAACTGGTTCGTCGGTTTAGTTGACAACGTAATATTTGCAATAATACAGAGAAAAACAGGGACGAGAACAAAAAACTGATAGGGGTTTATGATAATTTTGCAGCGTAGGCGCCGATGGGGCGGAAACGAACTTGTCACGAAAAATAAAACATTGGTTGCGAAATAATTGACAAGATTGGAGTACATTTAACTTGCAAATGAAGATTATATTGGTTTACAAATTTAGTAGAAGAAGCAACAAAAAGACGTTACTGATAAAGTGAGGAATGAGCCGATCGGCGAGCGGGAAACCCCCAACCAAAAATAGGAAAGGAAGGGAGTGCACTCGGCTAGACAAACAATGAATAATCAAAGGCAAGAGCATATTTCAAATATTTTCAACCACGCTTGTGGTCGCTTCCCAAATGAGCTTGGTGGCTCATTTTATATGACTCCGGACGCCAACTCCTACGTGTTCGATCATGCTGTTTTTCGGCGGCGGCGGCTAGCACAGTACTCGGATATTTTTGTATATCCCACTTGAAATTCGTGGTATGATATCACCGACATAGGCAAACATAAAAAATGTTGGGGCGGAGAGCAGAACATGCTCAGTGACGATTGAGGATCGAGAGATCTTGTTCCGAGACATCTGCTGACAATTGGTTTCTGATATCATTGTTTGGAGCAAAGGAGCTAGATCCTCCCACGCAAGAAAAATTATGGGTTAGGGAAAACAAAACAAAACTTCTAGCTCTCATATCAAAACCAAAAATTATAGGTTCGAAAAAAAGATGATTGACAATCTAATAAGCAAGAAACGACAAAATCCGTGAAAGCAATGTTTGGTGCTCTCTCAAAAATCTCAGACAAAAAAAACATTGAAAACTCGAAGGAAATACTGACAATTTGAGTATGAATTCAAAAGCAAGAAGGAATTTGAAAAATGTGTATTGTCTGACCATAACAAGTTATCGCAGAGCAATGTGAGTTGTAGCCAAATGTCAACGCCCTAACTGCTTCAATTTATATGAAGCTGTCGATGACACATCGAACACACGAATTGGAAGTGATAGTTCCCTAACAGTCTCGTTATCGCACTCTTTCGCCCATCGAAATGCCGAGGTACTATTGACAAAACTCTCATATTTTATTTCTCTTGGTTGAAACTGGAAGTGATAGATACAAGAAAAAGCAAACCACCGCCCAATTTCAGATAAGCACCGGTTCAGTGAACTTTGGTCGGAGCCCCGAATGCGTCGAAACAGGTTGCTCACCAAAGAAGCCGGTGATATGATATCATTCTGTGTATTCTAATAGTGTGTGCCTTCACGAGGGCGGACACCATCCTATTGTGCAGAGAAACGAGCAAACAGATGGATCTACGTAGATCGGCGGCCGAAAAGTTTGACAGCTTTTCATATTTGGAGTCGGAAAAAAAGTGGTGGGCGATGAAAAGATCTCGCACTCGAGGCGGCAACTGATTCGCAGATCAACCCACCCACGCGTTCGGTTTTTGTTCCTGACCTAGGGCCTACAATCAAAAGAGAGTTTGCAAAGGCAACAAAAATGAGGAAACAACGGTCAAACACCTCCTTGAATCGCAACGACTGCCGCCTTGAAACATAAATCGAACCACGAATAGTCTGGCAAGATTTACGTTCGAAACGGACATGATCTCAGTTTGATAAATCAAAGTATGAGTGGGGAAACCATTCTAGTTATATGGTGACGTGGACACGGCATATTGACCACAATTTATGACAGTTCGTGTAGGCTTGGATGGGCTGCTGACTCAGTTTTTCCGCGAACTTGAATTCAATGCATTTTATGTAAATAGTCTGCACATTTCTCTCGATTCTGCCTTTTTTCGTGAGCGCACACGAAAATTTCTCGGAAAAGGTCATGATCCACATGAGTGATGTGACTTGTGATTTGTGAAAGGGTCGAACGCTTACTCACAGTGCTAGAGAAACCACAGTAACGTTTTTGAAAAGCATTTCTTGAGAAAGCATGAATCTCACGTGAATGCGCATGAAAAACGGAAGCGACACGAGGGGAGATGTGTGATGGTCTCCAATCTGAAGCCATTGTTCCAAAAATCTTCGGCCATGCTGCGTCATTGCACTACATTTCTTGGCTGGGACAGATTTATTGCTTAATTATCTATGATGCTTCTTTTTTGTTCTCTTTTTATTTCTCGAGGTCGAAAAATCTAGTTTTTTCTGATTATATAGTTAATTCCGACGACAACACTAAATTTCTGAAACTGGACATGGACAATGACGTTGACGTTGACGTCAGTAGGTTGAGAGATTAAGTTCATAGGTTAGTCATTGTTACTTCCGCTGTTTTTCGGATCGTTCCTTGTTAATATTTGAACGATCAACGAGCGGAACGAAAAAATTTACTTTGAGTGAGACATGGTGGCCTCTGCTTTGGAACTTTTGTTTCAGGTGTTTCGTTTCCTCGGCTTTGGGAGCGCATGCTACTGATGTTTCTGCGGTGCCTTGGCCTTTTATACACAGTCTTATCACCAAATGATCTCAGTCGGTTTCCAAATGGAATGGAATAATATCGTATTGAAGTGAGAAACCGAGAACTTGGCACTCACGTCAGATCTGATATCATTCACGATTCATAGTGACTCACGGATCATCGAAAACGCTTGTCAAGGAAAACTTTTCTGACACCGTTTGTCAACGACATTTTGAAGGGATAGACGGGAGAAATGAGGAAAAATAGAAGATAGCTGCTACTCTATTTCTAGTATTTATATCATGAACACTGTGAAAGCGAATGAAAACACTCGTAGTCCTTCGGGGTATACTGTATAAAAAACACTTGAAGATTTTCTTTTGTTTGATATCAAAAATACTCACCTGATCGGTCAACAAAGCTCTCCATTCATCGTTCTTGGAAAACAAGTGCCTACTGTAGCTTCCGCCGACTCTTTGATTTTTAGAAGATGTCAAACCGAACAGCGTCAAGGCCGAAAGATATAAAATACTGTCTTAGAATCATCAGATGTTGAAGCTAATTCATGAAGATCAAGATGAGAAGGGAAACGATTGCAGAATGTAGTTTCATCTATGTATTCATTGTCCCCACAATCAGCGCGAATCAGTTTCATTTGTTTTGTTGGTTTGTTTCAGTAATCGAAATTAAGATAGAACATCGAAAGCTAAAAAAAAAAAAGGCATAGATTAACAGGATTGTACAAAGTAAATTATCGCCCAAGCACGGCAATACCATTGTACTAGTTGCGGATTGAGAGTAAGAGATGTCGGAGCCAATTAACATCAGAGCTCCTGTCGAATGTACTACTTTCTACAAAGTCATATTAAAGCGGGAACAATTTGGTGATTTTTTAAAGAAATTATGACAAGCAGAGAGATTGAGATGAACAATTGTGCAGATTTCACGCTTGGGGTGGGTTGATTTCGGAGACGCATCCATATTCGTAGCTAAGAGTCTTGATTCTCATCGTGCACGCACATTCGCCACTTCTCACATCTTCTTCGTTGTTCGGCGGAGACCAAGAGAACACTTGGTACGCTGTAATAGGACAACTATAGTTGGTAGGCCGTTGACTTCGTTGACCGGGGAACGGGTTCATCGCGATTGTTTATGTACTTCTATTGTAGTCCAACTTCTATATTTAGCCATTATTCCTTTTAAATTTTTCCCTTTCCTCTTTCTTCTTTTTTGGTGACCACGAGGAAACTTCCGCTGAGAAGTATTCTTATCTGATTGATAAAACAGTGATTTATCATAGAAAACTAACCAGTCATGTCACAGTCATCATCAGCTGCTTGATCCAAGTTTCAACAGGTCAGACAGCAAAAAGTAAAAATCTTTTCTCTCTGTTTCCCTCTCTCCCTTCTTCTTTCTCTCCATTTCGATTTTCGTGTCCTCTTCTCTTCCATCAATAATCAACACCGTGCAAATTCCTGATTTGATTAAACAAAACACGGCGAGGTGATGATGGAGATGAATGAAAGAGTGAACCAACCGAATAGGCTTCAATTAGAATGGAGGTCTTCTTTCCCTGATGTGGAGAGAGAGAAAGAGAGACAGGTTTTCTAAAACGCAGTCGGAAGTTTACTTTCGCATGCGCGAATTGCTTTTTAGACGTCGTTTATGCAACCGGAAGGCCTTCGGGTGTTTAACACAATGCATTTATTTTGACATACAAACCCAAAGTGAATAAAAACTGACCGGTACAGTACTGCCGACATTCCTCCTCCGATCGCAGCTCAATGCGGTTTGCCTGGTCGCCAAGGATTTTGACGTTCTTCAGCGTCACACCTTTTCCTGGAAGCATTTAGTCTCTATATCTTAAGAATTGGAACGAACCGAAACGCGAATTCGGCTTCAGTCCGCTGGTCTTTGTACCGTCCTCGGATGAGTATCCGATAGCATTCTTAAGGTAGCACCTGAAAACCGAAACATATTGTTGTTTCCAAAACATCCAAGAGAGCACCTTCGTTTGACGCTGTCATAGGTGTACGCGACACAGCAACTTCTCGTCGAGCACTGCACGCAACATTGTGTGATATCGTTCGTCTGGAACTCGTCCACCGTTCCACCGTGCAACATTACATTGGGGAGGAATAGACACGATTGGACTGCAAACTTGGATTTGTATTCAGATGATCCTTTAATTGTCGCAAGACACTTTCAAGCGACTCTTTGATCAAAAAGCATCTACTCTTCAAACCCCTGACTTTCTTCTTTTTCTCGGTGTAGGCATCTCAGCAATAAAAGTTATGTTTGAAAGAAACATAAAATAAAAAGAACAGATGCCAGAAGGTCTTTTGATAGACAATGATTGGCAGGTAAGCACTCACTGGAAGCAGCTCCCACATGCATCAACATAAGACCGAAAACAGTAGTTGCAATCATTTTCTAATGTTCGCTGTTGTGCCCAAATCCGTAGTTATGCTTTATTGCGTGTTCATAAGGCAACCTGTAAATAAACTAGTGAGGAAGTGGTAAAGCAATGAAAACAATGAGAAAAAAGATGAGGACGGAAACAAAGCGAAAGTTGATGTGGTTAACAATTGGTGATGATCTCAAATAGGATTCGAACGGCGCCATAAGGCACACCGGAAATGAAACGCCGACAAGACTTCAGAAAACAAGAGAAGGGTTAATGGCGAAGAGATAGAGAAAATTGTTGGGAGACATTTGGGGAGGGATGGTTGGGAGAGAGGGCAGGAACTGTTTAATTAGAAAATTACGGTCATTTGGCGACGGGTGCCTCATTCAGTCCAATGGGAAATGACAAGAAGGTGAGGGTTATGGGGCACTCAGTTTGCGTCCGTCGTCGCTGAGGATCTACCCCAGCCGCCACTACTCTGTGAACAGAAATCAGACAGCAAAAGTCGGCGATGCTTTTACTTAACATCTGTTCAGGTTTCGGCCGTAATCCGATACGAGTTTTCGGAAAACTGCTCTTCTTCTTCTTCTTTTTCATCTTCTCCCGCCGTTTCCAAACGCGCGCTATCAGCCGTTTTCAGTGATTGCGGGAAAAACGAGCCGGAATGTTGACCGTCCACAAGTACGTCAAAGATTGTCTGCTTATTGTGCGCATCACACGTTCCCAAGAAGGTGCCGACAAAAGGTTAGGAATGTTAATCCCGTGCTTTATCAACTTCCGGATTAAAAATAAAGAACTGAACCGCATCGCACTGCATGGCACCGAGAAAAGAGGTGACCGCTTATAATGGAATACCGGAAAAGAAAAAAGTTCGGACAAGCGTAATGTAATTGAGAGAAGCCTCAAAGACCATCGTCATGCAGAAAGTGGGAGGATTCTGGATTCTCACGTCACATTTTGTTTGCCGCTTCTCTGCTCAATTCAGCGACACCTCCTCAGCTTTCGACGAAAATACTTGAACTTTTCATTTTGTCTAAGGGTTCTCTCGACGTCACTGAGCTGAAGAGTTTTCCAGAGCAGACCGCATCAAAGTTAGGGGTTGAAGTGGAAACGAAGGATGAAGTCATCCTCTAAATCGGGAATACTTGTGGATGTTTACTCAAACGGCTCCGCGAAAAGTGATGGACGAAAACGAAAACACACCATTTTATAGTTGCGTCTTGTCAGAAAAAGACTTGTCAAATCCCGAAAGTCGCGGGACTATTATCCAACGTAAACGTGGGCAAAACGTTGTCATAGTAGATCGGAAATGAGGTAAAACATGGGTTAGAGTAGTATCTTCCGACAAGCGAGTCTTAGAAAGAGTGATGTGGGCTTAACTCACTCCCAAATACGCCAGAAATATCAAAATGGAGCTCAGTGAGTTGGAAGAAGTGGAAGGGAAGGATGAAGTTCAACTCTGTTTTTTTTTCACCATAAAATTCAATAAGAGAAAGTAGTTTGCGAAGAAAAAAGTAACGGCGAAAGGGAAATGTCTTTCTTTATTTTCTGGGCAGCCACTTGGAAGTGGGCATAATTTTCCATTTTCCGCTAGACAGGACAAGAATTCAACTCAACTCTATTTAAATGAAATGGGAGAACACTGATCTCTCAAAAGTACGTTAAATTTATAACCTTTGTTGACCGGTTCAAAAGGAAGAGAGAGAGAGTAAAAGAATGACTGGAAGGTACAGAAAAAAGACAGTATTCCGAAATGGGACGAGTGCCGCAGTACGCACGCCAAATGTTCACATCTTCGGCTTTCTTCAGATTGAATAACGCTAGAACAAACTAGTTACTTCTGCGGTCTTACACACGTATTACTCATTTGAACAATGACTGATTAACAAATGCAACAGAGAATACGACAACGTTTCGATAGATGCAGAAGAGAAGGAAGAAGCTGAAGTAAGTAAAGTTCCGGGAGCCGACACTCCAAAAAAAGTCATTAGGGAAACGATGACATCAAGCCGCTTAACATAATTGAATGCATCGACGCAAGTTTTTTCCTGGAATTACGTAGAAAAGAGCTAAAAAAAGACGAGAAAATAAAGCACTTCTGAACGTTTTATTATTATTTTGGAATGTTTTTGAGTTGACTTCCGGGAGACTGCAATGTGAAAACACATATATTTTTATGAAACAGGTATATTGCAGGACAACAACAACACACCAACAATTGTGGTGCACTGCTGAAAGTGAATCGGCGTGGTTTGTCAAGTCATGATGCCGTTGTTGAGAACATCAAACCATCCTATTTTACTAATACTGAAGACAAGCTTGATTACTCTACTACACAGGCTTGACAGCAGACATTGCTGCACGCTTGTTCTTGTCTTGTATGATAGGCCTGTTGTAAATCGATTCGCTGCTCAATAAGAGATATTTCATGGAAACTGTGGTTTGTTCACTAAATTTCAGATGTATGAGAAGAAGTATCGTACGAATTTTGTAATTCAATGCTCTTAACAATTTTGTTACAAAGTTTTATTGAACATCATGCACCTCCCAACTAAATCTAGCAAAGATGAATAATCAGAGTAAATATATAATGCAGAAAATCTACAGTTATCTTCCAAACTTGAACTGTAGCTTCAGTTCCTTTGCGTGTTCTCCCTTTGCTTCTACTGTATCTTTTAAGAACTGAATGTTCTCGAGCAGATCACATCGTCACCAAAACAACGCGTGATACGTTTGCTGCCACGCGCACCGTTCTTATTGACCATGATTATGTTGGCTGAAATTTGCTCACGTGGTTGCGTAGACAGGGCGTGGCAATAACGCAATACAACAAAAAATTATCACGTCATGAATTGCACTTCTTCGCACAGTTCAATAGTTCGGATATGAAAACAAACTGTAATTCGTTACGTCTGAATTCCTCATTTCCAACAAAAACGGTACAAGGTACAAAAACTTTGAATTCGAATTCAAATTCAAATACATAAGAGAAGATCCCTCATCATTTCTAAATTTTCTCGCAAATCGGAAATATCTCTCCTTGGGAATATTCTCCGATGTCGTCGTCGTTTCAATGGACCGCTGCGCTCCTCGTGTGGAATGTCTGTCTGTAGTGAAAATGCATTTTGATCTTTCTGTCCCTTCCCTTTCAAACATCTTTCACTGTCGGCCGCTGATAAACCGTGTTTCGTCTCGCGGCCACTACCCTCAGTTTCCTTTCACTCGGAATACTGGCAAATCATATGTGATATAGACATTCAAATGTTCACCTTTCACTTTTTGCGTGCGCTTGCCCGCGCGGGAACCAGATCCCGCCGACGAATGGATGGATGCGCGGCGATCGAAGGAGAAGGACGATAGAACAAGCAGCACCGAAGCCCCCCGCGCGACAAATCAACTGGATCTTATGCTATCCCCTCCATCCATTCCGTTTCTCCTTTACCAGAAATCGGAAAATTGAATTGCGGACGACGAATTATTGAACAAAAGTTCTGTGCCCTCCTCATCCGCCGCGTGGATCCACTCATCGTCCCGATTATTCGGAAAGTGAGAGAAAGGGGTGCGCGCACGGGAGGCCCGGGCGCCCTGTTTTTGGGTGTTTTTGTTCGAAAAACCGACACAGGAAGGATCGTTTTTGAAGGACACACGCGCACACCGTACATGGAACTCGCGACATTTTTCGGGGCGCCAGTAAAATTGACGGCGATGTGACAAACGTAATTCGTTTCGTATGATTCGATTTGAACTACCTTGAGAACGTTTCTCCGCCCTTTCTGCGATCGAATCGCAAAAATGCAACAGAAAGGTCGAAAAGTAGGAAGTTAAAGGTCAACTGCGTAGAAACAGATAGAAATTGGTGATGTGTGATGTGGAGAGCCGGAGTTGCACGACGAAAAGCAACAGCTGTCCTAAAGAAGAACTTTGCAATGAAAAATGAAAGCTAGATTCGAATTTCAGATTACACCGATGCGTTCTTTCTTCATTTCCGCAGCGGCCCTGTCTGGCTGATCCATTAGACGTTATTTTCGTTCGAATTATTCAAACAAGCTTTGCCTCCCATCTTTGTTTGTGTTTGTTTATGTGTTTCTGTTTTATGGCGGCCAGCTCTCCCCGTCCCCTTCCCGTCTCGTCCGCGCCGTTGAAACGAATGAATGTTGGAGTTTTGAGTCATAAAATGATGGATGTTTGAAGCGTACACATGGTGAGCCACCCCGTCTATACGCTCTTTCTCCGGGGTGCAGCTTTTGAGGGCCGCATGCTTGTTCCCTCGGCGTCGGCTCGTTTTTCTTGGACGGGTCAAAGGACGGACACAAAAGAAAGCCCCTCGGCGGGCAGTGTTGCGTCGGAAGATTTGCCAAAAGTGCTATCCAAGGTACCGAATATGAATACCGTAAATGACGCGAGACATCTAGTTTTTCCGGTTTCATTGAACGTAACCGTGTATTTTGAGACATCTGATGTTCTGCATATGGCCGGCAAAACAGATTAGTTACAACTTGTTCCCTCCCTCACACGTTGACGATTTTTCGGGCGGGAAGCCCCCCGACTTTTTGAAACGTTTTGAATTCATTCATTCACAATCAGCATTGAAACAGCTGACCGCGCTGGGCGGCATGCAGCGCGCTTGAAGGAAAAGAAAAAGAATAATGCATCTCGGGAAGAAACGCCGCTTTTTGTGCCCACCTTCTAATTGAACACAGACAGACACTCTCTAAATTAAACTATGTGTAATGAATAGAAGCAATGGATTACAAAGTGAGAGGCTCTTGCGTCAAGAGCGATTGCACAACCCTTCCGGAAATCTTCGAAGGCGAAGGAAAAGAGCAGAAGCGACGCATGATGAACGGGACAGACAACTGTTCCCTGGCCGTCAAGGAAAGTACAACTGTGTGGGATCGCGAGAACATCTATCTCTTCATCTATCGGAGCATTCGAAGAAATCATTCCTCGGCCGACTGCTCGTTCGATCCGCGCTCGTTTTTCCAACACTTTCCCCCGGTTTCCTCCTCCGGTTTGGTTTTGT